GTGGACTGCACCATGCACGCTCAATCTAAAGTGATCTCTCGCAAGTTGAAGTATACGTGTGTGGCCACTATAGGCGCCCAGTCACGCGCGTGGGCGATCGAAAGTGACGCGCCCGCCGGCACAAAACGCGTCCTGCAGCTTCACTCCTACTACCATGGCTCTCCCTTCATTTGCAGGCCGGCTCATCGGTCAGTCTGAGGCACTCTGCTTGTATTCAAGTCACCCTGACTGTTCTGTGGCTGCGCAGTGCCCGTGGCTGTCGCCGCGGCAGTCATACAGGCTAGCATCTATGATGTCCCAGGAGGCTACCGTGCCGTCATGTTCGACCGTTTCCAAGGAGTCATGAACAAGGTATGGGGCACACCAGTAATACGGGCTTGTCGAGCCATCATACTCAGGATAGGCACCTCGTTAAATCCAGGCGAAGCCGGAGGGCACGCATTTCCTCGTTCCATGGCTTCAACGCGCCATATTGTACGACTGCCGCATCAAGCCCCGCGTGAGCTTTTGCGTTCTGTATCTGCACCTCCCCGTCTTTGACCCTCATATTCTACTATTGCAGAACATTTCCACCACCACTGGCTCAAAAGATCTACAGATGGTCTCTATAACTCTTCGCGTGCTCTCACGGCCCGACGTCGAGCACCTTTCCAAAATCTATCAAAGCCTAGGTCTGGACTACGACGAGAGGGTCCTACCTTCCATTGGCAATGAAGTATTGAAAGCCATCGTGGCTCAGTTTGATGCTGCCGAGCTGATCACGCAACGGGAGGTGGTGAGTAAAGAAAAACTAGGACGTCGTTCTTATCCCTAACTCTTGCCTAGGTCTCATCTCGGATCCGTGAAGACTTGCTGCAGCGTGCGGGCGAGTTCAACATCAAGCTTGAGGATGTCTCCATCACCCATCTCACTTTCGGAAAGGTACGCCCTTCACATCGGACCGGCAAGCGCGATCACTCATGACATCACACGACTGCAGGAATTCACTCAGGTCAGTTTAATGTATGCTATCTCATTGACAAACGCTGATTGACCACGTGTAGGCTGTTGAAGCGAAGCAAATTGCCCAGCAAGGTATGTTTTTCATGGCCTCAATCAGTTTCACGTGCTGAGCATCATCCAGATGCTGAGCGTGCCAAGTTCATCGTCGAAAAGGTGAGCATCCAGTGACTTTTCTGGATGGCTTGACGCTGAACTACTTCTTCAGGCGGAACAAGAGCGGCAGGCGGCAGTTGTCCGGGCAGAAGGTGAGGCCGAGGCTGCTGCGACCATCTCGCGGGCGCTGGACAAGGCGGGCGAGGCATTTGTGACGTTCCGGAAGATTGAAACGAGCAAGGCGATTGTGCAGTCTTTGGCGAACAACCCGAATGTTACGTATATTCCGAGCGGGGGTGGGAATGTGCTGTTGAGTGTACCTACGCAGAAGTAGTTCATTTGATTGACTTTGTCGTTTGCGCATGTCGTGTATGTAAGGCTGATTCGTGAGAAGCGCCTCGTGAGCCTGTGCTGCATCTGATTAATCGGGCCCGGAGATGTCCGAACGAGCTTATCCCAGGGAAGCGCTCTTTGCTCTGAACACAACGGTCCTCTCCTGACTGCCATCGTCTCGCTGTCCGCTTCTCTCTATTCTCCCATTTTTCTCTCCTCTCTCTCCTCCTCTCTTCCCCTCTTTGTCTCCTCTGTCTCATATCGGACTTATCTCCTACTCGCGTTTGCTCTGTAGTCAATTTTCCTGTTGTGAATATCTCCCGATCATCGCAACCCCATCGGACAAGCTCTCATCGTCCCCTCTCGCAGGCCGTAACGATTTCATTGTCTGTTTGTCATCATGAACTCGATGAGTCCAATGGCCGCGGCTGAGGCACCCGTAAGTAGCAGTTTCCCGCGTTCATTCAGTCATAGCTCATCTTTATCTCGCTCCGGCAATTTGATCGGCGGTTTTCGTTGTGACGTTTGCTGACTAGCAGAGGCGGGCTCACCTTTACGTTGGCAACTTGAGCCCAAGAGTCACCGAGTATATGCTTACCGAGATCTTTGCTGTGGCCGGGCCCGTACAGCACGTCAAAATCATTCCGGACCGCAACTACCAGCACGGTGGTCTGAACTACGGCTTCGTCGAATATATGGATATGCGAGCCGCCGAGACCGCTCTGCAGACGTTGAACGGACGAAAGATCTTTGACACCGAGATCCGTGTCAATTGGGCATACCAGGGTCAGCAAAACAAAGAGGACACGAGCAACCACTACCACGTCTTCGTGGGCGACCTCAGTCCCGAGGTCAACGACGAGGTCCTCGCAAAAGCCTTCAGCGCATTCGGCACCCTCTCTGATGCCCGCGTCATGTGGGACATGAACTCGGGCAAGTCTCGTGGCTACGGTTTCCTCGCTTTCAGGGACAAGACCGACGCTGAGCAGGCAATCGCTACGATGAACGGAGAATGGCTCGGTTCGCGCGCTATTCGCGTGAATTGGGCTAACCAGAAGACGCAAGGCGGCCCGTCCTCTGCGTCTGCTGGGACTCCGCGCATCGGAGGGATAGGTGGTGGCGCGCCCGCGCCGATCAATTTCCAGGGCGGACCGTTGTCCTACGAGTCCGTCGTGCAGCAGACCCCAGCGTACAACACCACCGTCTACGTCGGCAACCTGGTTCCTTACTGCACGCAGGCGGACCTCATCCCCCTCTTCCAGTCCATCGGCTATCTGTCTGAGATCCGCATGCAGTCCGATCGCGGCTTCGCGTTCGTCAAGCTGGACACGCACGAGCATGCCGCTATGGCGATCGTGCAGTTGCAAGGTCAGATGGTCCATGGTCGTCCCATTAAGTGCAGCTGGGGCAAGGATCGCGCTGACGGTGGCGGCTCCCTGTCTGCGGGCTCCCTGAGCCCCACGCCCACCGCAACCCCATACACAAACATGGTGCGTACTCCATACAGTCATACCAGACACCTCGTGCGCATATATTGACCGTCTGTTATGAATTTGCTATTTTAGCCGATGTATGGCATGCCTCAGCCGAACACTTATGGCCAGTACGGCTTCGGCGCTTACGGTGGCTTCCCCAACCAGGCTGCGACAGGTACGCCAGGAGGTGCAGCGGCGGGCATGGGCAGCCCTGTGGCGGGCACTGCGGGTATGGCGATTGGTGCGGGGGCTTCCACAGGTGGTGCGGATCCTGCTGCTGCTGCCGCCGCCGCCGCACAGGCTGCTACGGGACAGTGGGCAGGCGCCGACCCTAGCCAGTACTATTCCAACTACTGGGGAGGTGAGAGGTTCTTGTACTCAGCTGTTCTGGTTTGCTGACGTACTGTATGCGCAGGCTATTATGGACAGCAACCTGCCGGCCAGGGCGCGGCAGATCCTCAGCATCAGGGTACCGCTTAAATCGACTTTGATCGTCTAACAATCTCGAATGTAGCAATTGTCGTCAAAGTTACGTCGTCCAATTGTGCCAGTATGACTCAATGATTCGTCTACGTGCTCTGTTACAAATATTGCACAGCACAGCCCCACTGTTGTTCGTATAAAATGTCGTTCCTCGTACAGCCACAGTTTCGTCCATAGCTGCAGCTCTGCTCTTTCTATGATGAAATGGGTTTCCCCTACTCCTTTGTTCATTTTTTTTCTGATCGTTATCACGTTCACCTGTGTCTTATAAGCTCACCTATTTATTTGTCTCAGCACTAGTCCGTTTCGGCCTGTGCACTGACAATGTAATAGGCAGAATTACAGCTTTCCTTGCTCGTGTATTTCTCCGACGCTCATACAGACGTATCGCCGACACCAGATGAGATCGCTAGCGACCTCACTGCAAGTACGTATCACTCCTCGTCAATCTATCCCGTAGATTATGAGACCACGTTCTGGATCTCAGCCTCTGGGTGGTAGTTAGCAGGCGAATCGATTTCAGGTCGCAAGCAACTTACGACTGCCGGTGTGACCATTTCTTCTGCCAGTCTCGTTGGGGGTTTGACCATTCGTATCTGAGGGCTTGTCATTCACGCGGCCACCATCGTAGGGGTTGGCAGGCTGGGCGGGCTCCTCAGGCGTGTTGCTAGTCCCAGCGCCAGATGCATTGGGGCCGGTTCCAGCGATTGGGCTGCCGGCATCACCAGGCAGGACGCCATCAGGGATGCCATTAGGGACGTCATTAGAGACGCCATTAGGGACGCCGTTGGGGGCCCCACCAGGGACGCCACCAAGGAGGCCACCAGGGAGGCCATTAGAGAAGCCTGAGGTACCACCAAGTACACCGCCTGCGGCATCCTCGAGTTGTCTGAGCTGGAGTGGGTTCGAGTTTAGGGACCCTGGTGGCTTGACCTCGGTAACACGAGGATGGGTGACGACGTTCCCATTCGGAAAGGCGGAGACGAGAGTTGGGCTGACGGTGGCGGCGGCCATGATGGAGAAGGCGATGATTGGGCTGCGCATGTTGAAGGAGTGCGGGGGTAGCGGTGTGAGGGAGCGTGAGGATGAATAGGAATGAATAAGTTATCGACGGCGGCGTGAGCTGGCCTTTATGAACATCCGTACAAGGTTCAGCTCCCGCCGCTGCTTCTGCTCGATCACCGGGCCACCTTCCTTTTGTGGAAGGTGTCCTTCCGTATATGGTAGCAGTGTTCAAGTACGATCGTCGAGCGTTGCTCTAATTCAACCTATTATACACTCCTTTAACGCCTGTAGATTCAGATGCGCAGCCCTGTGGTTGCATTCTCGCTCATCGCAGCGGCCGCGGTCTCCTCTGCGTCCGCCGCCAACTTCCCCAAATCCCCCGACCTGAGCACCGGCAGCCTCTCCCCTCCCGCAGACTTCCTGGAGAACAGACCAGGGGTGATCAGCAACTATGTGCATGGCAAGCGTCGCGACATACCAGCCGGTCTGGGTACCGTAAATGCAGCCGTGCACGATCCTCCCAGGCCAAACCGTGACCTGGTCGCGCATGAGCGAAGGGCGCCAGGGGAGCGCAGAGTCGGGTCTGACAGGGCTGACGCAAGGCAGGACGATGGACACGCGCCGCCGCCCAGACCAGAGCACCCCCGCCCTGCTGACGGTGCCACAGGCTGCAACACCGGTAATACCAACGCAGCGAACGTGGCAGGAGTTGAGCAGAACAGCCCGCTTGCTGGTGCGTTCTGACACTGTATCAGAGGTCATTCAACGATGTTAATCTTCACACAGTGGTAACAGGTAATCCAGACGGAGGGGTGTCCTGTACAGGCAACGTCCACGGCGAGCCCGCAGATCAGACAGGCCAGCTCGGCTCAGGCGAGAGTGTCGTCTCTCCAGACGCCGCTCCGGAAGAAGGCAGCGACGTCTTCAATACGAACATTTCTGACCTCCTCGGTACGTCATGCAACCACTAGCACACAATACGATATCCGACTATCCCTTTGATCCAGGTCAGAACGACACGTCCTCTTCCGACAACGCCATTGACTCCAACGCCGGCGAAACCAACGATATCGCGCAGCCCGCATTTAACGCCAACGGATACCCCATCTACCCCGGAACCCGCACCACGCAGGCTCGCAGGGGACTTAGCACACTCACACCCACGGACGCGCGCTCGAGCCTGTACGAAGTCGTCAACAGCACGAGCCAGATCGCCATCCGAGACGAACATCACCACCACCAGGCGCTCATCCGAAGACTCAAGATGAGCGGCGCTCGTGTACCGCGGAGCGGCGCAGATGTCGATTCTGCATACGAGAACGACCCGGTTCTCGACCATGTGACAGCCGGTGCGTGTATGCGTGCACCTAACGTTTCTGAAAATACCTAAACTTGGCGTTTGCGACGTAGAGGGGAAACCGGGCGAGAGCACACAAGGCGCCGCCATCCCAGGGATTGGCACACCGCAGCATCCCGGTGGGAATGCCTATCCCGGGGCGGTAGGGTCCAGCAGAGGAGGCAGGGTCATTGAGAGCGGCAACGTAATCAACGGCGAGGGAGCATCGAACGTGCCTGGTGCGGGAGGACGGTCCCAGAGTGGGACTGCTGTCGGCGGCAATGGTGTACTCTGATCTGCATCTGGCCATTGCGGAGGACGTGTTCAGAGTTTCTTATATATTCTAGCTTTGTGTATCATACCCTCAGTTATTTGTAGCCCTATGGATTTGTGTCGAACGCGTTCTCACCAACCTGGCACACAGGGCCGTTCACTTGAAGCACGCAATCTAAATCACTGAAGATTAACTGTATAGTGATTGTGGGTATCTAGTGATTGTGGGTATCTAGTGATGTGGTATCTCGAAGAAAAGATCGTCACGCGCATGAAATCAATACTGTACTACCACATCCAGTCCTCGTCTGTGTCATCATTTGTCGTCGTGGTGCCCTTGTCATCACCGACGTTCCCGCCGGTAGCGCAGCCGCTCTGGGAAGTCCCTGCAGCACCTCCGTTGTCTGTAAAAATAAAAACGAAAGTTATCAACAAATACTGTAGCGCGACCTCCATCACTGTACGTACTGGAATTCATGTTGATCATCCCACCGACATTGCTCACGCTCCCTCCTTCCGCCTTCCCGGTGCTCCCAGAGTACGCGTTACCGCCGGCGCCAGTGGTATTCGTGTGTCCGCCGCTCGCGCAGCCCGACGCGGACGTGCCGCCGGCGCCGGCATTGTTCGAGTTGATGTTCATGAGCGTCGGCATGCCGTCGTTGTTCGCGATGTTCGAGATCGAGCCGCCGCTCACGTCTCCCGTGCTACCGGTGTAGCCGTTTCCTCCCATCGTGTCTGCGTCATCGGTACGCTTTGGATAGGCGGAACGGAAGTTGGAGGCCATGCTGGTTCCGGAGAAAGGTCAACCGATGTCATGTAGAGACGCAATGTAGGATACATACTCGTGGAGAGACGATTCGACACTACCGCCGGAGGCATCGCCAGTTGAGCCCGAGTAGGCATTGCCACCAGCCGTGTCCTTATCCAGAGCTCGTTTTTCCGAGGGCTGTCTGGGACCGATGCTAGAGCGACTGTCAGATATGAGCCGCCGATGAGCCACACACTAACGCACTTGGCAGGCTTCGACATCGCGGTCCCGATAATAAGCCGTCTAGGCTCGTCGCGCGACTGGAGGGGATCATGACTAGCGGGGACTGTGCTTCCATCGGCAGTGTCGCGGGCGTGGTGTTGGTTGGGGGAGGCTATGGCATTCATCAATCGGTCAAACGTACTCCGTGCTTTCATAGCACCGGGAATAATCGAGTCTGATTGGGCGAAGTCGGATACAGGGCTTCCATCCGTTTGGTCGCCTGTGACCTTCTCAACAAGAGGAACGACCTTGAGGGAGGATGAGTCGAAGGCCTCCCCCAAGGCACGGTGTTCGATGTTCGCGTTCGAGGAGCCGGAAGAGAAGACCTGGCGGAGAATGGTCGGGGGAAGGGCAGCGACGAGGGGAGAGCTGAGGGCGGCGGCGAAGACGGCGCAAGCGAGTACCGGTACACGCATCTTGAGGTTGAAGTCGACGTCGAGTGTCGCCTGTGTGCTTGAGGTAAGAGGTTGGTGAGATACAATGAAGACGAGGAGCAAAGGAGCACTGGCAGTCACTATATGCGGCTGGCGTTGAGGCTGACATTCGCGTGCCCGTCGAACCACGTTGCCTTTCTGGGCCGAACGGCCTCCATTCCCGGAAGTCTGTGCGCAAGCCACACGGCATGATCGGCAAAGACTGAAATAGTAGAACTATATGTACAACTGCATTTAAATGCGAGTGAGAAATAAAAGACCACGAGATAGTAGTGTAATTGGCGAACGTCGAGGCATGCCGATCGTAGGATATCAAGCGGACTGGGTATGCGAGCGCGGTGAGTTCCAGCGTAGAGGGGAAAAGCGACGACCAGATGTCCAAAAGATACAAACGAATCACTCATCGACCATCAGCCATTCGGTGTCTGACTCACGCTCGTCTCCACCGGAGATGGTGTCCCATCCTTCGTCGTCGCTACACCGGACTCGTTCCTCGCATCCCCGTTTCCCGACTCCGACTCCGAGACAGACAACACCTCGTCCACAGGATCTGCTGGCGCGTTTGTCGCTGCCTGCTTCCGCGAATGCATGTCTTCGTAGAACTCGTTCGCCTCGTTCATCTTGTTCACTTCCGCCTGCTTTGCATCCAGCCACCGCTGGAGCAGCTTCGCGTTGTCCTTTGTCAGCGTTGCGTTGCGCTCTTCGATCTGACTGAGCTCCAGCTGTAGTGTATTAATCTCATCGTGGAGGATCTAACGTGGACGATAAGTGGGATATACGGACGCAATCGAGAACCCAGTTATTACATACCTGGGCTGTCCGATCCTTCTCGGCCATCAGCTCATTATGCTGCTCAACCTTCTTCCGCAACGCTGCAATATCCTCTCGAGCCTTCCTAAAGTTCTCGGACTCGACCCTTGCGAGTTCCTCCTTTTCCCGCAAAGTCTCGTTCATCGCCAGCAGTCTCTGGGCATTCTGACCCTGTGTCTTGTATACTGTCGCTAGTTCATCGCGTAGGGACGATATTTGCGACTCTAGGGATGCAATATATGCTGCTCGAACAGGATTTCTGAGTTGATCAAGTGAGACAAGCGTGCGCGAAAAGAAGCGATGCGGACGTACTCTTCTGCCGTCCCCGGAACAAACACTGTCGAACTGCTGGGATTCGGGCGTGCAGTGCCCATCGCACGGAGGAGAGACGCATTCCGCTCCTTCAAGAGTTTCGTCTGCTGTGCCAATCTGCGATCTTTTCAGCGTTCAAATACAGCCGCATACCAACAGCGACAGCACGACAAGTCAGGATGACGCCGAGGTATCGGGATATGGGGGTGCATGCAGGGAGTCACACATACATTGTTCGATGATGGACGCGTACGCGGACTCGCGCGCGTTGCGCTCAACGAGCCGGACGCGAAGGGTCTCCTGCCATGCGGGCTCTGCCATGGGTGGCAGCGAGTAGCGAGTGATACTGCTAGTAGTAGATACGATGATGTGGGAGACCGTGCGCGGCGGGACAATTCAATCGGAGCTGAAATCCTGACCATCTCAGATCTCACAGCCCGCCCAGCGTTCGCGCCATTCTGGACGTGTCTCATTTTGACTCTGCCCCGCTTACATCACCTTCTTGCCTCAAATCCCTGAACTCTTCGTGCCATGGGTCGCGTACTTCTGAAGGTATGCATCTCTCGATATGCTCGAGGTGGTCTGAAAGCTGACACGGTGTTCGGAAGGTCATCATTCTCGGCGATAGTGGGTACGTATTGTCTCGAAACCAGCCTCCAGTGATGATGCGGAGTCTCATCATGGTGTCCCTCCGCTTCTCTCTGGCAGGGTCGGGAAGACCTCACTCATGAACCAATACGTGAACAAGCGGTTCAGCAATCAGTACAAGGCGACCATCGGTGCAGATTTGTGCGTGCCTTGCCTTACCGGAATGACGTATCGTCGTATTGATCATTAATTCTGTAGCTTGACGAAGGAAGTTATGGTGGACGATCGACTGGTGACAATGCAGGTGCGCGACGCTAAGACTCTGATTTATTAACAATGACCTCACATGCCTTCAGCTATGGGATACCGCCGGTCAGGAACGGTTCCAATCGCTCGGCGTCGCGTTCTACCGTGGTGCAGACTGCTGCGTTCTTGTGTACGATGTGAACAGCGCAAAATCTTTCGAGACTTTGGATAGCTGGCGCGACGAATTTCTCATTCAAGCAAGCCCGCATGACCCGGAGAATTTCCCATTCGTCGTTCTCGGTAATAAGATTGATATGGAGGAGAACAAGCGCCAGGTTCGTATTCTGATAAGCCGAACAATGCGATCCATTAAGCAGTTCATTCATTGTCATCTTAGGTAACGCAGAAGCGTGCGATGGCCTGGTGTCAATCGAAAGGCAATATCCCTTACTTCGAGACGTCGGCGAAGGAGGCTATCAACGTCGAGCAGGCCTTCCAAACCGTTGCGAAGAACGCTCTTCAACAAGAGGCCGAAGAGCAACTGTAAGTGCAGAATATCTCCAGGTTGTACAGACATCTAACATCTCATCCCGCCGCAGATATGTAGATTACCCGGATCCTATCAGGATTGACTCCGAGAGTACACGAAGCTTTGGCTGCTGCTCTTGAACGGTGCACATCACGGACGCGTACAACACCCTCACGCTCTCATGACCTACGGTTACCCATGTTACACATTGCACACCCACCGCTGCCCTTCCTTCTGTTGTCCATACTAATTTACATGTTATGATGATCGCTTTCCTCCTGTGCACCCTTGTATTTCATATACGCAGCTGCTATTGTCCGTTGTCACGATGATGGAATATAGCATAGTACATTTCTTGTCGATATTTCTCTTGAGTGCGATATGCAAAGCGTGAGATGAGTTGAGATACGAATTGGAGATGGCGCGTACCGCGTCGCATCTCGGCTCCGCATCATTACACCAACTTCTGACGATGTCTGTTGACACATCTCACCCACTCACCGCGGGCGGGATACCCCTTTCCTGATCACATAATCCTCCTCCTTCCTTCAAGTGCTATCTACCTTGGGCGGGCTATAGCTCAGCCGCTGCGGTATACTTCCTTTATAGACTCCTCAGCCCACGCGGCGTTACACCCAACGGTCTGGTACCGAGACACCTCAGGACCACCTACTTCGCTCTCCTCATCCTTTGACCCCGCTGGAGGTTCCTTGGTACTCTCAGTGCTTACTTGAGCTTGTCATCTCCTCGTCGAACACGCTGATAATCACCTACATCTGACAACGAGCGTGCCATGCAACAACATCACGCGTCCCCGAGGCCACCGTTTGGCCACAGTGGCCCTTCCGGGATTCCTGGGGACCAGATCATCTGCAAGGGGTGGGTTCTGAAGAAGAGGCGCAAGAAGATGCAAGGTGTGTTCTGTGCTTCTGCGATGCTGTGCGCCTTCTCACCCAGGTGGGATGGTGAGGCTTCGCTCGCCGCTACTTCACGCTCCAGCAGTCGGGATGGCTGTCTTACTCCTTCGAGCCTGGACAGCCCAGTCGCGACCAGGTATTCCTGCCTCAAGCAGCTATTTGCAGCACACCCGGAAGGAAGGACATACACATTGATTCGGGCAATGCGACGTTCCACATCAAGTGTCTCAGCGAGCAGGACTTTGACATGTGGATGGCGGCCTTCCGGTGGGTCTGATGCATCGGTTTAGTCAGCGTATAGTAATCATCATCTGGATTATAGCAAGTTCCTCGCTCGCGATGGCGGACAGTCTGCAGCGCCGACCCTTGGACGGCGTACCACCGTGCGCTCGTCACCAAGGCCAATGCATTACAACCGGGTGGGGGCACTTGTGGACGAGATGGGTAACGTGAGTGCTGGGACTGCCACTCTAAGCCGATAGTTGACGACGGTGTGGCAGACAATCACTGAGATGCAGGAAGCACTCACTACATTGCAAGATGAAGAAGCAAAACAGAGGGCTAATAGCATACGTTCTGAAAAGGACAAGAAGGAACGCACGAAGGAACATGGCGCTCACGTCTTTGGGATATTCAAGAAGGGTACGTCTTCACTCGCCAGCTGACCGAACCATACTGAATCGTTATTCAACCCAGCCGCACCTCATCACAATAATGGTCTTGCACGCAGCTCTACAACAGAAACATCATCCGATACTAGTTCTGCTACTGGATCCACATATAATCGCTTACAAGCCGCGCTAGAGACTCTTAGACACCAACACTCCGCGTTAGTCAAGGCACTGCCTGGAACCACATCACTAGATACCCACTCTGTCTACGGACATACTCTGTCTCATACGCCAGAAGAAGATGGCGAACGCACGCCCACGACAGCCCACAGCATGGGCAGGAAACTCGGACGAATGTCGATGCTGAGCACGCATAGCGGCGGCAGCAACAGCGTCTGGTTCGACGCACAAGAAGGCGATGGCGCTGAAGAGTTTGTCGTGGACGCATCTCCGGGCGAATCAGGCCCTAGTAGCAGTATTCTGGATTTGAGCAGCCAGAGTACCAGCAACCAGGCAGACACGGGATCCAGCACGGATACTAGTGCGGACACCGACGCTGGCTCGGAGATATCATCAGAAACGTCAGAAGAAGAGCTGGCAGGTGCTGTATCTCCGGAACCTGAGACTGGCAAGGAGGAACGCCAAATAGTGCGACGAACGCACTTGCCTTCTGGGCCAGTGGGTGATGAAGTCAGCTTGTTCGCAGTCCTCAAGAAGAATGTAGGCAAGGTACGACAGAGCGAGTTCGTTTATGGGCTTCTGTTCACCATGCTATTCAGGACCTATCGCAAGTGGCCATGCCCGTCTCTTTCAACGAGCCGTTGACGCTCCTTCAGAAGATTGCCGAGGAGCTGGAGTATTTCGATCTCTTATCTCGAGCGGCACAAGAAGACGATTCCGTGCTGCGCATGTGCTACGTGGCCTCATTCGCTGTATCGACCTATGCCAACACAAAGTATAGAACTGGTCGGAAAGGCTTGTGCGCTTCCTCGGTAATATACGTGTTTTACGTACTGACAACGTTCATGCGGCATCTAGCAATCCAATGCTTGCTGAGACCTTCGAGGAGCCGAGGATGATGTTCGTAGCTGAGAAGGTATCCCATAATCCAGTGGTACTTGCGTATCATGCGGAAGGAGAAGGCTGGGAACTCTGGGCCACAAGCACTGGAAAGACCAAGTTCTGGGGTACGTCACACTTCCATTGTTGAATTTCATGATGCTCAATTCTAAGTGCGACAGGCAAGAGCTTGGAGATCATCCCACAAGGTACAATCCATCTGAGGCTAGGAGATGAGCAGTACGAGTGGTGCGTCTACTTGTTGAGTTAGGAATGCCACTATCTGATGAAAGAACCATCAAATTTAGGACGAGGCCTTCTTCGTTCATGCGGAATATCATGATGGGCACAAAGTATCTGGAGCACTGCGGCAAGATGACGATTGAGAATACGGATACTGGATTGCGTTGTAACCTCGAGTTCAAGGAAGGCGGCTACTGGGGGCCGTCCAACATAGTCTCAGGCGCCATCGTATCTGCTTCGGGGAAGACCGAGACACACCTGGAAGGGAAGTGGGACGAGCAGATGGTTCAAAAGCTGAATTCGTCACATCTTCGAGTGCTTTGGAAGCTAAACCCGTTCCCGAAGAATGCGCCAGATTACTACGGCTTCACCTCCTTTGGTATCACGCTGAACGAGATCACGCCGGATCTGGAGGGTCATCTACCGCCGACAGATTCGCGCTACAGAACGGATGTGAGAGCGCTCGAAGAAGGCGATATTGACCGGGCGGAGGCAGAGAAGCAACGGATAGAGGAGTTGCAGCGCGAGAGACGGCGGAGGGGCGCCGACAGGAAACCTCGATGGTTTAAGCAGGTGGGCGACAATGAGTGGGAGTTCACTGGAGAGTACTGGCATCATCGGGAGCAGGGCTGGAAGGATATAGAGCCATTGTGGTGACAATTCTGTGTTCTCGGTCCTCCTGTAGTCACATCTTGCCGACGGGGTAACCTGGAATTATTTCTTGCAGACGTACGAACGTTATATGCATGACTACGATTTGGGGTATATGCGAAGGCAAGAGGGCCATATACCAAAGACCGGACTTTGCAAGGCATCGTCCACCACCAGTGTGACAAAAGCAAAGAGACCACGCATGTCGCGTCTTCCGGCCTCGCCTGATGCGACTGAGCAGAAGGAGCGTTCTTCGCATACGGAGATATCCACAGTGTTGAGGTTTGGATAGGAGCCGAGGCTGGAGGACGTCCGTGCAGGCACGCGGTAAGCTAGGGCATTGACGAACTCCAAATCCCATACGTTGTCAGAATGAGTCTCAAATATCGTAGGGCCGCCCAACGAGGTCGCCATTGTAGAACAGGATTGAGGCCGATGACCCGAGGAGATCTGCAGCTGAGAGCATCCAGTATAGCTCCTGCGATTTCCACCATGGGTGAAGCTGGCTGCATGTGAATGCGCACTGATTGTGGATGGGGACTGAGTACGAGGGAAATGATATTGCCAGATATGATATTTCTTGTACCATACTGACCGCAGGGGGGGCCCAATCCAGTCTTCGTTAATTAGGCAGCAAAGGAGTCATCTATCGGAGAATGTTCGACATCCTATGAACGCCGACGGAGACATTGATTCCCTCAAAGCGTTCATCTGACTCCTTCAGATGAGGACTGTAGTGTTACAGGCGATCGAGGCCATGCGAACTATCAGAGGAGGAAGAGCGACGAGAAAGTGAGATCCACCCGGGCAGATGCATGGAGAAGCCGGTCACGGCAGTTCCTCGCGATGGCGACGAGAGTGCGACTTCATCGCCTACGTCGAGAATCCTAAATTATCTCTTCGGTATAATCCTGAATGTTGTAATGAATCAGAGCCGATGAAGATCACGAGCAAGTTCAAAGCTGTCCATAGGAAATTGACGCAAGGCCGTTGGACGACCCTCGATCACGATCGAGGTCACGTGTGCTTCCGAGTATTGGGACAGAAATTTATGCAGTCGATCGAGATTCATCTCGTGTCGGAGTCACTCTGTTTTCGAGCAGACAGCTGGGTATATGCCAAAATAGCTTTTGCCGCACTGCACTAGATATCTCACACATTGCCAGGGCCGTCTGAATCCCACCGAACGGTGGAACCATGGCCGCCGGTCGATGTCTAGGTGCTCGATGCACCCTCTCATCCTTGCGCATGGGCCAAATATCTCAAAGACGGTGTCTGGCCATGCATGCTGATGTGTCAGAGAAGAACTGCGCGTCCATTACCCCTCCTTATGCAAAGTTGCTGGATCGACTGGCGGTCGTCCGCCGACTCCTTGGGAACCGGCCTCTGACTCTAGCGGAGAAGATCCTCTACAGCCATATCACCGATCCGGAGAAGAGTCTTGCAGAAGGGACGTTAAAGAGGGGAGAGACATACCTGCAGCTCAGTCCAGAGCGGGTCGCTATGCAGGATGCATCGGCTCAGTGAGTGTGATCGGGAAACTCTGGGACGATTATGTCAAGGCTCACCTTGGGAAACGCATCGCACACCAAGGATGGCTCTGTGAGCAAGACTCTGCTTTCTTCAAAGCCCTCAGCTCATGTATGTTTAAGCCTGCAGTTCATGAGTGCCGGCATGACGCAGTGTGCCGTACCTACCAGCATCCACTGCGACCATCTCATCCAAGCAGCCGATGGTGCTGACGCTGACCTCAAGGTATCTCATATATTGTCACCGCGTACATGACATGCTACTTGACTTTATCTGTGCAGCGCTCAATTGCATCGAACCGGGAAGTGTTCGACTTCCTGGAGAGCGCCGCGCGAAAGTACGGCATCGAGTTCTGGAAGCCAGGCTCTGGTATCATCCACCAAATTGTGCTGGAGAACTACGCCGCGCCTGGGATGCTCATGTCCGTCCGCGTTTCCATTCCAGATTGTCATTCTCTGACTGTTGTACATACGTCTAGGCTGGGAACAGGTACACGGACTGATTGACTGATCTGGTCTCACGAACCGCTCATGAACTCTCTTTCCACCAGACTCGCATACTCCAAATGCCGGTGGCCTCGGAATGCTCGCCATTGGCGTCGGCGGCGCAGATGCCGTCGACGCAATGACCGGTACCCCATGGGAGCTCAAGGCGCCACAGATCGTAGGTATGCACTGCGGGTAGAACCTTTGTGATGCTCGTTCGAGCACTGAACTGTACGAAAGGTATCCATTTGACTGGCAAGCTATCGGGATGGGCGACGCCCAAGGACCTCATTCTACATCTGGCCGGAAAGCTCACTGTCCGAGTGCGTAATCCATTGACATTTTGTGAATTTTCTGGTTCGAGTAACAGTGCTATAACACAGGGAGGGACAGGAAGAATACTAGAGTACTTCGGCCCGGGTGTCTTCAATCAGTCTTGCACTGGTCAGTGTCTCGTTCCACATTACATTGGCCTGGTCTTGATCTTTTCACTACTTCGTAGGCTTGGCCACGGTAGCGAACATGGGTGCCGAAGTTGGCGCAACGACGTCAACATTCCCATACACTCCAAATATGCACGCGTACCTCCACGCTACTGGCCGAGCGCCCGTCGCGCGCGCTGCAGACAAGGCCGCGGCTGGCGGTTTCCTCGCCGCTGACGAAGGTGCCGAATATGATGAGGTTATCGAGATCGTGAGTACCATACATTCCACTTGCTTTCGTCTCCCACATCATGTACTCAGTGTCTTTCTGATTGCAGAACCTGTCCGAGCTCGAACCCAGCATCAACGGACCGTTCACGCCCGACCTGGCTACCCCATTATCAAAGTTCGGCTCATTTATCAAGGGGCAGGGATGGAAGGATGAGCTCTCTGCTGGTCTCATCGGGTCGTGTACGAACAGTTCGTACGAGGACATGGTGAGTTTCCGCTTTTACAGTGAGCTGCAGTGTCGTAGCCAGCCGCTAACTCGTTGCGAATGTGATTCCTAGACAAGTGTTGCGGATCTCGCGAAGCAGGCCAAGGCTGCTGGGCTCAGCGTCAAGGTGCATTTGTAGTTGTCCATGCGTGAATTTAAATGCTCATACCTGTGTTATTGTCAGGTTCCGTTCTTGTGCACGCCTGGGTCAGAACAGATTCGGGCGACGATGGAGCGCGATCAGGTTACGGATGCATTGCGGGATATTGGTGCGGTTGTGCTCGCAAATGCATGCGGTCCGTGTATCGGACAGGTGCGATACTGGGGTGAATAGAGTTGCCGGTGCTCGATGCTGATGCGATTATAGTGGAAACGGGAAGATAAAAAGGGTGAAGAGAACGGTGAGTGGCGATAGTAGCTACGAGTTTTGCACGATCTGAGGAGACTTCCTGGTAGCCATCTTGACGTCTTTCAACCGGTGAAATTGTTTTCTGTTCAGTCCCACTAAACCGTTCCTCATACGTTCACATCCTCACAGCAACTTCAAGTCCCGCAACGACGGCAACCGACTCACGATGAACTTCCTCGCCTCGCCCACCGTCGTCACAGCAATGTCGTTCTCCGGCAAGCTATCCTTCAACCCCATAACTGACACGATCCCCACGCCCTCCGGTGAGCAATTCAAGTTCTCCCCACCGAAGGGCCAGGACCTGCCTTCCGCCGGCTTCACCTCGGGCAAGACGGACTTCTATCCGAGCCCGACGCCCGCGCCCCAGCCAGACACCGAGGTGATCATCAAGGAGGGCTCGCAGCGCCTCGAGTTGCTCGAGCCGTTCTCGAGCCACTTTAGCGAAGGGAGTGGGAACAGCAGAGGGCTCGAGCTACCGAGCTTGAAGGTGCTGATGCGGGTGAGGGGAAAGTGCACGACGGATCATATCTCTGCTGCGGTACGTGCTGTGATGTGCCTCGTAAGAAGGGGTCGTTCATCCTAATGCCTGTGACTAGGGCCCGTGGTTGAAGTATAAGGGACATCTGACGAACATTTCCGAAAACCTGCGTATGTTGTCCTATTTCCTCGTTAGCATTGAATAATCTAACGATATATGCACTTCTAGTCATCACGGTATGCAGACGTCTTCCCATATTGCATCTTCTGCTTTTATAACGATACTCGCAGGCTACCAACGATGAGGGCGGTGAGGTGAACATAGCATTTGACCACGATCACGACCCCTCGCAAAGCGAGACAGACACGATCCCAGGCATCGCGAAACGGTTCAAGGCTCGCAAGCAGCCATGGGCGCTGATCGTCGATGATAACTACGGAGAAGGAAGTGCTCGCGAGCACGCCGCTCTCCAGCCCAGGTTCTATGGTAGGCTACAATTACACGTACCTGTCTGTAAAATCGATGACAATATTCGCAGGGTGTGCTATGATTGTCGCCCGATCCTTCGCTCGCATACACGAGACGAATCTGAAAGTAAGCAAAAACGCGTTGTCCTCTGAGTTTGTGTTGAACCTGGTCTAGAAACAAGGCATCTTGCCCCTTTGGTTCGCCGACAAGGCCGACTACTCACGAATAGGCGCTGGCGATATCGTCGAGACCGTCGGGCTTGCCGACCTGCTCAACAGCGTGCGCAATGCCGCGATCAAGCTCAAGGTTACTCGACGCAACGGCGACGTCTTCGAGGTCCCCACAAAACACACCATGTCCAGCGATCAGCTGAAATGGTTGCGAGCAGGTTCAGCATTGAACCACATCCGCTCGCAAATGAGTTGATATGCATATGTACGGGTAGATATGCGCTTCGGTGGTAGATGACACATACATTGTATACTACACGCTATTGGGATGCCAGTGATTGTCCGAGGACTTGCAAATTATGCGCTGTCCGCACTTCATCTTTGTGCGATTTTAACCAAGACAAAGCGGACTTCGCCACGGCTATGGCGGGCTGGGGCAGTCCAGCAAGTTGAGCGACCTTAAGGCCATGGCTATTGCGATTGACTCCGGGCCGCAGTCGATGCGAATAGGAGAAATAACCGTCCTGATGAGGGCACAGCGTTATTTGATGGTCAGCTGACAGTGTGAGGCAACGCTCACCTCAGTCTCATCCACATCCGTGCAGAAGAAGCTGGCTCCGGCGAAGGACCCTCGCCCTTTGCTGTCGTTAGTGCATCCGAGCATGTCAGCAAGCTCATGGAAGTGTGTGGCAAACATAGCGCGGCAGCCGTTTACTGTAAGCAGATGATGTACAGCTGCGAATGCAATCGCTATGCCGTCGTCTACCGTCGTACCTCTTCCCACCTCATCCATGATGACCTATCCGAAAGATCGTTCACCATATGTGAGTGATGGGCGCCGGATGTACTTACAAGGCTGTTAGGAGTGGCACGTTGTAGAATCTCGCTCGTCTCTAGCATCTCCACCATGAAAGTGCTCCTATCCCGGAACAGATCGTCTCTCGCACCGATTCGAGAGAATACTCGGTCGACGATACCGATCTCGGCATAGTCGGCGGGCACAAAGGACCCAGTTTGGGCGAGGACTGCGATGAGGGCATTCTGACGCAGCAGAGTAGATTTTCCAGCCATGTTGGGGCCAGTGATGATGTGAAGGCGAGACTCCGGAGTGAAGAGCACCGTATTCGGCGTGAAAACTCGGCCAGACGTCAGAAGGCCGAGTTCAACAGTAGGATGCCTGCCATTCACAACATGAAATGACGTTCTAGACGGACGTAAATAAGCTCGGCTCAAAAGACAATAGCATTTGTATCCGAACCCTTCAGTGACATTGGGTCTGACGAACTTCATCTCGCTGGCGAGATTGGCGAATGCAACGGTGGCATCTAGCTCATCTACAATGCGAGCGTTGTGCCGTAACTGGGTACTGACCGCTGTGACCTAAGCGACGAGATAGATGTGAACATCGCCGTGAAGCAGATTGATCATGCGTACTTCATTCCGCAGAATTTCAAACGTCCTTCGCTCGGCCGTGCTGATGGCCAAGATCGTATCTATGAGTTGCGTTCCTAGCGATGTCCAATCCTGAAAGAGAAGAACATATCTATACAGGGCATGTATGAAGCGTCATCAGACTGACTTTGTACTGGAATGAGCTCGTGGAGCTGTTCTCTGATATGAAAATGAACTCCGGCGAAGCCTTCAGCTTCTTCGCATCACGCTTTGTCCTTCCAACATGCACATGCAGACCATGTGTCGGTGACAAGCGGAGCGAGAGGGAAGTAGAATCTATATTAGTGAATAATTGTCAGAAGGGTCCAAAATCGCAACTGTTGAGCTTTTAAATGCTACCATATATAGTCTGAAGCCGGACTTGAAGCTGTTCCCTACGCTCCAGAAGTTCCTTCAAAGTGGTGTGATACGCACGAAGTTCGTCTGTGAATCTGGCATCGAGTCAGTCAGGCCGATTGCACAGCGATGAGTTAAGCCATACCCAGGCTTAATCGACCAGCTTTCCTCCCCGAGTGACTGCAATCTATCCTTCACAATAGAATAGCGCGTTGGAAGGGACCTAGCATTGGGAGATCGCTCCTCTTCTGCTTGCGCATCATCATCACCTACAGAATTGCCTACTCGCGCGGCGGCAGTCAGAGCATCTTCTATGATGATTACTAGGCGGCTAATGTCGTGCAACCCACGCATCAAAGCGTCGATACTGCTCCAGTCATCCACCTGTATCGAACCTCGCTCTCGCTTCTCCATCTCTTTTTCCAGTTCGATGCGATCCTCGATCTTTATCCATGCACGGATGGTATTGCAGATTGCGGAGAGATCATTAACCTGCCCGCGTCCGAGGAGAAAACGTTGCACAATACGCGAAGCATCCTCGATGTCTGTCAGCAACTGGACCAAATCTTCGCACAGATAGGGTCGAGCATGGAAAAAAGCAACCAGAGACTGTCTTGCTTGAATCTCCTTTAGTGATGTGCTCGGGGAGCCTAGACATGATAATGGTCACGGAACGTCTCTCAGATGAGTTGAGCATCAGGAAACTCACACAGCCATCGAGCAAGCAACCGGGTGCCACTGGTTGTGACGGTACGTTTGATAACACTCAGCAAGGTACCCGTAGCACCGCCGTCATTTAGTCCTTCACGAATCTCGAGAGCCCTGATGGTGTGCGAATCGATCTGCATCCTCCCTTCCACACTTTCCCTGCTAGGACGAGGTAGCGTGGGCATGTTTTCCATCAAGTTCGATTGCAGGAAACTGGTGAGAAGCCTGACCGCATAGACTTCGGAATCGCTAAGGACAATATCTGATTGGGGTACAGATGTTCCAATATGGGTTGTGACATCGTCTGCTCCCGAGTTGTCTCTGAGATTGTACTCAGAGGGATCCGTCTTGGCACTCTTGGATGGGGAAATGTACGATGCAAAGAACCCCTCCTCTGTAATAGTTCGACGGATGGGATGTGAATCTTCGAGAGTGTAATCCTGGCTAAGAATAATCTCGCGTGGTGAGATGCGGACCAACTCATCGCGAAGTTCATCAAGTGTCGACGCCTTTGTAAAGAACTCTCCAGTAGATACGTCTATCCACGCCAGACCCATCTGCCGGTGCTCGACGTCTGTCGGGTCATATGATGTCGAGCCAAAGTAAGCGATGGACAACAGGTAGTTGTCCTCGTACGGATTGAGGAACGACTCATCAATGAGAGTGCCGGGGGTAATGATGCGAGTGACGCGCCTGTCGAATCCAGCGTTGGCGCCAGCTTTGGGATCAGGAGGAAACTCCTCGCACAACGCAACGAATCGTTTGTGGTTTTGTATTATATTCTTCAGGTGCTTGTCAAGGTGCGCAAGAGGAAACCCGCACATAGGGATCTGTGTTCCCATTGTACGGCTCGTTAACTTGATGCCTAGGAGACGAGAGACCTCCTTAGCTTGATCGAAGTAGCTCTATGGATTTTTATGCAATTCAGAATGCGGTAATCTCTGATGCATGAAATAAATCACACCGACCTCCCAGAACTGGCCGACACGCGTCAACAGTATACAATGAGGAAATTTCCTTAGATTCGCAAGGATCTCCTTGGCGAGCCGGGGGCGATTGCGGTCTGATTAATTTGATGAGTATATAATCATAAGCTGTGAGTACTAGCAGATTATGCACCTTCTTCATCGACAGCGGACTCGTCACCGCTGCTTTCCTTCTTCTTCACCTTCTTCACTTTCTTCTTAGCAGTGCCGGTCTCGCTTTCTGTCGTTGAAGTGTCTCGGGGCTTCCGCTTCTTTTTCTTGACTGGTGTAGCATCCTCAGCATGACCATTCAACTCTGCCTCATCTGCGTTCAATTGGCTCTTTTTTTTTGGACGGCGTTTGGGTACACTGGGAGATTCCAGACCATCAGCCGAGGACTCATCTACGGCTTGGATGTCCATCTCCTCTGCTGCATCAGCACTTAAGCCTTCGTTATCCAGCGTCATTTCATCTGACCCAGAAGCTCGTGAGCCACTCTCTGCGGAATTGATATCGGCTGTCCGTTTATAGATTCGATTCGTGTATTATTAGCTATGTAATCTTTCAATCGACGAAGAGGCGCACGTCGAACTGAATGAGCACGGGTACTAGCACGATTCACGGCGAAACGTTCTTCTAATCCACCCTCCCAGTCTTCAAGGGGAGCAGCCACTTTGCCATCGGGAGTAAGGCGTGCATTGGGCAGTTCAGAATAAGACTTCTTGGTCGCCGTACGTTTCGCGCCCGTCTTTTGTGCAGTGCTTGAGGATTCGGCCGTCGAACGTAGGGGGAGACAAGTAGAGAACGTTCGCGCACATATTGCAGGAGGTCTGTGGACGAACGTATTGTAGGCTACTCGCAGCAAAGTGACCATAGAATTCACCACACTATGAGGGAATCGCTTTCGGAGAAAGTCAAACGCAGCACACAGACAAAAGTTGAGGTGTCCAGCCTATTCGCTTTTGAGCGGACAAGGGGGTATAGGGCGGGAGGAAAATGAACAGATTAATGTTGAGCAGCCGCTCGCTGATCGCCACATCAAAGCCGCTCGTTATGGATGGCGGAGTTTCAAGTTCGCAACTCCATCTCGTCGCCCTCACCGACAACACAACCAGTCCCCAGCCGTACCATACCCTACCTACAACATGTCTTTCGCCGGCAGACGCACAAGAAACAAGGTCAAGAAAGGTGTCCAGTTCACCGTCATGGTGGTTGGTCAGTAGCTCGACTCCGGGTCGTCGCTCGGTGTGCCAACGTTGAGCGTCGGCCCGTTGTACTTTAGGCGCGTCGTGATGCTCATGCCTTTGTGGTTGCTGTAGGTGCCTCTGGTACGGGCCGCACGACATTCGTGAACACTTTGTGTGAGTCGGAGGTCCTGTCGCACAAGGTCTGCGACAGCCCTGAGACAGCGCATGTTGAGGAGGGCATCAGGATCAAGCCTGTCAACGTCGGTACGTGTCGCAACTCACTGCGTGCAATCTCTCTCCTCTCACACGTCATGAGGCAGAGCTCGAGGAGGAGGGCGTCCGCATCGCCCTGACCATCGTGGATACCCCGGGTTTCGGTGACAACATAGACAACGAGTTTGCGTGAGCATGCCGGGTCCTTCCTCGATGTGCTAGAATCTTGTGTGTCTCATCCCATGCAGCTTCCAGGAGATTGTTGGTTACCTTGAACGCCAATACGACGACATTCTCGCGGAGGAGTCTCGTATTAAGCGTAACCCTCGCTTCCGGGACAACAGGGTTCATGCCTTACTCTACTTCATTCCTCCAACCGGCCACGCGTATGTAATGCTACCTTTATCCATGGAGGGCGATGATCTAATGTTTGCGCGAAGGTTGAGAGAGATGGACATCGAGCTCATGCGCCGGCTCTCACCTCGTGTTAATGTCATACCGGTCATTGGCAAGGCCGACGCCTTGACTCCAAGTGAACTTAGAGGGTTCAAAAAGAGGGTGGGTATTCACTTCTAATCGACTTGCACGGTTTTAGCATTGAATGCACCTGATTTGGTCAGATCATGGAAGATATTGAATACTACGACATCCCCGTCTACAATTTCCCTTACGATATCGAGGAAGATGATGAGGAAACGATCCAAGACAACAGCGAGCTTCGTGTTGGTGGTCTTCTAAATGCTGTTATTCGTTTCACACTGAAAACCCGCTCGCAGGCCATGATGCCCTTCGCCATTATTGGCTCGGAAGAGGAAGTTGAGATCGATGGACAACCCGTCCGTGCAAGAATATATCCTTGGGGAATTGTCGAAGTCGACAATCCGAAGCACTCAGATTTCAGCCGACTGCGGGGAGCCCTCTTGAAGTGAGTTCATCATCCATGACGTGTCGGGCTTAACTAAGGTTTTTGAACAGTACACACTTGGCTGACCTGAAGGCCTTGACCCATGATGTACTGTACGAAACGTACCGTACCGAGAAACTATCCAGGACAGTCCACGCAGACGCCCCGTGCGTGACGTTTCTTATGAACTCAATTTACCTGAATAACTCAATGCCGGCCGACTCTTTCAGAGACTCATCAATCCTGCCGGAAGAGCTGGCAACGCAGAGTGTGCGCCTTAAGGAGGAGCAGCTCCGTCGAGAAGAGGAGAAGGCAAGTGACTCACCCAGAGCTATGTCCGAGAGAGCTGATCATCGTGAGTTCACCAATAGCTGCGCGAGATCGAATTGCGGGTACAGCGAGAGATCAATGAGAAGAGGCAGGAACTGCTGGCCAAAGAGGAATCGCTCAGGTGAGTGGCGGAGCCGTAATCTATCGTTCTGGATATTGATGAGCTGGTACTGCAGGAACCTCGAGAGCCGCCTTGCTGCCCAAGGCTCGCAGGCAGAAATCCGAGACTGATCCTGGAGCGTCTCGACGCGCTCTGTGTGAAAAGCAGTTTCGTGAGGCCAGTATACCCTATGTCAATCAGGACTATCTGTCACGTCCCCCTCCGTTGGCGAGGTGCTTCCGTTCGTTACGGGCTGATTATCCGGATAATCTATCATGTTTTGCATTGTCGCTTCAGTAATTGCTCCTTTCTCCTTCGGTCGTTCTCGCGCTCCTTGTCGACGGACGCTTCGCGTCTCGGGTCGTACTCTACGTGACTCGTACACTCGTTTGGCCATTGCTACATGGTTGACCCGCTCTGTCCAGTTCTAGTGCATTGCGATAATGATATATACATACGTGCAGGCTATCTGAGAGACGTCGGGAGACGGCATGCAATGCTGCCGACAAGAGATCAGCTTGAGATCAGCCAAATCACACAGATGGGAAACCCGCTATGATTTGGTGATGATCAACATGCCAGGGCCGTTGGCATCCGTGGTGGCGTCGTGACCTCCTGGGACAAAACATGATCGCAGACGTTCATCATTGCACGAAACCATCACCGACACGAGACGGCTGGGAGGAGATGGGTATGGCGGCAGCCTAAGGCCAAATTACACGTCGCAAGGCGAGGGTGCGTGCGAGGAATACGTGAACAGCGAGCATCTAGCGTGTCGGACAGCGTAATTGTGCTGCCGCCACACTAATCTGGACTCCGCCAGTGCGTACGAAAGCCAACAAGCGCCCGCTCTGTTTCGGTGGCTGCAGGCGGCCTTCCCATCCTGATTTTTCCCGCTCTCTTCACCCGCCGTCCTCCTCATCGTCGCGTGCGACGTATGTTCATCCTCCTCACCGCTCTGCATCACTGCAACAGCCTTGATCTCGACAGTCACATCCATCGTGCCGAGCTGATCGAGCGCCTCAACCCAATCCGGTACCTCACGTCTGCTTGGTCTCGGCTCATTTCCACCTTCCAGTCCTGTTGACTTTGCTCGTTGCCTCCTTGCTGTGCATACAGTGGACTCAAATTCTTCGCCCCACCGCTCTTTGGGATTTCTGTCTGGAGGCAATAACCCTGAACCCCCTTCGCTTTGCCAAAACGGGGCTCTGTATTGTTGAGACAGCGGGACGTCCCGTCCGGTCGTGCTTCACGAGCAGCAGCTGCCTGCGTCCGTCCGACTGACCGCACACCGTAACCGATTGTCGCTGTCTTCTACTGAATGACTGCTATGGAGCTTGATTGGCAGAGCCCACCTCTCGCCATCTCTGGCATATACAAGGCACGCGAATGGCAGGCATCCCAAGAAGCCGTAGGAACCTCTATCCCTCCGACTTCTTCTTCTTTCGTTACACGGCGCCGCTCCTCTATGGCGCACGCACCTCCTCCTGGTCCTCCTCCTTCCCAACCAATTCCCAGCGTGCCAGCTCTGCCTTCGCAGTATGAGATGTATGAGGGGATGTATGACGGGATGCCAGACACATCAGAGCCGCAGCGCGGTACGATGTCTCAGATGCACCCTTATACGCGTCCAGCAGCTTCAGCAAATCTCGCTGCTGTCGCTGCTTTCTCACAGGCCCGCCTAGCTGCCGCCTCAACTTCTGCCTCTATATCTCCTTCTCCATTACGTTCCTCCTCTTCATTAGAGAACCTACTGGATTCTCCACCTCTTCCGGCGCGACGTTCTACCTTTTCAAGACGCTTTACTGCTGCCCAGGAAACCAACTCGGATCGGTCATTGTTGGGTCCCACCGACGTGCGGCCAGAGCCCCGGCCGTCTCCGCGACGCGCTCTGACCAAAGCTTTAGAGCTTGCTCGTGAAGCTGTGCGTCTTGACTCTACAAATGACGACCCATACGGTGCGGTCGTAGCATATGGACAGAGCGTGGCATTGCTGAGCGAGGTAATGGAACGTGTCATGAGGGGCGAAGATAGCACGGAAAGCCATAGAAAACAGAATGGAAGGCGGAGAAGTGTGGTAGCGCAGGAAGAGGAAGTCAAGCGACTGAAGTCGATTGTAAGTGATATAGGTGGATAGCAACCATTTAACTTCTAATCGCGCTTGTATGCCCTCCACTCCCACCCAACGATAGCATGATACATATGCGGACCGTATGAATATCCTCAGCTTGATATACAGCATACCATTGCCATCAACATCGCCTCCGTCGGCATATGCGTCATCCTTGTCGCAGTCCACCGACTCGACACGACCATCCTCACCGTCATCCATATCCCCTTCCGCAGAGTCATCCGATTCTCGCCAGCATCTCCAGCCATCTCTTCGCCCGCGAAGTCGTGACGGACTTCGGTTCCCTTCAGAGACTATCAGGTTTTACGACAGCTCAGGCGATGACGAGCTGGATGCTGCGGAAGCGATCGGCACTGCTTTGTCCACGTCGACTGTGCTACACTCAGTTGGCCGGACAGCGTCCCTGGGGGTTGGCGCTGGTAGTAGTTCACATCCATACGCTGCAAGCTCTGCGACACCCTCTGTATCAACCAGCCTACCGAATAGAGCGCATACTGTGCGAAGCAGTCTGCGACCTCGTGCATCATCCAACCTTCCACCTCCTGCCCCACCCCCTACGAAATCGCCACCGCCGGCTCCGGTGCCAGCGCCTGCTGCTGTGGAATTGACTGCAGAGCCAACATCCGCAAGTCATTTGAAAGCGTCTGAGAGCGGTCGAAGGAGAGGCGATTCTGTCAGCTCTGCCAGCCATTCGCGCGCAAATTCTGCAAGCCGCCTATCGTCTCTGCAGGAGGAGAGGATGGAGGATTTATCGTCGCCTCCAAGTGAGACGACACCGCTTCCCACTCTCAGCGATGGATCTGTTCTGCCAAGGTCGAGAATGTCGTTGCATTCTGCACCATCGTCGGTTGTCTCCCATGAGTCACACCCATTGCCTCCTTTGCCATCTTCAGCAGGTTCACCGATAACCGCTCGTGTTGCTGCACCTGTTACTGGGAGTGCCTCGGAGCCACCCTCGCCTCATGTTGCCACGCAGTTCACGACCCCGAGGCCCAGAGGTTGTTCAGGATTTTCCGTGCGCTCGGAGGCCGCAGCACCCGTGAATAGGCCATCGTTGATCAACACATCCCCTCATCTGGGTACCATCTCGCAGCGACGGCATAAGACTTCGATTGTACCGTCGAACCCCTCTTCTTCACCGACTGAGTCCACTGCTTCCGCCGCCTCGATGCTAAATACGGGCCGCTTAACAGCATCCGCATTATCTGCAAGCACTGTGTCGAGTTTGGGCATTGGCTCGCGTAACAGGGCGTCATCGCAGCCGAGCCGCCGTCCATCGACAGCCTCAGGTTCTTACTTCCCATCTGGGGCGACTGCGATGCCCAATGGCGCCCCTGCTCCACGAAAGCCGTCGATCCCCTCTCGTCTCAACCCTAATGTGCCACCCCAGATCTCGATCAACACTGCGTTAATGTCACCGCCGTTGGGCCCAACGACGATCATGCCACTTGTCCCTCCGCCGCCAATACCCTATGGAAACATACCCACTGCACCACTATCGCCTATGCCAGCGCTGGCGCCGCCAGATCCTATGCGAAAACCATATCATATGATGTCTCTTCTCCGGCAGACGATGACATCCAAGACGGGCGGGTATATTACCCGCCGACTGCATGTGCCGCAAGAGGTGTGGTCACAGGGCGGCGCGAAGCTCACCAACATCCCAGAGAAGATTCGAGTGGTGGAGGTACTATGCTCCGCGCTGGATGAACTGCAGCGTTGGAGCGTAGAGTATTTCGGTGCGGGGAATGTGAGCAGCGGGATGGCGCTGGGGATTGGCAGCATTGGAAGAAAGGAGGGTGAGCAGTGGTCGATGAAGCTGGAAGAGTTTGCGAGCGCGTGCGATGGAGTTGTGGGCAACTTCGGGAAGAAGCTGGGCGTCGGAGAAGGCTTCGTGACCAAAAAGAGCAGTGGGGTGAGTGCAGAACGCGTGGCAAGAGGGTTTTGTGCGATAACGTGTTCCATTTAGGTTACTTCGTGGGGTGGGAAGCTGACCCGGCAATTTGACAAGCTCACCAATGGGAAGAAGTGCGTCTTTAATGCCCATGCCACTAATCAATATGTTCTAATCACTGGTCTTAGTCTCGATTCGCCAGCGGTCTATGTCCAGGGCTTGTCGAAGCTGTTCCAGCAGGCACAGTTGCTCGATGAGCACACGAAAGCTGCGTTGTCGGTGCCTCCCGCTCCGCTCTACATGGGCTTCCCTATCGAGGTTCGGACCGCGCTCGAGTTCAAGCTGCGGCACGCGTCAGAGTTCTTCGCCAAAGTGGTGCTCACCTTCGTCATTCGGGACATGGCATTGCTCCTGGATAAATACGTAAAGAAATGCGAGAAATGGCTCGCAGAATGATTGTAAGAAGTAAGACTAATCATATTGCGCTGTATGGGGCCATGCCCCCTTTACCATCTGTGACAGTCGTGAAGATTCCCCCCCACGCAACACATTGTAACTTTATGCTCCAGGATGACTAGATTCCCCGCATCTCTGTCCTCTATGGCCTCCTTGCACTCTCCGTTCGCCCTACTTCGTTCTTTTTGCGGAACTTTCTGTATGTAGTGCCTTTCTTGTGCATACTATTTTCTTCAGCATAGCCTTCTCTGTACGCGTTTGGGATGGTGTGGCGCACAAACTCTGATTTTTTGTAACATTATTCGTACATACCTGCTTCCTACCACAATATATCCGCGAGCGGATCGAAGTGCATCCATTGGCTTTGACTGATGACGGACTTGTCCTTTCCATGACTTTGAAGTATTCAACGGTACATGCGAGAGGTATAACCAAGGAATGTGTAAACTATGTATGCAAGTCCGGGATGCTACAGCGGAAGACCTAGCTAGGCGAAGGAATCCAGCGAAATTTTGACTACATGGAATAGTGTTCGAATCACTGCTGCTGCACATTACAGGTATCAAAACAAGAATCATCTGAAATTAGTAGCTATGGTGGGCATGCGAAGGAATGTCATAGTGTATTGTGGACGTGATGGGGTATGGGCTCGTCTTCAGGATCTGGCGTCGGCTCTTTACCCCGAAGACGGCTGATGATGCGCAACCGTAGCACTGGAACACCGTCAAAAGAGGACATAGAAAACATGCGAGGTTGCGCTCACCATAATCGAGACGAGTGTTTTCGTCCGCAGACTCGTCGTCGGAGTGCAAAGGGTCTCTGTTCATTGAGGTGTGCCATGCCTCTAAAGTGCGGACCGAAACATGCTGGATAAGCTGGCACCTAGTCATGCAACAGAGATACTCACGTTCAAGCATCGAGCGGCGGGGAACGCCTCGGTTTACCGGGATGGTGGGGTAGATCGGTGGGGTATATGCAGGGACGGTGTATTGTGATGGTATGTAAGGCGCATCGTACGAAGCCATAGGATATGGGGAGTAGCGTGACACCGAGTGGCGATGTTTACGCGAGTAGGCGCGCGGTAGCTTACCATTGTGCGGTTGGAAAGAATATTCCGGAGAAGGCCGTGGAGCATAAGTTCCGACGTATCCTGCGGGGTCCGACAGCATCTCTGGAATGGAAGGCAGACGCTCAGGGCGAGGCGAGGACAGCCGTAAAGGAGTTGGAGAACGGTGTCTTGATGGCGCGGGTGACAGATCATAGTACGAGTTTGGCGTGTGCTCTGATGAAGGACCGCTGAAGTGCGAATCTGGTAGTCACAAGACGACGATCAGCCTATTCTGGAGCAGCATGAGGGACAAGGTGCGTACTGGCTGGATGATCATGTCTCGATTGAGGCAGGTATATTTGTCCTTCAAAATATGGAGACAATGCCCTATCTCTGGTTTGAACGTTTGGCGCCTCAGGCAGATTGATTGCCTTTGCTTTGCCCTTGGCCCTATTGCGAGCCGCGGCTCCTCGTGGTTTAGGTCGTTCCCGCTCTCCTTCCAGCGAGTCTTGCTCTTCTTCTCTGGCCTTGGTCTCCAAGAACTCCTTGCGTTGACAGGTCATCCGCGCTCCCCACTCTTTCTCATCAGGGGGGTCGACGTTCTCGCGCGCAGCCTCCTCGGGAGAAAGCACAACAAGTAGGGGGATCTGACTCTGGTGAGCATTCGCATGCTCGTCGGCAAAAGGATTGGGTGACGGCGCCTCGTGATAGTGGTAGCAGAGCCAGAGGAATGCGCGCGCGCGGGACGCAGACGATATGTGGAGAGGAGTGAAGAAGTCGATAAAGTCGTATGGACGTTGGCGGCTGAAATGCGAGCGCCCGATTGTCTGTTGGAAGTCAGTGGCTGCTTGGCAAAGTATGAGTGGCACCCTTACTCCTGCGTTGAGCGAGAAGGTGAATATAAGGTTGACGATGCTAGTGGGTGGCACCTGCCCTGACCGCTGTGCGCCCACTCAGTGTCTACGTGGCATTGCAAGAGAGGCAACACTGACGGATCGGGCTAGCACGTCCTGGGGGGTCATGATGATACCCTGCGTCTCACTTTCCAGCGCACAGGATTTCAGAATGTTCTTGATGCGGGGGGCATCCTGGAGATTTCCATCTGTCTTCTGCAATGAAGGGACAGGATGATATGTCCTTAATGCAGTGCGCATCTCCGGGAAGACTGTATGAGGAAGGTAGCGCGCGTCAGTTCCGGTCCGAAATGTGTCGTTATTGTCAAGGAATGCTCAGGAATCGATAAGAATGTGGGACGCTGACGGTATCAGTGAAAGGGAAACACTTCAGAAAATTATATGTGGAGGGCGGACATCCGCCTTCAATGTGTGCTGCAAAATACTCACAGGCCATGGTGGTATTAATACGCCCAACGTTTGAAAGGAGTGACATCTTGGCGAATTCGACGCCGAACTCGGGGGACTCTAATATTTTGTCTCGCGAGGCCTTTGAGCACTGTGGGGAATGGAGCAGACAATTAACGTAGAGGTCACGGAAGGTGACCTTTGTTCCTGGGGGATCGCCGCTCAGAGTGGGATATGGATCGGTGAATTCGGCCTGGGAGTTGGAGAATATGTAATCGAGGAGGTCATACTGGAGGTCGAGCCGGGTGAGTGGCTCGCCGTCGGCGTGCTTGACAGCAAAGGTCTTCCTGTGGGCCGGCTGGGGGCTGCAAAGGAAGAGAAGGTGAGCAACGTCGCGCATTGCGGGGATCCAGGACGCACCCAGGGTACGGCATGAAGAGAAGAGGGGAGGGAAGGAGAGGACGCGATGAGAGACGCGGGGAGGGCACGGTGGGCAGCCACAGCGATTGGCCACAATTACGGCAGACCCCGACCCGCGCCCCCTCCCGATTGAATCTCATAGCCTGCAGGCCACGACGATCCGCCGCCATCGCCCTCTCCGGCTATCCCTCCTCCTCATCGTCCCGCTCGTCCTTGCCGCACGTTCTCGACCCGCCCAGCGCCATCGTCATTGCCAGCTAGAGCCTCGCAGAACGTGGTCGGCGTCCAGCACATTCTACGACCCTCAATATGTCATAGCTGACTCCAACGTTCTTCCGCGAGCCAGTCGCCAAAGTCCGTGCCACTCTCAACATCGCATCTTATCCTCTCCTTTCACGAAGACCATCACGTACCGACGTATCGTCCACACAATTTCGCGCGCAATGTCGAGCACGCAGAAACAGAAGGCTCTGCTCGAGAGTCACCTTCATCCTCTAAGTTATGCGGACAAGTCCTATGATCCCCTGATGCAAGCAATTGGTAACGTCTCTGGCACATCAGACAACTTGAATGTTCTCTGACTGCCAATCACAGGTAATGCGCAAATCGTCCTCATTGGAGATGGCTCGCATGGGACGTATGACTTCTATGCCCACCGTGCCAACATCACGAGACGCTTAGTCGAGGAGAAGGGGTTCACTGCTGTAGCTGTTGAGGCAGACTGGCCAGATGCCTTCCGCATCAACAGGTGAGCATCCGGAGCATCCAATACCTCACGAAGCTAACACCGCATGTAGATATATTCACGGTGGTCACATAAAGAACGGTCATATCAAGAATGCACGCGACGCTCTCGCCGAGTTTGAGAGGTCGGTTTTCCTCCCCCTTTGTTTGGAAGACCTTTCCCTCTTACAATCTCAATTTAGGTTCCCAAAGTGGATGTGGAAGAACGAGGTCATGCCAGCTTTCGTACAGTTCTTGAGGGACCACAACGATCGGGTGATGAAAGATTTGAACGATCCCTATAAGAAGGTTTCTTTCTACGGAATGGATTTGTACTCTCTGCACCGATCGGCAGAGGAGGTCCTCAAGTATCTTGAGAAAGTAGACCCGAAAGGAGCCCAGGCTGCTCGCATGAAGTACGGACTGCATGATCATTCAAAATTCAGCTTTATCTGACCCGGTCACAGATACAATTGCTTTGAACGATTCGGCGAGGACACGACACGTTATGCGTTTCAAACTCAGTTTGGGCTGGCCAAGGTATGTCGACGACCTCTGCTGTTGAACACATTTAATCGACATTTCATACTCCTATAGGATTGCCACCAAGAAGTGATTACCAATCTCAAAAATCTGCTAGCAAATCACCGCAAGTATATCGAGGAGCAGAATGACGGCCACTTTGGACACCCCGCTGAGGAACAATTTGTTGCGGAGATGAACGCACTTGTGGTCAAGGACGCGGAAGAGTACTATCGCACGATGATGTCCGAGGATGTGTTGAGCTGGAACCTGCGGTGAGTGTGCCGGAAGACCTCCAGCTGTTGGAGTCTGACATCTGCGGGCATGTCAATAGCGACGACCACTTCGCGAGGACGTTGGTTGAAATTGCTCGCCATCTCGGTGAGAGGAACGGAAACGGCGGTACCGACCCAGCCAAGATTGTCGTCTGGGCTCACAACTCCCACATTGGTGATGCTCGCGCAACCGACATGGGCAGGAGGAGAGGTAACTGCTGTTCTCGAGTTCGTCTCTTGTCAGCGGCTGACGATGTATCAAGGCGAGATCAACGTTGGCCAGCGTTGTCGCGAGATTTTCGGGAAGGACAATGTGTTTAACCTTGGTTTTCTCACGAACAGAGGCACGGGTGAGTGAGACGGCAATGGTATTGCGCATCTTTTCTCAGTTCAGAATAGTCACTGCATCGTACAACTGGGATGAACCACCGCACCTGCATCGTATGGCCCCTCCGATGGAGAAGTCCATCGAGTACATATTCGATCAATGGGCTCATGACGACTGCTTCGTCATTACGCACAAGATTGAAGACACGGAAGACGGACGAACGGTCAAGAAGGAAGTGTCGCGGGAGCTTTCTGAGTATGCCTTCTGCACCATTCTCGTCCTTCAGTACAACTCATCATGGCAACCGTCTGGTTGACAGGTTCCTCAACTATCCACGTTATGAGCGCTTTATTGGTGTGATTTACCGCCGTGTCACAGAAGTCATGTCGCACTATTCGAAGTGCAGTGTCGCTGAACAGTACGATGCCGTCGCTCACATCCGAGAGTCAAGAGGGATCCAACCTCTGGAGCCGGAGGATACCTGGAAGGGTCCCTTCAAGGGCGAACCAGACGAGACGTTCCCCTTCGGTCAATGAAGCAGTTTGGGAGGACGTACATGCGATGCGTTGCCGTTGCATCAATGTGTCCCGTGGACTTGCTGAGAACGTTTGGTGCAATGTATTACTTACTACCAACCACAGGCCCCGCGATGGGGCTTCACATCAGATCTGTATGTATAATAGTGTTCAACATTGTATAGCATGCTCCGTCAACGTGCACTGGACGGCGACTTCAGCTGCCTAACTCCGCTCTGCACCGATGTGAGGGCGACTTGCACAAGGCCGCCGCGAGGCCACACCAAATGCATCGAGCCCATTGTCGAAGTCTTGCATTGTGTTCTCTGCATGTTGAATGAATAGCCGCGGCTGCTTTCAACTGCAGCGGCCCGACGTGATCTGGGTAATCATCGCTTCTGTTGTTCTGCTTTGTTGTGATGATGGTCGCTGCGCATACGGAGCTCGTCGCTGTGTCCATCTGCCATCCGCTGCTGAGATCTCTTCCCAGGTGCGCCGTCTCTCTCCTGTGATCGGCTCTTGCGGTCCCATCGTCTCTCCTCACAGCTCCCAGCCGTGCTCCCCGTGCAGGATGCTGGGCATTCCTGTGCGGCTGCTCCTTTCATAGTTCATGTATTTCGCGTCCTGTCTTTTACTGCTTTCGATTCTTGCTGCAAGAGCTACTCTTCTCTCCGAGGCCGCGGGCGTGCTGAGGAACGTTACGGTCGGCGTCGCTGACCCTTCTGTCACATTCTCCGCAGGGTGGAGTGTCGCATTGTATGCGGGTCAGGAAATTGCTTTTGCGGATGGGCTGGGCGATGAGGTTGCGGCGGAGCTTCCTGGTAACGCTGAATGTTTCATAACTTTGCTGACGATGTGGCTCATCAACGAATCTTCCAGTTGGCGCGGTTGCAGTGCATTATGTCGGGCTGAAGAGAAGTGGAGGGGCTTTGTACGCGGCTTGCTTGGATTGCGACGTGTCGGGTGACGTGCAGTTTGAGGAAGTCGACGCTACAGACAGAAACGGGGACGATTCTACGCCGGTATGCACTCTTCGGTCCTATCTAATTGTTGGTGAAAAGTTCTCTGAGACGACTGGTGCAGGTCATATTATTCTCCTTTACAGAACTTGATAATACGGTTGCCCATGAGTTGCAGGTCGTGAACCTCGAGGATCCGGCGTTCGGAGACACAAGTCAGATTACATTCCAATCACTCATCATCACCGTGCAAGAAGATGGTATTGTGCTTCCTCGCTTCCCAGCGAGCTGTTACTTATTATCGATTGTAGATAATAACACATCCACTGCGTCGTCGTCGACGACCTCTGACTGTAAGTGCATATGGAGCATTTACTACGACATGCTAAAGTACACGATTGCAGCGTCGACGACAATCACTTCAGCGTCCATATCTACAACTAGTTCAGTCGTTCTTACCACCGTGCAGTCAAGTTCCCTCTCGACGGTTTCGACTACATTGAGCACTGCCGCCACAGTGACCAGCACCTCGAGCGATGCTCTCACCAGCACGACATCTGCGTCTACTGCTTCACAAGCTGCTATGACTGTTAGCTCAACCACTTCTCTGCAGTCCACTAGCTCAGCTTCATCTTCGTCGGTGTCCTCCATCACGGAATCCGTCAGTTCGACTGAGACAGGGTCCGCCACAACGAACACTGCGAGCACGTCTGCGACTGCGTCTTCAACTTCGTCAAGTGATACCTCCACTACCTCGTCTAGTATATCTTCTACTACGTCCACCTCGTCCACTTCTACTTCATCTTCGAATTCTTCCTCGCTAACGACTACCGCGGCACTCTCCACTCGTACAATCGTCGCCGTGGCAGTCGGATCCGGTATAGGCATCCTCATTCTGCTGAGCATCCTTGTCCTCTTCCTCGTACGTGCACGCAGACAACAGTCTCAAAGCGACACCGAGAGCAACCGCGGTCTCCGGCTCATCAGGGAGATCAGCGCACCCTCGTTATTGTCCTCATCGAACGTGCCCATTCGTCCGCGCTCTTCATATATCGTTCCTGACCGAGACGCGCCGGCGAGGCCGAAAAATCCATACAAGGGCCGCGTAAGGTCCAACGTTCCTATCGACCAGCCCAGCCACCCTGTCACTCGTACGTATTGACCTTTCATCCAATGAATTTGGTGCTAATATCAAGCTCGCAGCACCACCAATGCCTACTCGGAGCCCTCTCAGGTCAGAGTACCCGTCGTCAGTTTGGCTTGAGCGCATCCCGAGGACGCCGACTGCGGGCTCGGACATTAGTTTACCATATGCCCGGTAGGCAACTGCACTGCTCTGGCTGTAGTGTAGCCCGAAGGGCAATTATTTGATGCTAGGTTGCATATCTTGGACATTTCGATTACGGTAAACCCATAATGCTTTTCAGACGTTCATATCTCATTACTTCGTTGTAAATGTTTTGTCTGTGATGTTCTCGCATCATACCTGAGCGTTATCTGACGTACACAATTAATGCGAGAGCAACGGAACCACTAGAACGAAGGCTCTACATGTACATCATTATGGAAAAGTGGTATCCTCCCTGCATGAACCTGAACCAATCCTGGAATCCTGCAAATATATAGTCGAATGCGAATGTCGAATGAGAAGTGCTTACAATTGCTGAAGGAATGTTACGAAGAGGTATATGCGATGAGGTATATAATGCAACAGCCGAGAAAAATAAAAACAAAAAATGTGGGGGCCACCACAGATGTCGCGCAGGCGACCAGACAGATTAAGATCAATCATCTAGACCCAACACTACGTTAGTCTTCGCCAGAATCCGAATATACCTGAGAGCGGACTTACGGTTTTGCCAAAACTCAGACACTCTCTCGAGGACGTCTACTACAACTCCACTTCTATACATGAGTGCATGGTCAGCATCCTTCACCACCTTAACCTGACACTTGTCGGATCCCATCGTGCTTTCCATCCATCGTACAGCGTTCTCAGCGATCCTTTCGTCCTTGTCGCCGTACCATACTCGGACTCTATGCGGGTATGCGGAGTAGGAGAAGCCCCATGGCTGTCGGTCGTGATTAAGGATTTGGAGCAGATCGCGGTGAGTGCCCCGAGAAGACTCAGCGTGGGATGCCGCAAGCAGCGCATTGCCGAGAGCAGCTTGGAAGTTGGCCGGCGTTGACGCAGTGGGCGTTGGACTAGATGTTGTAAATGGACTTGATGATCTAGTTCGGTCAGCAGGCCCTAATGACATCGATCGACGCCCATGTGCACGAGAGAAGTACGAATGATCATCCATCGACGACTTTGCAGTAGAGGGCCTGACCCTTGGTGATGATAGGATAGTCTCTGGCGGAGTGGATGTGGATTTTCTCCTGAAGGCCTCCGTCCAATCTACGTTGTCCAGCCCCAATCCTACTTTTGGACTTCGAACAGCGGGTAACAAGGGCATTTGTGGGGACGTTGAAGAAACTCCCGTTGCGGTGGATGGTCTTGAGCGATTCCTCAAGGAACCCATGGAGCGTAAGACCTTCAGCTTCTTTCCAGTGCGCGAGGCTGGAGGCTTCTCCTCAGTTGGTGACTGAGCTGCCGAGTGTCCGCTCTTGAACCGGCCCAGAAAGCCTCGCGAAGGCTTCCGGTTCACGAGCCTGCTGTTTTCAAGAGCACGTCGATGCTCAGAACTGGTGCTCCGGCGCTCGAGGGTGCTTCGACTGTCGAATCTCCCTTCAAAGTCGCGGAGATCGTCATAGTCGCTGAAAGTCGTAGAAGAGGTACTCGGTCGATGCTTTGACTCCCCTACCGGAGACAAAGGCACAGGGGCATCGCGCAAAGGTGCAGAAACTGACCGAGACCCTTTATGAGACTGCGATTCCGGCCCATTCGAAGCGACAGGGGACGTCGCATCAAAGCCGATACCCTGGAATGCAAACGTAGGCGGTTTACCGATCATCCATGCCTGGAGCTTCCATTCCGCCGCTTGCGCTGTCTTCAAGATACCATTAGGTACGTATTTCAGCCATTTGTAGCCCGCTAATGGGACCTGACGTCAGTCTATCTAAACGTAAACGGACAATAGCCGGACCGACCTCCTTCGCCACCGCCTACCCAAGGCGCTAACAGGCAAATATCTCCACAAATACGCTCAGGGTATCGATTAGCGAACGCGAGAGCGTAAGGTGCTCCGGCAGAGTGGGCCATAACGCTACACCGGTCAATATGCAGTAAGTCAAGGACTTCTTCCACGACAGCCGCCCATTCCGGAATACCCATCACTGATTTGGATCGCGGAGTGTCGGTACGCCCAAGACCCCATCTGCACAGAGGAGCAAGTTAGACTACATGCCATAAACAGTTACAATCATACATGCCGATCAATGGTGATGAGTCTGATGCCCAAGCATTCCGCCATTTCATCATACAGGCCCATGATGTGCCTGACACACCCGAGACCGAGAAAGACTACTAGTGGATGGCCATACGGGTGGCCCAGATCGGATAAGCTGACGGTGAAGGGATGGTCACCGGAAGCATGCGGCGAGCGAGTGAGGTGAAGGAGCGTGGTCAAGCGAACAGAGCGCAAGTACTGGGCTATCGCTTGGGTATCAGACGGTGGTTTTGTCAGGCCAGATACCTCCGATTGATGAAGTGACGGCTGATCTGACGTGCTTGAATATGAGAACAATGAAGACTCGGGACGCCCATCTGAGCGCGGCGAGGACAGCGTGTGCGTGTCCGATAGTACTGTTGGATTTCGATGAAACGAGCGTTGGGGTTGCAACTGACCGGCTAGAACAGATGATCTCTTTTGATTACGTATCGTTCGTTGCACTTCTTCTGCGATTGTATCAACCGAGGACCGGGACACCAGGTCAGTCTCGTCCTCGGTGGGGACAGTATCAGCGTCCGTTTCAGGCTGCTCGTGCGCTGCGACATGCAATGCGCTGTGGCAAATCGAAGACTTCCGCGAGCGAGCTTGCTGAGAAGGTGGAGCATGCGCACGGATAATCTCAGAAATGGAAGGCGCAACAGACCTAGGCGTAATGAAGGCAGCATATACATCATCGTGAGGATCGACCAAATGGCTGGTTCCAGGTCGTGACTTAGATGCACAGGTGGTGGCTGTGTTCGCGGACGTCGTTGTGCGAATGGACCCGGAACGACGCGTCCTGCGCTGTTCAGAACGTCGCGACATAGATATATCGGCTGGGTCATCGTCCCCGTCTGAGTCGTGGGAGCGAGGAAATGTCTGCTGCGCGCCGGCTTTGCCCAGCACAATTCCAGGTGGAGGAGTGGGCAACGGGGGGTGATACAGAGGGTGATGCCCGGACTTTGAGATCTTCGTGCGTCCAGAAATGCCGCCCATCCCCATGAAATGATCATCGATACCGTAGCGGTGGTTCATTCCATCAACCAGGGCGTCCATCGTTTCCACTCCGGCAACGGGCGCAGCAACTACGACAGGGACGCTGAACGCTGTGCTCCGGAAGACGAGATCCTCTACCGGAGTCGGAGGTGCATCGTACTGGCTAAGCACGGACGATGCAGAGTCCACGAGGGAGACGTTCAACGTACGATTTGAGTGAGTATGAGCAGGGTAGTCCCATTCCTCGTTCCGTGACGGGCCCGTGTGTGAACGTCGCCGGGGCTTCGCGTAGCTCTCTTCTACCATCGACTTCTCGTTGGCGATGGTCGGGAAGACGTATGTATCCTTGTTGGGATCGTGCCGTCTATCCTTACCCTGTTCCTGTCGCTCCTTGCCTCGGGTGCTATGTGCGAGCGAAGATCCTCTGGACAAGCTGGCGCTCTTAGACGACTTTCGGTTGTGCTCCTGCTCATGCGAGTTGCCACGGCTAGATCTTGGTCGATTGGGTGCGTCGCCCAAGGCATGGAAGGATGACGGTGACATCCCTTCACTGGTGCGAAATCGTGATGTCGGAGGCAAGGCGGTCTCAAAAGATGCGGTAGACTTCTTATCACGTCTGATTGATAAGAACGATGGTTTCCTGGATGGGTGTCGCTGCAACTGAGGCGAATTGGACATGGGACTTGACAGCATTGGCGGGGAGCGGGGAAGTGCAGCAGCTATGAAGCGAGCGTGTCCCAGTCTGAGTCAGAGAGAACAAAGTGAGCGTGTTGTTGAAGGAATGGGCCGGTGGGACACCAGCAATACACAAGAAGATCGTGGCCGTCGCCGTGGGCGAGTTCGGACGCGGTGACGGCAAAATGTGCGTGAAGGAGAACAAGCGAATTGGAAAGCCGGGGCGGCCCTTGAGCGCGCATGGACTTCATTATGGCTTCGGTCATCTCGAACACCCATTACATTACTGCATCCGTTACTATCCGATAGCAATACATATTCTTCTGTCGAGACACCAGTTCAGGAGAGCTATAGTACAACATACTAAAATTCTCGGTGGATATGGTAGGAACTATCTTACAAGAGCGTACAACCTCCACGAATTCGTCCGACGTACAAGTACAATAGAAGTACACGTTCATCCAAATGAAAGTAAATGGTATGAAATGATTAAATGAAACGACGGTGGTCGGACGGTGCTCCTTCTGATTCATGTGAAGAATCAGCGAATCGTGCGATGTCGCTCTTCACGCACGAGGATGTAGCAAGGACTAAGCATGGCTCAGAGTGGCCTATGGTATTCCGTGTGTCAGCGCCTCACAATTGAGCCTATTTCAGGACGTACATTATGATCATATTCGAACCTGGAGACGAGTTTGATGTTGCGTGTCCGGCAAACCTCAACGAGGGCCGCATCCGCGACTGCGGGCCAACATTTGAATGGAGGGTACATCGTGCCATGCGGGGTGGTAAGTCTCCGCAGGAAGGGCAATTCGTCTGATGCGACGAATGCCACCCACTCATCTGCATTCACGCGGGAGTCATGCCCGAGCAGCGCGAAGCGTTCCAAGTTCCTATATGCTTGTGCGATTGATCGAAGGCTCGCCGAAGTTATACGGGTCCCGGAAAGATGCACTTCACGCATCGAAGGACAATGAGGGAGCCCATCATCAAGGAATGTGGCTTGTGCCCGAGACGAAAGAACCTGATACCGCAGGACCTCCAAATTGGCGCATTGTGCAATCACGACGCGAATGCCATCCGCTGTCTCCTCAGGAAACGATGTAGACACATCTAAACAGCGCAAAGCACTCCACGATCCGTGACAGAGATCAATAAATGATCCATCTGCCATGTCCACATCATGCAGATACAAAGTATGAAGTCGATGAGACAGCATAGGAGGTAATGGAATGGAGAGCTGAAGTCCTACTAGTCTGAGGCTATTCAGCCGATGGAACTTGCTCGCCAGAACTTCGTCCCACTCCAATGAAGCGTTGCATTTGCAGACGGGGCTGCAATGATCGGACCGTGGAAAGCAATCTGCCGACCCAACGATAGACAGCTGACGAACAGTGTCGACATGGGCCACTGCATGCAGGAACCTCTCAGCTTCTACTGCGAGATGCCCTCCCAGAGTGAGCCGTTGAAGCCCACGTATGCCCAGAATAAATCGAATGGAATACATGGTCTTCGGGGACGGCATGGCAGCATTGTCGGAAAGAGGCTGAAGATCGATTGCTCGAATGAGGGATGTGAGCTGAGGGTTCTTCGTAAGAGCTTCCACAAGCCGGTCGCACGCCTCATATGTCCGCAATGATGGACATTCGTAAAGCCGTTTTCTGCAGTGCTCCAGCCATGCATGCGAAACCAACGCGAGGCGTGTCAAGTCTCGCGCCCACCAGTGGTCATGATTCTCGAGAATGACAGGAATGAGGTCGTCGACAAGACGAGGTTGGGGGTTGACTGTTGCGAGCATATCGAAGCCGATGGCGGATATGGAGCTGCAGAGTGCAGCCGCAGCCTCCTCACACCGCAGACATGAAGCAATTTACGCATGTGGCAAATGCTTAGCAAATGTCGACAGGTTTTTTGCCTTTGTGATCTCAATTTGCTATGGTTCCTTCCCACATTCCATATTAAGTATTTGCATATAATATCTTAGAGGCAGCAATTTTAAATCATATATTTAAGAAATGACACCATTTTCAAACTCACCAAATACATTTAGAATTTGAGCGCTGTTGAATGTAATTGTACATTTTTGAACTCCAAACCATCACATGTATAAAATATCCAGTAGCAGATGAAGGTGTAATTACGGTGAATGACTTTCATTCTAGTAATCTTGGCTAGAATGACTTCAGTAGGGAAGTAGAATGTAGGCATAATCACACCTTCATCTGCTACTGGATATTTTATACATGTCATAGTTTGAAATTCAAAAATGTATAATTACATTCAACAGCACTCAAATTCTAAATGTATTTGAGTTTGAAAATGGTGTCATTTCTTAAATATATGATATTAAATTTCTGCCTCCAACATATCATATGCAAATACTTAATACGGAATGTGGGGAGGACCCGTAGCAAATTGAGATCACAAAGGCAAAAAACCTGTCGACATTTGCTAAGCATTTGCCACATGCGCAAATCGCTTCACGTCTGCGGTGTCAGGGCATGCCCGGCCCAAGTCCTGTCTGTGGGCTGCAATGACAGGAGCGCGGAGTCAGCCAATCAGAATGCGCCGACATACATAGCACTTACCATGTTTAGGTGATGGCGGAACGTATGCTCCCTCGCATAGACTTGGTGCGTTCAATTGACTTCGCTCTTCGCACGCAAAAATAATCGACTTCATGAGCGGAATTATCAGCCACCATCATGCTTTGAAAGTGTCGCTTATTGGAGGTTTATTAGTCCGCCATGGAATGTGCTTTGCTCTTTTGCCAAAGAGTTTCTTGATCCGCAGGCTGGCGCCAGGGTTGAACGAAGATTCAGATCTCAGAGCAAACGCGATACCAGTGCTAGTGCTATAGTTATCATCCTCAATTCAAAATGTGGACGCTAAGATACTATCTGGACCGTCTCTGATAAGACTCGCTGAGCTATCTACCAGCAGTGACTCAGGATCGTACCAGGTTCGTCTCTTCAGCAGTTTGAAGGACTCGCCCATGTCCTCTGTGGAAGACTTCAAGTCCGAACGTGAGTGCGGCTCGAAAGAAGCCACACACGAGCAAAGAGATGTCTTCGGTGAGGAAGACGACCATGAGATACAGTATAAGACACTCAGCTGGCAGGTAAGCTTCCAAGCGCTGCATGCTCGCAGGATCAAAGCTTATGGGATTCAATATGTAGTTTGTGGCCTTCCTCATGATTGCTGAGATTGTCAGTAATGGAATGCTGTCGTTGCCCAACGCAATGGCTGCCGTAAGTTAGCATCTGCCCTTTACTTATTACAAGCAAAGCAAATGGCATCATGACTACAGGCATCGTGCCCTCCCTCGTGTTGACAATCTTCCTGGGGACTCTCGCTCTCTTCACCGCGAAACTTCTGATTGACTTCAAACTAAACCATCCTGAGGTTCACAACATGGGTAGAGCGCTCATACTCCTGATGACATGTTACAGATACTCATTCCGTGAACCAGGAGATGCCGGTTACATCATGTTTGGCCCAGTTGGACGAGAAATACTATCATTGGGCACTATCATTTTCGCAATTTTCGCTTGCGTCTGTACTTTTATCAATGCTTATCACACCTGACACTGATTCGTGCTCATAGGGATCTGAGCTGCTATCAGGTCAGTTGGCACTGTCCACACTCTCCCATAGCGGTCTCTGCGCCGTCATCCTACTGCTCATATTCTCCGCTGCCACATTTCTGGGCTCAATTGCCTCGTACCCTGGGTGGCTTGAGCTGGTTAGGTTTTGCCAGCACGCTCTGTATCGTCCTGTGCGGTGTCCTTGGTATCGTAGGTGCAGGAATCAATCCGACCGCTGGAAGGATCATTGCTGCCACTGTCTCCTCCAGTTTTTATGACGCTTTCCTGGCGATCACCGGACCTGTATGTTCCCGAATCCATAAATTGTGATTCATTTATTCGGTAAACTTGACAGGTATTCGCATATGCAGGTGCGTCGTCAGTAAATGTCTACAATTACAATCTGACATATCTACAGGACACTTTATGTGAGCATGGGTGAAGGCTTCGTAACCACACATCCTGACAGTCATCAGGTTCTTCACACTGATTTCGGAAATGCGACGTCCACAAGACGCAATGAAGGTCAAACTTACGCGACACTGTAAGAGAAACTACATTGACATACACGTACCCAGGCTGCGTGGACACTACAAGTCTTTGCGACGATCTACTACGCTGTGTTCAGCGCGGTCGTGTATGTTTATCTTGGCAACGCAGTGCAATCGCCTGCCTTGCTCTCATTGTCGCCTGTCTGGTCCAAGATAATCTTCGCGATGGGTCTCGCCAACTTCCTCATGTATGTGTGCGCTTGACTGCCGGTGCTCGTTTGGGGTTGACAGATCTGCCAGTTCTGGAGCACTCTATGCACACACTGCAGCCAAGCTAGTTTTCGTCCGCGTTTTCCGCCGTTCGCGGCATCTCTACTCTCATACGCTCCCCGGCTGGTCCACGTGGATCTTGCTCTGTTTCGCCACAACAGCGATCGCCTTCATTCTGGCATCTGCGGTGCCGATCTTCTCTGATCTCGTCGGCATCACCGCCTCGGTCTTCGCCTCCTGGTACACATACGGCATCGCCGGCTTCTTCTGGTTGTACGACACATACTACCTCTGTGGCGGGAAGCATGCGTTGAGGAGGCGGTGGATTGGCACCATCCTCGTTGTGTTGATCATTCTTGCGGGCGCGTTCATTTGCGTCGCGGGCACCTATGTGTCTGTGAAGGTGAGATAGGCTCTGCAAATTTGTAAGATAGACTTTGTCTGACCTCGGCCCCTGACGATATCGCCTAGCTGATCGTCGAAGCCTATGACAGCGGTACCGTCGGCAGGCCGTTCGCTTGTTCCTAAGCGCTGTAGTCGAACATAGAGTGATGATAATAGAATATAGAGTGTATAGTATTGGACACCTTCCAGGAACTTGATGCTATATCATTGTGTTCGGGCCCGCATCTATATTAGCGCTAGACGATTGAACTCGCTGGCGGCAACTCGCTGGTGCACCATCCCGAGCTTGCAGTACTTCCGAGCACGCGCGTTCGGCAGCTCGCTTAGCTGATCTCCATGGTCTGACAACCGCCGTTATCTTAGCTGCCGTCCTCCCCCGCTCTCTCGGACAGCTTGGCTGAGGCTTGGTCGCACGAGCTCACTCAGATGGCTACTGCCGCACGAGAGACGGCTCTCCACACGCTTGAGATACGTGCGCGGCCCCCACGAACCTGGCTTCAGACGCTGAACGGCGTACTATTCCTTGTCGTATTCTTGTTTGGATGCTTGATGATCAATGGCTCGCAAATTGTATTTCTGCTGCCGCTGAAGCTCTTCCCATTCGCGTGGACCGAGAGGGTATACTATGAAGGCATTCGCTATAGCAAAAGGGCTTTCGGTACCCTCATCGGTGGGTGAATCCATGCAATTGCGCTCGAATAACTATTGAAGGCATGAACGTTCTAGTGCTCATGTGCCAGCTATTCTCGCCGACAAAGCTGATGATCACATTCGAGCGGGACGGACAAGGCCGCTTCTCCGATGAGCAAATTCAGCGACTGGTAGTTCGCGACAGGGAGGGCCGGGTGGTGGGACTGCGCCTGCCCCAGCGTGCAGTGCTCGTTGCGAATCATCAGGTGTGCTCGTACCAAAGTGCCTGACTTAAGGATTCTGACCATCATCGCGTACACCGCGTAGATCTACGCTGACTGGTGGTATGCGTGGACTTTGACGTACTACATGGGTACCTATTCGGATGTCTTTATCGTCCTCAAGGATAGCCTCAAGTGGATCCCCATCATGGGTTGGGTAAGGGCATTTCCAGCGCACGCGACATACTGACCTGACCCGCGTGAAAGGGGATGAGGATGTACAACTTCATATTTCTCAAGCGGTCCTGGGCATCGGACCGTTTGCACTTGTCATCGAGTCTATCCTGGCTTGGCCGTCGTGCCGAGACACAAGATTCTCCCCTGACGTTATTTCTGTACCCCGAAGGCACGCTAGTCAGTAAGAACACGAGACCGCTTAGCAAGAAATATGCAGACAAGCTGGGGATTGTAAGAACTTTCATGCATCAATGCACGGCTTGTCGCTGAGCTTGTATGGTTACATAGCCCGACCTGACGCACACTCTTCTTCCTCGTTCAACAGGGCTGCACTGGTCGCTGCGCTCACTCGCCCCGCGTATACCCAGCTTGCAGCTGATTGACATCACCATGGCGTACCCAGGTGAGCAGAAGTCTGTCAGGTAACCGAGCTGCATGTCTTATCACAGCGCTAGGTATCCCACCCTTCCGATATGGCCAGGATTTCTACACCTTGCGCTCAATCTTCATTGACCGGGTGCCCCCGCCAAGTGTTCATATGCACATCAGGAACTTCAACGTAGCAAGAGAAGTCCCAATAGGCGATATATCCGCCAGTAACCCGAATGTGCTCCCGCACGAATCACCTAAGGAACGGACAATGGAGATTGACATCCCAGAACACGAGAAACAGAAGTTCGAGGTGTGGTTACGGGACCTCTGGCGCGAGAAGGACACCAAGATTTCCAAGTACCTAGATACTGGTTCCTTTGTCGGCGGTGATGAGGTCGAGATTGAGGTTCCTTTGCGACTACGGCGCGCCCATGAAGCCCTAGATGCGTTTTGCTTCTTCATGCCGGTAGCAGTCTTTTGGGCATGGTGGCGATTTGGGTGAGAGGGACTTTTTCGATATAGATGGTGATCGCTGTTCATTACATATATATATGGATCGAGTGTAGCGATGGTGTTGTATAATCGCTGTTGTTGGTGCTAATGTCTGTACCCTTGTCTAATGACCTGGATTTGTGCATCTAGCGACGTCATGCCAGCTTGTCGAACCACCTCCGCTTTGTACTGATGTGACGCACCGTCCGGGACTGGCATCAAACACGGTGTCCCAGCAATGACGCGAAAAATCGCGTGGCTAGGGAAGGGTCATGAACGGGGCCTATTGCAGCCCAGCCCGTTCTCTCTGCTCCTCAATTTGCTTGACCATGAACAAGCTCGTGTCGAGGAAACGATCGACGCAATTTGCGAGGCAGCTCTCCTCCGAGCGCGAGAACCGCGTAGATGGAGTACCCGTGATGCACCTACGCGCACGCATAGTCAGGAAACAGAGATATTGAGCGAGGCAGGAGGACATACTTGTCCCAGCACATGCTAGTCAATGTATGGATGGACTGGTGGAGGCGCGCCTGTGCCTGCTCGGTCTCTACGAACTGCGCGAGCTCTTTCTGCACATGTCACGTCTCAGCAGATCACAAAGCAATGCGGTAGACGCAACCGACCTGCGTGGCCTCATCGAACTTGTCAGCCATTTTTGTCGGCAGACTCAGCAAGTGGGAGGTGGTGGGTCCTAGGAGGCGTCGTTGCCGGCGGCCACACGTACAGGACTTTTCGTCCTAACCTAAAGCGGAAGCTGTCACGGTCATGTGACTAGCTTGTCGCGTCCGACTCGAAGTCGCCGGTGTGCGACGTTCGTAAGAGCATCTCCAGTGCGAACAAATGCATCGACTGCAGGAGCATCTATCATGCATGGAGCATAGTATATATACCTAACTCATTTTCATTCCTGCTACGAACAAAACAAGACAGAATCACACATTTCAGTTAATTGCAGTTCCATCGCGAAGCGGACGCGCCAAACTCGATGGACATGAGTCACACGCTGTTGAACAACTCACCGCTGAGTCGGACCTTTGAGGTCTGATACGCTAGGATGGGCAATACCTGGAGCAAAATTCTTGACTACATTACCAAGCGACATGTCTGAGGCGATAAAGCGCTCGACATACAATATCAGATAACTCAGAAGACCGATCCATCGGCACTGCATGCGTGTTGACGTATTGCGAACTCGAAGTGAGCGTCTTGGAGGAGAAGGGATGATGCGGTCTCCTAACTCACACAAGGTTCCGCCCTTGAACGTTGAACGGTGAGTTTAACAATGCTTGCGAACAACCTGCCGGCCTGGTTTCTGCTTCGAGCAATGGGTTCGACAAGATTGTCACCGATATCGAGTCTAGCACCTCCAGATGCAGATTGTATTGGTTAAAAAAGCGGGATTACGTGAACGGTCACTGTCAGTGGAACAGCAACTCAATTCTGGGGACCCAGGTGTCAAGTCGATTATCAGTTGCCACGCATTGATTACAGCACGGACACTGTATCTTTCCGCATGGACAACGTAAGAAAGTTCCATAGGGGGAATCTAAGCCTGAAAACAGAGGCGACGAGCCCGAATTGGCCCGGGCATACAACCTTCAGGGTCAACTGTTCAAATACAGTTTGACCCTCGGTACCCGCGGCAGATAGACGCATATCGGCAGAGAACCACACCCGTGTTCTTCTTGACAAGCGAGCCATTCATGTTTCTTGGCGCCCAAAAGCTTACTGCAATTCAATGGCAATTTGCTGGATCACTTACAGATGCTAATCGTAGGAAGTTTGATAGGAGCGAGATAGCCGGAAGAAAGGGGTGCGGCCATACGGACTGTTCGAGACTACCGGGGCACTGGATGACGACTGAACTCTACGTCGGGAAGAAATGTTTTGACACAGCAATAGAACACTCTGTTCGAGTCAGCCTCTGCGCGGTTGAACCGCTAGCGCCGGGATGAGATATGTGGCGCTGACGTGCATTACATGAAGCGGAGGTGAGTAGCCTGCAGATTTCCTTGATAGCCGATGAGAGTAAGTACTCTTTGCGCCCGTGCTCGGTGCCTGCCAACACGCGCACTGCTGGCGGTGGAGGAACGGGACGCGAGTGGCCCAGAATAGGACAGAAGTTTGTCGTGTCGGCGCGTTGGAGAGGAGTGTCTAACGCCGTGACGCAGATAGATCGCGCGAGATAGAAGGAGGAGGAAAGCAAGGAGAGCCGGACGCTGGGGAGGTGCAGGGTGCGGTGGCGGCGAGGGCTGAAAATGGAGGAGGAGGGGGAAGAATTTGCATCCGCGAAGGTGCCGTGAGGGCGTTGGGAGGCGGAGATCAGCCTGTGAGATCGTTTCGGCGCTTGTCACGTTCTCTCCTCAGCCACCAAAGGCCTGGTCGACAAAATCTCCAGATGGACCCATAACCTGGGTAAATATTGTTTCCATATTTTCCCCGCCCTCCTCTCTCCTCCTACCCTCACTTCCACGCTCCCACCGCTCTCTGATAGACTCCCATCGGCCTTCTTTCGGTGCACTTGCGTTTGTCAATTTTCGATATTTCTTTTCTTTCTCTTTTAGCACCCATCGATCCTCTTTGAGCTGATGTGTATCGGACCAAGCATACTGTCTCCACCGCACACGTGAGATACAACTCAAGCACTAGACCCCGCTTTCCATTTTTCCGTATAAAGCATGGATGAAGAACACACCAGCGCCTCCTCAGAGGGTCAGTGGTACTTTCCGTGGCAACTCCCTCCTTCTCTTCATGGCGTCATCCAGCTTTACAGATCGTCTCTCGTCCTTGCCTACCGTCCAGACATGGAACCCACAACAGGTCAACACTCCGTAAGCAGTTACTATATTCGCACGCTTTCTTAGGGGTAGCCGCTGAATTCCTGCGCGTAGTCCACAATATTTGGGCCGGAAAACCTTGCCAATAAAGCGCGCAGACGCAGAAATGCTGACCCGCGCAGACCTCCAATATGATCTCCTCTATTATATCTTCGCCGATCGTACCGTGGCCTTCATTGATGCGTTGGCACCCGGAAAACCCATGGTCAACTTCTGCGACCTCTATGTTAACGCACTGTACAACTCGAACAAATGCTCCAAGGTGCTGAAGGACAAGATGGTTGAGACCCCGGCATTCGCCATTGAATTCGCGAAAATCTCGCTCCTCACTAACGTTGGCAGAATAAATACCACCATGGCCTGTATGTCTCCACTGCATCGTCTCGTGCGGTTTGCGCGGCATGTTTACTCATTGAGCCCCTTCCGTCTAGTCTTTCCGGAGATGAAAACAGCCTTGCGGAGCTATCATCCCGTGCCTTCCCTGCAAAAGACAGATGGAAATCTGCAGGATGCCCCTCGCATCAAGAACTGCCTCAAGGCTGCACTCTTGCCTGAAGAATTCAGAGGGACGCCGCCCTCTACCCCCGCGGAAATATTAGATCGAGCGGTATGGCTTTGCAGGATGTTCCATTCTTTGCATTACCGATTGACGCTACGAATTTAGCGAGCGGGACATATTCCTCCGACCAGTGTCGTCAACCTCATCTTTGTTCTTTCAAACTCGAATAATGCTCAGGCAGGTTCCGCTGTCATTGGTCCCAACCGGAACTAACTGTCAAATAAATTTGATATAGCAAATTGCGCATAGCCATTTTGATGCGCCTGTCGAATTTCTGGATCTGTTCCTTCCCGTCAATTTGTCCTCGGCATCGCGCGCGAGAGCGTTCCTGTGGCTTATGTTCCACTATCTGCAAGGTCCGGATAATCCTAATCCGTTCGATGATGAGTACTCTCGCGTAAACCCGGGTAAGGTTCCCCGTCTGTGCAATCTGTCTCGGGAGGAGATGGACCAGGAGAATGTCGACCCCGTTGAGGAACTGGACTGGGGTAGGCGCATGAGCGCGCAAAGGAGCAAGTTCTTGAAAGAGCTCGTCGATGAGATGGAGAATGAGAAGAACCGCCAGAAGGACACTCCGATGCCCAGCGCTCCGTCGTCCAGTATTACAGGTCAGTTGAATCGCTGCGAATTCCGACTTCAGCCGATTGTTGCACGTTACTGACAAGCTGGCTCTATTAATCAGCGCAGGACCTCGCTGCTATTAGGCGTACTCGGATACAGCGGCAAAACGCTTCGACTCCGGGTGCAACTTCGGGCGGTAGTCGTGGGTCGTCAGTGTCGCGTGAATATCCCGTTCATCCTCATGCCGTCATCGAGCCGGCTTCCCGTCCACCTATCCGAGCGCGGCTTTACGAGGGTGCGCTAGCTCGTTAATTACTCCTCTAAGCCGCGTATGATTGACTTGAATGCTTCGCACAGGTGAGCCTCAAGAACGCAGCATGCTAGAACGTCAGTGAGAGCTATTTCCGGACTGATATACTCACTCTTCATCCCGATTACCTACAGACGCATGGCACATCGGTAATACCATCGATCCGCTCATGGATTCGGATGAAGAGGCAGACGAGCACGTGAGGCTTGACTACAGTGCGTTCCTGTCAGCTTCGGAGATTTGATTGTATGGCACTCACGGGCTGGCATTCGTAAGACCGCCGCTTGCGTGTCCTATCACGCCTCAGGGGCAAAGAGCCTACACCTGAACCGGAGCCCGACCCAAATGCATCGGTTGGCCATGGTCATTACTCGTTTCAACGTCAGACTGGAGGTGGGTCTGATGCAGCAACTACGGGACGGCTGCAGCAGGTACATACATGGCAGTGACTCGAACGCCTCATTGATGCTATTGTCTTGCCAAGCGGCTCGTCTCCCCGGACTTGCTGCGCCATCGTTAATATTGGTTCCAATCGCGAGATTGGCGACCAGTTCGTCCGGTGACGTTCTCTGGATTCAGCTTTCGTGATTGTTTCATCTTCTCATCCACTCCGACGTCATCCACCCGTTTTCTCGATCGTGATATGTATAATCGAGAACGTGCTTGCAATCTCATATATGTTGTTGTTATTCCAGCATGTTGTGCGAGATGTCAACAGCAGAACCACCTTCGATATTCGCGAAACGTGTGTGAGGCCTGTCTCACGCACATCGAGATTATGATTATCACGCCCATGAAGAACCTGATAATTTGTTGAACTTTTGGAAGACAGGGCACAGCCCTTCCATCTGTATTGGCACTGGGTCACTAGCTGGTCACGTAAAGAAAGAAATGCGAATGTGCCCGTGCTGAAAGTAACAGTATGCTCTATCTGTGCGAAGAACAGCACTGAGACAGGATGGATCTACCTCTCCTCTCCGAGCTTCCATGCCGAAGAAATAAATAAACTAGCGCCATGATACAATCACCCCCCTACACAGGATTCCAATCGTATGAAGATGCTACAAAACAAGAAGCAGGATCAAGGTCAGAATCAATCAAGTCACGGTCCAGTCGTCAGAGTCGGTAATCGTCCACAATTCAGTCCATGTAAATCAAAGCCACGAAACGACAGGACGGAGACCGCATGCCGGGAAAACGCCGGCCAAGATACGCGTTCAGAAAGCTCCGGGAAGCGCAAGGACTGGATGCGAGAATCCAGAACGTCCCATCTCCTGCAGCTCAGGTGGAGCACTGCGCCGACGGAGCTTCCGTTCGTGCTCCTCCTGGGGCGAGAATCCAACAATGTCAGACGTGGCGGCTGTGGGAGGGAGCGTGCGACGCCTGAGTCGAGTCAGCATCTTTCGCGCGGTATCCTCGCGTGAAGCTAGGCTTGCATTCAGCGCAAGGAGATTAGACTCGGTGATCTGAGTCGGGGATGTCGTAGCCGTGCGCGGGACCAGCGTAGTGGTAACTTCCAGGCCCGGAGGAGGGGACAGAGTGGGAGAGGCCGGAGGGAGGCAAGGTTTGGGTTCACGGATTGTTATCTTCGGAAACTCTGCTGTCCGAGCAGACCTTGTTGGGAACTGCAAGCGGCCCACGGCAGTCGGAGGCGGGCGTCTCGCCTGTGCGACAGGCACCGGATCGATTTGAATAAGCTGTGGCGCTTGCCCGGGAGGAGACTGTCTGCCTGATTGCAAGAAGGCTGGCAACCGTGCCGATGCACGAGACGGCGAGCGGCTTTTGCTTACGGGTCCCGCGACGTGAGAGCCGAGGCGTGCAGTTATCTGATCAAGCGAAGGCAAGGGCTTCCGCTTACTGAACACCGGCGCCGATTTCAGGGGAGTGTCATGAGCAGCATGACTGGCCAGACGGAACTCCACCTGCTCGACCCAAGGCTCGCGGACGGGTGCATTACGCTGATGCTGCGACAATGACTCGAACATGGCGATAGGGGAGTCCAGACCAGGAGAAGGCAAGGTGTAGTGAAAGATGGCCGGAGACTCGGGAGGTGTCTTCGGTGTCAGCGTAGCGGTGGGCGATGGCGGAGCCTGCACCTTTGACAGGAACAAGGCACGACGCTCGACTGGCAAAACATAACGGCGAATTGCAACAATGAATTAGGATATCGGTACTCCAGGCAAGATGGACATGGACTGACCCTGTTTGCTTTTATGAGCCTTGATTGCTATCTCTTTCCGGAGATCCATCGGTTTCTTCGCACCCAACCCCACGTTCCTCTCTCTAGAGGCTCTGAGAAGTGCTTCGAACCGCTCTCTTTCCAAGCCCCTTCCCCTTACAGAGTCTACCGGACGCAAGGGAGAAAGGTTCCTCGGAGAGAGCATTGGAGGTGGCGACAGCAGAGTCGCCCTCCAGCCGTCATCGTCCTCAACAAGCGGCTGATTCTTGGAGAAACTGGGCGAGAACGGCGAGAACGGCTCGGATTCGGGCTCTTGGGGGGATGCAAGGGAGATGGAGATCTCAGGAATAGGCGGGATTGCAAGCATTATGTGTACGATACTGTGGAAAGAGCGACTCGAACAGATGATAGATACAGACTGGACAGAACGAGTTGATACAGATGAAGGGAGTTGGGTAGGCGACCAGCACCAGTGCAAGTTAGCACAGCGTTCGCACCGGAGAAGACGGCCGGGCCCTGTGGGGGAATAAAGAGAAGGAGGAGGAAAGAGTTGAGAAGAAAACACACCAGCAGCACGGGAACCGCAGACAGGGAGGCACGCGCAACGATGGTACACACCTTTTACGCTTGTTCTCTGCACACCGCCTTGTCTCACTACTCCCATCACATCTCTGCCTCTGCCCTAGCAACCGGCAGCGGGGTTCCAGGTAATCATCGTTGGCATCAGCTTTTCCTTTGTCCTCGACAGAATATCCGCAGCCAGCGGCGGTGCTGCGAGCTCTCGTCGCCTCGCTCAGTGATTGCGTATGGCCTGGACATCGCCCCCGCTGGAATCAATGCACTGCCCATCAGGTGCAGGACGCCCGTGATGCATAGCCGCCAACACCTTCCACGTACGTTCGAGCTTCACGGACTATTCTCACCGAGCAGTTTCCTGTCAATTGTTGTCATGCAGAGAAAGGCAGCCCACACGACGTCGTCGCAACGCGATTCTGGCTTCTGGACCCTACAACGCTTCTTCGTCGCAGCTATCATGTGCCTCGGCTTAGCTGCGAGCTGTGGATGCGACCTTTCGAGCAAGAACGTCGTGCTCTGTACAATACAAGCTGCCTTTCCCGCCGTCCTCCAACGTTAGCACTATCTGCATCCCACCACTCAGAGACCCTCTGCCTCCACAGCCTCCGCAAGCTTCTGCCGGAACAATTTCTCTGCATTCAACCAGACTGGTGCCGTCTGCCTGTTGGGGAACTCAAGTAGGGATGGCAACAAATCCGAGCTGAACTGCTCTGACGCCTCGCGGGGGAGAAGTGTCGGCAGGTGATCGATAGAGATAACTGACAAAGGGGGGTTTCCAGGCCTGCAATTGAAAGAACGGGTGATTAGGTGAGTATCTATCATCTTATAACCAATAGGGCCTACCCGACGTCAACGGGCACGGTAGGATGCGAGAAAGTCGTGTTGATGTTGTAAATCGGAATGGGGTTGTGCGGATTGGTTGTATCGCAGCTGACGTCCACTACGACAGACAGACGGCGGTTCTTGCCTGCCGCATTTATTTGCTTCTTGTCAAGGAAGTGAGGGATGGGTGTATTTAGATAGATGCAGTTCACGAAGATGTCGACGTCGAGGATCTCCTGAAAGGGTCCTCCCTTTGCTGTCTCGGCCATATCCCACTTGAGAATATCGTCCCTAGAGACGGACAGCAATGGAGGGCACGATTAATTCGGCTCAGGCTCGGAAGAAGAATACGTACTCGTCAAGGCCAATCTTCTTGAACAGATCAACAGCTCCTCGCCCACATCTTCCCAGAGCACCAATCACGAGTGCCTTCACTCCCTTCCCGCTTCCTCCCAGAGCCTCCTTGACCGCAGTGATCATGGCCTCCTCGTTCGCATAAGGATGCAATTGACCAAGCGTGTCACCCTTCTTCTGTGCAGCGTACGCAAGAGCCCCAGCTGCAGCACCTGCGAACCCGGCATGGTATCCGAACGCGGCTACTCGACGACCGTTGGCATCCTGAAGGAACTCTAGATCATACAAGGTGCCTCCGCCCTTGTTGAAGCGCGCCAGAACCGATGACCACCCTGCTTGGCGCTTGTAACAGTGGGCAAACTGGATGTGTGTATGGATGAGAGGAGCATCGGAGACGGGGAGCTCCTTCAGCCCGATGATAGGGATGTTGGCAGCAGCTTTAGGCCACGAGTTATGCTCTACGAGCTTTGCGCCGACACTATCTGCACCGCGTCAACGGGCATCCTGCTTTTACACAGATCACAGATGTACTTACGCCTCGTATTCCGAGTCATCGAAGATCCGTTGCTCATCGCGCTCGACGTAGATGTCGAAGCCCGCATCAAGGAGCTTTTTGGCAGTAGTGGGAGTCAACGCCGCGCGGCGTTCAAACTCCTTCTTTTCGCAACGCAGCCAGAGAGGTTGTGCAGACATATCGCAAGCAGGTCAAGTCTGATCGTAACCTTTTCTTTTCAAGTCAAAAGTTTCGTTGACTCTGCATGACTCTGGCGTCTAATACCGTATATGTCTGTCACGTGGCATTCTGATCGATCACTTCCCATAAACGGCCGGTCTGCAAGTGCAAGGCCACACACTCGCATCGACATGCCAGGCAGAGTCCGTAAACGATCTCCCCTCAAAAATATCGGTATGCGGAAAAGCACGCAGGCTATAGCCATGCGGACCTCACTTGCTCTGCAGACAGGTCGTACATCGCCTTAGGCCTTGAAGGATCCGCGAACAAGTTTGGAGCAGGCATTATCCGACATGACCCTGACGGCTCGACGACGGTGATGTCCAATATTAGGCACACGTATGTCACACCTCCAGGAGAAGGGTTCCTTCCCAGAGATACTGCGCAACATCATCGCGAATGGGCCTCGACAGTAATCAACGATGCCTTGAAGAAAGCGGGTGTGTCCTTGCATGATATCGATTGTATCTGCTACACGAAGGGTATGTGATCCAGGTGGCTCCTGCACTTCTGTTACGTATGGAATAACGTGAGTCTCTCAGGCCCTGGTATGGGGGCGCCGCTCGTCTCCGTTGCCCTCGTTGCGCGGACCCTGTCTCTCCTCTACAACAAGCCTCTGGTAGGCGTCAATCACTGCGTTGGTCGTAAGCAGGTCGCAAGGTTACCATACGATGCCTGTCTTAATTTACCCCCTTAGATATCGAAATGGGGCGACAGATTACAGGGGCACAGAATCCAGTGGTATTATACGTATCCGGAGGCAACACGCAAGTGATCGCATATTCTCAGCAGTGCTATCGCATTTTCGGAGAGACGCTTGATATCGCCGTTGGAAATTGTCTTGACCGGTTCGCCAGAGTCATTAATTTGAGCAACGACCCGAGCCCCGGGTATAACATTGAACAGGAAGCAAAGAAGTAAGAGGTCTGCTGTCTCCAGATATGGCGCGATGAGAATAATGTGATACGCAGAGGAGAGCGCCTGCTTCCACTTCCGTACGCGACGAAGGGAATGGACGTCAGTCTCTCCGGCATCCTGACTTCCACAGAAGCGTATACTATGGATAAACGGTTCCGACCGAACGGCCCGCGGGATGAGGCGGACACGGACATCATCACACCGCAGGATTTGTGCTTCTCTCTTCAAGAGACAGTATATGCAATGCTCGTAGAAATTACGGAACGAGCCATGGCCCACATCGGGAGCAAGGAGGTCCTCATTGTCGGCGGTGTCGGTTGTCAGTGTCATGAGGATTACATTTGCGGCATCTTTACTGATCTTCTGCCTACAATAGGCAACGAGCGTTTACAGGAGATGATGGGCGTCATGGCAAAGGAGCGTGGAGGAAAGGTATTTGCCACCGACGAGAGGTGAGTGCGTTCGTTTTGCCATCGGCACCTCACGCTGATGTGCCCATATCACAGGTTCTGCATCGATAATGGCATCATGATTGCCCAAGCCGGACTGTTGAGTTATCGGATGGGCTTCCAGACTCCCTTAGCGAAGAGTACATGCACACAGAGGTAGTTTCTTGCTATGAACAAAGCCGTTATAGCGCCACTCACGTCCAAATGTCGCAGGTTCCGAACAGATGAAGTGCATGTAGCGTGGAGAGCATGATGCACGGTGTATTCACGCGACAGTGAAGACACAACCCCGCTTTCTCGATTCTTTCCTTCACCATTCACCATCAATTCTTCTGTCAATTCTTCTATCAATAGGCTGTCTACGTCAATACACATTGTTATATAATCAAGACCTGATAACTACGAGAAGATTGTATCTGTATGACTCTACATAGATCGCAAAAAACCGCTATTCGTTCGTGAGATATGCTGTCCACGGCAGCCTAAGAGATGATTGCATCTGAGTCAGCGCTGCGCGACATTCGAGGATACCAGCTTCCAGCCTGCGCTATCCGACGCCTGCATTTCTCCCTCCAACTTTTCATATCGATCCCACCACCACTGGTTCACTTCTTCGTGGTCGCCGCCAGCTCCGGGCGGCTGAGTCCACGGTTTATCGTTCAAAATGTAGTGCAGACATCGCACCTCCTCGTCGCGCCATAGCGGTTTGTGTACGATCCTCAGCGTCTTGAGCGCATTATAGCACCACGGCAGAGGCTTCCATTTTCCGCTAAAAAAGACCGCAAGGAGGTCCTGATCGGGAAAGGAGAAGGTGGGTACAAGAGGCGATGTGGAGAGGAAGTGTCTAATGGCGACAAAGAGGCTTTCTGATGGATTAAGCACGACCGTTCCGGAGTTTAGGAGGTTGTAAGGGCGCGGACTGGTTTCTGTGATGAGCGGCGGCGACGTGAGTGCCGTTGGATGTACCATCGGGGTATGCGCACAGTTGTCGGGGATCCTGGAGGGATTTATCGGGACAAGTAATTGGCGAGTGTGAAACACTCTCACCAGTCCGAAGGGTAATGCGGTAGCTTGCGCGGATTGCACGCGCATACGTGGACGGCGGCAATCCAGTCTTTGGGTAGCGCGATTTCCATTAACTCGTCCATGTTTCTCATGACAACCATATCGGAGTCGAGCATAACGACACGCTGAAATAGAAGCGTTAGTTGCGGAAGTAGGATTGCCTGGTCGGCGTACTTCGTATTCTGTAAGCTCGAATGCTCTGTTGAAACTGACGTCAGCACATGAATGGATCTGTCATAAAGTTTTTTTTCTCACCTCAGCTTTGTCCATGTATCCATGAAACGCTCATCGTGAGCATGGAGGTTATGGGTGCCCTCTTCGGGTAGAAGATGGTCTACGGTCCGCGTAGTAATCCCCCTCCTTCGCAAGACGTCCATAACGTCTTGGGGTAGATTTGTCGTTACCATGATTACCAGCGGGTACTTTGAACCCACGGAAACCAGACAGTAATGCAGCACTAGTGCGCCGGGGAGGTAGGATGCTTTGGTTAGCAATGTGACATACGCTGCTTTGCGAGACATGCGTGCAAAACCGGTCAGCGGTCAAGAAGAATATCTGGAGCAGTCAGGGAGTGGAGTGGTCAGCAGGAGTCCGAGGTATAAGTAGGCAGTGCATTACTCGGACGAAGACGACGGCGAGAGCGGAATGACAGTATTCTCCGACATCGTTTCAGGCCAACATACCCAAAAATGATTGATTGATAATCTGAGGCGTAAGGGGCGTGCCGGTCGTACAGGGTCGCTGCTTGACGGGACCGCCATCACCATTCCGGCGACTCGGAGATCATTGACTACGGACAAACGCCTGCAAGCCCCATTTTACAAGAACGGTGTGGGTGTTCACCAAACTCTACCAGACTGCGTCCCGCGAACGCGACTCGTATTATCCACCGCTGATTACGCTGCAGTGAACCGCAATATTTATGCCACGACCGCCGACATGCCAGATGCAATCCCGTTCGATAGACGCTCAGTAGTATGAGAGAGACTCAGAGATCGTCATTCACCTTTGGGTGATGTTATAGACATCGCGATTCACATGCTGCTCCGAGCTTCCTGCCAGAAGTCCTATCACGACTTCTTCTTGACAAGCACGGACAAACGCAGCACGCCATATGAGAATCGATACAGCGGAAATGCGATTGCGTCGTGGGCATAGCATTTGTACGATCATACAGATAGTAGGAATACCAGAACCGAAGAATGGGAAGAAGACGTGGAAAAGACGTAACGATGCCCTCAGCGCAGGCGACTTGAAAAAATTTCCAGGTAAGAGCAGAGCCAACAAGAAGCGCAGATGGCACGTACCGGGCCTCACGCTCACTCTCCAGGAGAGCCAAGATGTCCTTCTCCCGGACAGGACCCTTCACGTTTCGGATGATCGTCCGGCTGGGGTCGTCCATGAACTCGACACGAACTTGTGTAACACCACCACGGGAGCCAGTCCGACCAAGGACCTAAATGAGATACAAGAATGCTTCAGAGCTGGCCAAAATAAAAGTGGGCAACGGGATAGTCGACCTTGATGACAGTCGCGAGTTTGACGGGGGCTTTTGCGGAATCCTGCAGGCTGTCTGAGCTTCTAAACACCTTTTGGGTACATGACAATGGCTGCTTACCATTGTGTAAGGAGAGATGGGTGCTGAGGACGGAGCTGGCGGTGTGTTTTGAGGTCGGTGTACTGGACGAGAAAAATAAGGTTCAACCTTGAGTTGCGATCACCAAACCCGGCAGATGCCGGTGACCGAGCCATGGGCGCCGGGTGCCTATTCGCACTGGCCCCACAATGCAATTGCAACCCTAATGCAATTCACGTCTGAATAACGCGTTCAAAAATCTAAAAAATTCACGCAATGTACATGCAAGTATTACAGCCAAGGCTGTCTATTCAGATTTTTGACATTGCATGTTGCTAGCATATGGGACGAGTACTTACAGTGAAGAGCCTCATTTTGAAGCTTTCCCGAGGCTCGCTTGCTCGTACAGCTGAACGTGGTCTCATGAGGCTCTCAGGTAGATTTCGTATATATGTGAACTCTATGTTGACAGAAGCCGACATATATTGCGCGAGCCCTGTGTTCTCTGGGAGAAGTGTAAGGAGTGAGTGGCTGCCAGAACGAGAATCATACCCAAATAAGGAAGGTTTAGAAGGTCCATTCGAGCTGAGAATGGCGGAGCTGCGTCGGAGAACATCCATTTTCAGTGGTGCCGGATCGGACTGTCAAAATGAAGACGTTCTCACACGGTGGCTGATGATTCTTGATAATTGCATTGGTGTTGCGACCGGAAGTCATCCTCGGTTTCATCCACTTCACATCCTGTTCACTCACAAATATTTCTCAGTATTCTCAAGACCCCAGTATTTGTAAGAATAAAATCTCCGAGGGGGTCTGCTCACTGACAGCAGAATAGGACGCGCCACTCTGAAAAAATTGCATTAGTGGACCAGTGATAGTAGTAAAGATTACTGTACCCTTTCGACCATATGATAGGTTCATGGGGTGTGACGCGTGACGCTTTGAACTGGGCCGGACCTAGTTCAAAACCCCCTGTGACCGGGACAACAGACAACAGTTCAGTTCAGTTCAGGCGCTTAATTGTGTGGGAGAGATGGCGAAAAGAGCTCTGGAATGGTGTGACCTTTGAACTGACCCTTAGTTCAGACCGGCCGGTGACACGTGACATTTGAACTCAAAGGCCAGGGTGTGACCGTGACTGAACCTATGGTCGAAAGGGTACAGTATGTACAAACTCTACTGTAACATGGATAGAGTTCCTTAAGACACCGTGCGTGCTGCCTGTCCTACCTCAGAGGCGGCCACAAGCGTTCTTGCCCTCTTCTCGGAGGCCTTCCCCCGCAACACGTTCTCGATGAAGAACTCACCCGCCTACATGAGGAATACGTCACCAATCAGTAGTCTCACGCATGCATTATACGTTTGCTAACCTTGTAACTGCTGCGCACAAGCGGCCCGCTTGCGACATAAAGGAACCCCATATCTTCAGCAGCCTGCCTCCATCGGTCGAATTCTGCGGGCTCTACGTAACGGTCCACCTTCATGTGGCGCTTCGTGGGTCGCATGTACTGGCCGAACGTTACGACGTCAACGTCGACCTTACGAAGTTCTATGAAAATATGCACAATCATGGATGATCAGTACTAACAGGGTATATCGGCATTTGACTGCTTACCTCGGAGGGCGTCCATCACTTGATCTTCCGTCTCTCCCACTCCGAGCATGATACTAGACTTTGTGACACGCACACCTTCCTTCTTTGCATGTTCTAGTACGCTCAGACTCTGTCGGAATGCTGCTCGGCGATCCCGAACGAAGGGAGTCAATGCTTCGACTGTCTCTATATTATGTGCATAGACGTCTAATCCAGACTTTGCCACGACGGAGACCATAGGAAGAGAGCCACCGAAGTCGCCTGTGAGTGCTTCTACCAGGATCTGAGGCGCTCTGCCAGTAACGACAAATAGGATGCCATAAGATCAGCGGGTGGCTCAGTGCACGAGGCAGATTACACGCACTTCTGCTTGATCTTCGTGATCGTCTCCGCGAAGTGGTGAGCACCTCCGTCCACGAGGTCTAGTAAAGAAAATCAGAGGCTAATCCGTCCATAAGAAGCAGGAACGAACCATCCCGGTCCACACTCGTTAATACAATGTATCCCAGTCCCCAGCGACTGATGGCTTCTGCTGTGTGTTCCGGCTCGTGAGGGTCAAGGGGTGGTGGTACACGTGAAGTCTTCACTGAGCAGAATCGGCACCCTCGTGTACATGTGTCTCCCATCAGCTACACCGCCCCAGAGTGTCAGAGAACGAAAAGTTAGGAGATTCGAAGTACACTCACCATGATGGTAGCAGTTGCGGCACTCCGCCCCTCCTCTGCTGTAGCACCTTCCTTCCCACCCCAACAATCGCCGATATTGGGACACCGCGCCTCCTCACATACTGTGTGCAGCTTCAATCCTCTGAGGTCATTCTTGATCTTCGTGAACGAGGCCCCTTTCGGAATTGACGTCTTCAGGTGAGACGGCAGGCGAGGGCTGTCAAAGAGCACACGGCGCCGTCTGGGTAACCCTCACCAGGCCCGATGGATTTGGACTTACCCCTTCGTATTTCCGAGCACTATCCTGTCGGGCACAGCATCCGCAATGAAGTCGTCCAGCGTGGGTCCCTCTGCAAGATTTTGACTAAAGCTCGATTTGGACGAGGACGGTGTCGCCAGCGTGCGAATATGCGACACTGATCTAGATGCCCGAGTTCTGCGCAAAAGAGTGTTCACGGAACACGCAGAACGATGCATGGTGGCAATGTATTGGCAGCAATGGGCAGTTCAGCAGGGCTGCGCTTGGTAAGTCCGAGCAAGACTCAGCAAGCGCACCGAGCTGTGCTCAGCTCGTTCGCCCGACCGGAGCGCCCGTCCAACTAGACGCCACTCATTTCCAATGCCACGTGCTCCCTCCCGTCTCGATCAGTCTCCTAGTACTGCAGCATTCGTCCGACTTGTCGAACCGCCAAACGCCCATGGACGCAATATCGCGACGCGAGGAGGATATCCTGCTCAAGACGGCGAAGGATAAGGCAATGAAGGAATGCGACCCCATTGTGAAAGGTGCGTCTGGCTTGAACGGGTCGCGCGAACCATCACCAAAGTAATTGCTACGACTATCCTTGTAGAGTTTGCGGAATGTGCTGCAGGACGCACACTTTCTGTCGCTTGGAATTGCAAAGGCAAATACAGAGCTTTGCAGGATTGTATGGTCCAATAGTGAGTGGCGGAGTTGCTTGGATGATGCTTGTACCTGTGTTGCTCTGATCCTGATGCTCGTACATCAAGCACAGGTCCTGAGCCTATGGCAGCGATGCGGGAAGAATATCTTCGATTGCGGAGAGAGCAGCGGGATGGACAAGGCTCCACATCGTAGCTCGTTGCATTCGGAAATTTATTACAAGATCGCTTATTGTGTGCATTCAGTTGGCACTCGCATCGACAGCTCCGGACCCTAACTCCCCGTTATTCCGCATGGGACTCTGGGCCACAGGAATGCATCTGTCCGCGTCCTTCGCCGCCGTTGGTATGCTTGCTGTCGAAGTGTTGAAGAAAACGACGATATAGATATATTGTCCCATAGCATGATTTCTCAATGCCATGACAGACGAACGTCATCTCGTACCAAGCAAATGCATAATTATTAACTATCAGTCTCATCTACTTACGGTTCACAGCTATCCATTGCGACTGTAGCGCCAGCAAGGACGTAATGAGACTACAGTCGAAAGGGTCAGAGTGATAGCGTGGTCTTCGAGCTTGTGAATGCTTACCCGAAGATGCCAAGAACACCATCGTTGAGATTTACCAGACCGATGTTCGTCGCGGGGATCCAGACATCGAAGAGGTCGATGATGAACTGGTGGCGCGTTACCTCGCGCGCCCTTGTCATAGATGAGGTCAGTAAAACGACAGCCGTGACAGACTGGAGGCATACTTCTGGATAGCGTTCAGTTTCAGTTCACGGTCGGCATCACCGCCCTTGTCAGTAAGCTGTGCGCTTCGCAGTTTCCCGACTTCGTTCGCTAGTCTGCCAGCCTAACATTGAATTGAAAGGAGTTATTACTTCATGATAGTGCCTTCACGTGCTATCACCAACCTTGAGCAGACCGTGCGTGATGCTGAAGAGAACTGCTGCAAGCCAGAACCTGTTTGCGTTCTTGCTTACTTTCTGAGCAGTGGAGGGCTTGAAATTGAAAAACTTCACAGTATTCGCCTGTAACACAGATCAAAGCTAATTCGAGCACTTCACCAACGCGATGACTCACCCAAACGAGCATATCATACGAGAGGTAGCCGAAATACCCAAGCTGCCGGCAGATTGTGGTGATCTGTTCCGCTACCTCACCAGGGCTCTGAGCAGCGCGCAGTGCGGCTTGGAGGTGTTCCAATGGCTTTCCAATACGCATCACTTTGTAGATCCGATCAGCGCAGCCCGTATTAAGACCGAAGGTACATACACTTCCTGGCGAGGGTCAGATGGGACTTGAGTGCATTCCATCTCGCTGCCTCGATCTTGTAACCTCGGGAAAGCAGGTGCCATGCCAGGAAACGCGAGAAGTATTGCACGGCACGGTATATCTAGGCGTCGATAAATATCTTGGGTACCGCGGCATTGAGACTCAGAGTACCTTGTCACGTCCGAGGGTAGTTCCGAGCACCTTCAACGTCTGCGAGACGAATGGGTGAAGGATGAGTTGGGATGCAACGGTCGACATCGTTGTCCGCAGCGAGTGACGTGAGACAAGACGAGCAAAGTCAGGATAGAGTGTGGGGAAGCTGAGAAACCGAGCTGGGGATATTATGGAGCCACAGTGCACGTGAAAATCCCGCACTATGTCCTCGCGTGATCCATAGCCGGACGCGCCTACCCCGCATCGCTTCTACACGCGTTGCCGCCCAATGAGATAGCGGCCTCACGTCGGTGGCCCATTTCAGGACATTTTAGCGCGTCTTTTGTCCTGCAGCGAGCTCGAACATCATGGCATTGTGAAAGCGTCGAGCTGAGGCGAAAACACCCGCCAGGGTGAGCCAGTAATGTCAAAGGCCGAAGTGTGAAGTAGACAAGCTCACAGAGGTTGGCGGCCGACGGAATAAGTCGGGGCAGCTCATCGGAGACATCCGCAACACCCATTCTCCTTGAACTTGAGCGTGGCAAACGGCTCAGCTTTCGCAACCTTCGTTTACCTCGAAAACATCCTTGACGTCTGCTAACAGTCAGTCGCCACAATGCCTGGGATGCGCGTCCGGCTCGCTCGCCCACAACTCGTGAGTGAAGGCCATCTTCAAGCCAGATCTGTAGCTCATGTGATCGTGTTCTACCTGCTCCATCTGGCCTTTGCAGCTGAAAGCCCAGCGGTCCGCCACCTCTCAGAGGCAGTTCTCCTCGTCCTCCTTCCTCATGGTGAGATAGATGGGAAGATCTGCAAAAGTAGAACACTGAAGTCGCGATGACCTTGCAGGATCAGAAGCATCGGATTGAGCGCGATACGTTCGGTGAACTCCAGGTCCCTGCAGATCGCTACTGGGGGGCGCAGACTCAGCGGTGAGTCCCCCGCATAATGCCGCCGGCTGCTTAACCCATTGGTCCTGCCCAAAGTTCTCTGCAAAACTTCGACATTGGCGGTCCCACTGAGCGCCTTCCTCCTCCCCTGATCAAGGCGTTTGGCGTTCTTAAGAAGGCATCCGCTGTGGTTAACGAAACCTACGGGTTGAATCCCAAGATTGGCGATGCTATTCAAAAGGCTGCAGATGAGGTATCTAGAACGCGACTGGCGTGTGTCCTGCAGCATTGATGAGCTTCGCGCTGCGGTAGGTCATCTCGGGCAAGCTCATCGACCACTTCCCCCTGGTCGTTTTCCAGACCGGTAGCGGAACACAGAGCAATATGAACGTCAACGAGGTGCGCTCATCGCATAGATCCTGCGTGTTCTTCTTCGGTTAATCTTTATGTCACCGCAGGTCATCTCGAACCGTGCTATTGAGATGCTCGGAGGTGAGCTTGGCTCGAAGAAGCCTGTCCATCCCAACGATCATGTGAACATGAGCCAAAGTAGCAATGATACGTAAGTAGCATCAGTATATCAGCGAAGCGTTGATGAAAAACGGCGAATGACTACTGTAGGTTCCCCACGGCCATGCACATTGCCGCCGTTACGGAGATCACTCATTCTTTGCTGCCTGCCTTGACTGAGCTGAGGGATGCGCTCGAGGTCAAGTCGAAAGAATTTGCACACATCATTAAAATTGGTCGCACGCACTTGCAGGTCATTCGATTTCGGCTCGTACGGCTCCTTTCGCTAACGTGGCGATTGTTAGGACGCAACTCCATTGACTCTTGGACAAGAGTTCAGCGGATACGTCCAGCAAGTGACGAATGGCATTGAACGAGTAAAGGCTGTTCTTCCGCGTCTCAGCTTGCTTGCGCAGGGTGGTACCGCTGTCGGAACCGTAAGGCCCCTCACATAGATATCTATTGCTGGAATACATTTGAATTGGCTTTCACAGGGCCTGAATACGAAGAAGGGCTTCGATGTGAAGGTCGCCGCTGAGATCTCGAAGATCACTGGTCTTGAGTTCAAGACCGCGCCTAACAAGGTAATCACGACCTCGCATTGTTTGTTTCTCGTGCTGATCACTTTCTCAGTTCGAAGCGCTTGCGGCCCATGATGCACTTGTCGAGGCGCACGGTGCCTTGAATGTCATTGCTTGCTCGTTCATGAAGATTGCCAACGACATTCGATTCCTCGCATCTGGCCCTCGTTGTGGATTCGGCGAGCTTGCGCTGCCAGAGAACGAGCCTGGTAGCAGTATCATGCCTGGCAAGGTCAACCCCACCCAGTGTGAGGCGTTGACTATGGTTGCGGCGCAGGTTATTGGCAATCAGACTGTAGTCAGTGTTGCTGGTGCTAGCGGACAGTTCGAGGTGCGTTCTACTGGGCGTGTCGGTCTTTACGGATGCTGACATCTATTCGATTGCTTAGTTGAACGTCTTCAAGCCGGTTATCATCAAGAACGTTCTGCAGAGCATTCGTCTGCTTGCTGACGGTATGCATTCTTTCTGTTGGCACGTTCCGAAAGGAACTAAAGAGAAATATACCTTAGGCTCGCGCTCATTCACGAAGAACTGCGTCGTCGGCATCAAGGCAAACGAGAAGCGCATTAATCAGCTGCTCCACGAGTCGCTCATGTTGGCTACCATCCTCAACAAGACCCTTGGCTATGACAGTACGTGATGGACACGATCAATTTTCACAGCATTACTGATGTGTTGCTCTTGTAGATGTCGCCAAGTGCGCGAAGAAGGCGCACAAGGAGGGCACGACATTGAAGGAGGCGACAGTGGCGCTAGGATTCCTGACGCCAGAGGAGTTTGACGAGAAGGTTCGTCCGGAGCTCATGTTGGGCCCGGACGAGGCATAGATGTGATGGAACGTGGATAAGTGTATCTATATATACTGTAGTTTATTCATCATGGGACATGCGCGCGTAACCTGTGACGATTTCGCACTCAACATCGGTGAGAAAGCAGTGTGATAAATGACGTGGCGCTAAGGTCCCGGCGGTATCTCCCATTGACTGGCTGCAGAATGACATGGCGACGTCTTCGGAAGCACTGCCAGCTCATCGCTCCCGGCCGTCAGAACTTACTTTGCTACCCTCCGCCCAGGTCCGCCAGCATCTTTCAGCTAGAAGAGGGTGGATAATGGTTGAAACTTTAGATTCTAGACGGTAAAATCACTTCTAATGACTAAGATGTGGGCGGACTGAGGTGTTACCATTGCCCCGTACTGAGTTTAATAGAACTTTCCACATTTAGTAGGAGGATCTACCGCTTTGAATGTGGTTCTCACGCTCTGTGGCACCGGTCTTCGTGGGGGACAGATATTCTCGAATGGACCATCCATCTAATAGACATCACAGACCAAATTGAGGCTGAATAGCCACCAGCATGGAACGGTCACAAGGGCTGTGAGTGGCGTCTAGCTTTGAGTTGCAAGGCTTCCTCCCTCAGATCCGCTACGCTGTATGACCTTATTTACTGTCAAAGTAATACGCACACTGTGATCAAAGTTATTGTTTTGCTGATAGATGGCAGGGGCAGTGATATCTGTTCAGAGTATTGCCCACCGCGCCGGTCTATTCGTGAACTAAATCCGCCCAAAGTAAGCTTCAAAGTGGCAAGATTGGAGCAACAGCTCTGTTCTGCGCATAATTGTTCGTCCTTGATTAAGCGATATGCATTCAGTTAGACAGAACACGTTTCAGTTGCAGAATCAAGACTCTTCAAGCGAGAAGTTGTTCTCTCTTCCCACCTCGAATTGATCTTATCTAGTCCTTCTCCACGGACTAGAGGTGCATGGCGAGTACCTCATATGACTCTGCGATTGTAAAAGAGCGTAGATTGCTCGCGAGAGCAGGCCGACTGAGAGGGCGGGATTTCAGCCACCGCGGGAGCGGGTCACGAGTGTGACAAATCGAGATGGAAGGCGGAGGAGGATGAGATGGCCTAAAGAGGAAGTTGACATATTTGTAGCAACACCAAATCCAATGAGACCAGGCATGCTGGGCAATTTACGGCTAAGATCTCAAGGCCCGGCCCTACACACCGGGGCGCATGAGTCCTTCTTTCCTCGACATCACTTTTCCTCTCCCCCTACACCCCCCCACTCCGGCCACAGTCGCGCATCACGCTCGCGCACGCATAGCCGTTGACCGCGATCGTGTGCTTTTTCGAGAGTCGCACTGCCTGTGTCCACCCATTGCGCAAGCGCCAGGCTGCAGACAAGACGTGCTACGATAGCATTCGCCCCTTGACCTCATACTCGCTTTTTGTCCTTTTCACACCTTCTCGCCAATGTCTCTCAAGCATATCCTCAACGATGACCCATCACCTCCTCCCCGGCTATCAGCCCCGTCTGCACCAGCTCTTGTGTCTACGCAGCCTGTCGATTCGGCGTCAATGACAGTTTCTCCTCCCGCAACCACGTCTCCTCGTCCCGAGGCCACAGACTACGCGCACCCTCAGGCACCACATGAATACGAACAGCGCCCGGCACACCAGGATTATGGTTACCAGCCTGTGGTGTACCATGCAGGCGACTGGACAGACAACGGCCACCCTGCTTTGTCACCAACAGGTAATCACTACCCAGAGCACGACGAGCAGACACCACCATCTCCCACGATGTCGAACGGCACGCAGCCAATGACACACCGGTTCAAGGAGGGATATATTGAAAGCAGCGGGAGGAAGAAGCGAAAGTTCACGGATGACGATGATGATTACCAACCACCGGGTCAGAAGCGAGTAAGTAAACCATTACTTTGTTCCCGCCCTGTCACTCATGCCGTTTTCTCGCCGCTGCATTGAAGCACTTACGGCGGCATGTTACACGCAATCGACAGCAGCCTCGCAATCACACTCCTGCTACGGACGCTGGAGAGACGGATCCATCTGTTGATGGTCAACGTGAACAGACTGAAGAGGAAGCACGGCTTGCCTCGACAGACTTGGAGGACTGCGAGGAAATCTGGATGGGAGAATTGGGCAACTATATTATTGAGAACCACAAGAGACAGAAGCAGGTTGATGCTTGGTTTTCTCGCTGGATCATCGTGAGTGCACCTGAATTCATGTCGCGACAGTTGTCCTAAAATCATCCATAGGAGCGAGATTCGATTACGGCATACCATATGTCGCATGCGTACAAGCGGCGTATAGCGCGGATACCACCGCCTCCTCCACCACCACCTCCACCTCAGCCTGCGTCGGAAGAGGGAATCCTTATGCGCCCTATGTCTCCATCTGTGCAAGTGATAGACGGATACGATGGATCGCATGCTGATGTGCGACTCCATGGATATGCCGACGAAGATACAGGTCATGAGCTGGAGGATGACGGACCGACACGGCACAAGGGTAAGGGTAGAGATACTGGCAAGAGACCTGCCGTCTATCCGATTTCGGATTCAGAAAGCGAGCTTGACATACCGATTTCGAAAACAATGCCTACGCACAAAAAGCGCAAGCTCGCTAACGATGCCGCAGAGGGGGACGAACTTGAACGGTCCGGTGGCAGCAAGCCGTCTGCGCTGTCTCCTGCACAGAAGATGTCGCTCTCTGGCAAGGGCAAAGGAAAGGGCAGGCAGCTCCAACGCGAAGACAGCCTTGAGAGCATTTCTGCGACTTCCAAGTTACGCAAGAAAGGTGGACCAAGGAGAAAGTACGACGCCTTGCCCCCGCATACACAGGAGCTTCTGGGGGTCCCATCGGCATCCGTGTCCGTTGCTGGCGATTTGACACCTGCCGGGTCCCGACCTGCCTCCCCTGCTCTAACGTCGGTGTCTGCGACAGTTTATGAACTCGATGAGAGCATTCCTCCTTTAAGACGCGCTAAGAAGGTCGACGAAGCGGCTATGATCAAGCGTGTCAAGACGCTTGAGGATGCTCAGCGGAAGGTTTGGACCAATATTGCCAGGAGGGATATTCCTAAGGCAAGTCTGAAATCGTACGAAATGTTATTTCATCCTAGCCTTACACGGCATGTTATAGGTCTACAAATATGTTGCACAAGGATCCATGTCAAGACGCACGCAGCTGCAGCGCATCGCCACGCTCGCGTCAAGAGCTGCTCGCAAACCGCTCACCAAGAACAACAAGGCGGTCAAGGACATCCAGGCGAAGTGCAAGCGGCTCATGCGCGAGATGCTCGTTTTCTGGAAGAAGAACGAGAAGGAGGAGAGGGACGTCCGCAAGCGCGAGCAGAAGGAAGCGATTGACCGGGCCAAGGTCGAAGAAGAGAAGCGTGAGGCTGCAAGGCAGGCCAGGAAATTAGAGTTCTTGATCAGTCAGACGGAACTCTATAGTCACTTCGTTGGCAACAAGCTGAAGAGTGCGTCGTGTTGCTCCGTCATGCTTGTGCATATTGGCATATTGATCTGACCGCGCTACAGCTGCTGAGCTTGAGGGCCGTACCACCCGTGCTCACGTTCCTGCTGGTGCCGAACTTGCCGACGTTGATAGTAGCACACTACAGGATATTGACTTTGACGACGGTGAGTATGATCTGGTGTAGGCGTACGTGTCAGCTGATCATCTTCAGAGGACCAAACCAACATTCATCGGCACGCGAGGCACAACGCACAGACGGCGATTGCGCTTGCGAGGCGGAAGGCGCAAGAGTTTGACACGCAGGCGGCATTGGAACGCAAGACAAACGAAGCTTTGAAGCTGGCAAAGCGCCAGGCGCATATTCGCGCAGACGAAGATGTCGAGGGCATGGGCTCTGGATCCTCGAGCACGCCACTCGTTGATTGTGGGTCAAAATTCTTCTGAACAGGTGAACATTTGCTGACGATAGATCTGCAGTGGATTCGGAGGAGCTGAACTTCCAGAACCCAACGTCTCTCTCGGGAGAACTTACAATCAAGCAGCCGAAGATGCTGATGGCTACGCTCAAGGAGTATCAGCTGAAGGGATTGAATTGGCTTGCGACCCTGTACGAGCAAGGCATCAATGGCATTCTTGCGGATGAGATGGGTCTCGGAAAGGTTGGTCAATCTAACAATGTCGTCATCGTCAGTTCCCGATCAACTCATTCTTCCTGACAGACTGTCCAATCCATTTCGCTGCTCGCGTATCTTGCCGAGACGCATGATATCTGGGGGCCGTTTCTTGTCGTGTCTCCCGCGTCCACTTTGCATAATTGGCAGCAAGAGATTACCCGGTTCGTGCCACGATTGAAGGCACTACCGTACTGGGGAAATGTCAAGGATCGAGCTACCCTGCGGAAGTTCTGGAACAAGAAGGAGATTAGCTATGACCAAGACGCTCCATTCCATGTGCTGATCACGAGCTACCAGCTGGTAAGTTAGGCGAGATTGTGACAACCGTTTACATTTGCTGATCTAGAATATAGGTGACTCAGGATCAGCAGTATTTCCAACGTGTCAAGTGGCAATATATGATCCTTGACGAGGCCCAGAACATCAAAAACTCTTCCAGTGCTCGGTGGAAGACGCTTCTTGGCTTCCAATGTCGGAATCGCTTGCTGTTGACCGGTACTCCTATTCAGAACTCGATGCAGGAGTTGTGGGCCTTGCTGCACTTCATTATGCCTAGTCTGTTCGACTCTCACGACGAGTTCAACGAATGGTTCTCCAAGGATATCGAGAATGCCGCGGAGAACAAGGGTAGTAAACTGAACGAGCATCAGCTTCGTAGATTGCATATGATCCTGAAGCCGTTCATGTTGCGTCGCGTCAAGCGTCATGTCCAAAACGAATTGAGTGACAAGGTATGTGAACATGTGGTGATGCTTCGACGGCTCCTCTCATCATATCCTCTTCCTAGATCGAGGTGGACATCTATGTAGACCTGAGCGCTCGACAACGCGCCCTGTACAAAGCGTTGCTGGCCAATGTTTCCGTTGCGGACTTGTTGGAGAAAGCAGCAAACATCGGAGATGCTGATTCTGCGCGGTCACTGATGAATCTCGTCATGCAATTCCGCAAGGTCCGTGATGCATCTCTTGTTCAGTCGAGTGGCTATTCTGAACCGTTCTTAATTAGGTCTGCAACCATCCGGAACTATTCGAACGTGCAGACGTCGTTGCACCTTACTCATTCTCTGAATTTGGACGGTCCGGACCGCTCAATCGCGAAGGCGATTTCATTCAATTCCCTTACTCTACTCGCAATCCAATCGAATTCTCCATACCGAAGCTGTTGTATTATGAAGGCGGTCTATTGGATGTGCCACAGGAAAATTCAAAGGACACTGCACATCTAGCACATCTTATGAACATATGGCGTACAGATTGGATTCATCAATCATTGTATCACGAAGGTGAGATCTAGCCAGGCGTTTGCGATGCATGCGGGCTGACCTGCAAAATAGAACGACCTGCTTTCTCATTCTTGAAGTTCATTGATCTCTCGCCCTCCGAAGCTCATGCGTTCTATATGGCAAACACGATCCAGAGGCAGGTTTTGTCCGCGCACTTAGAGGCAAAACATAAGGAGTACCAGCCGTATGACTCGTGAGTAGCCGCATTGCAGTATTTTGCAGAGTTCTGATAAGCCAACCCATGTAGCGATGCATTGTTTATCGCGACTCGCGCGTCAAACCCATATCGGTTGCCTTCGCGAGTCTCATTTGGCGCTATCCAGGACGGCGAGGATCTTCCACAACTAACGTCAATTTCGATGTCAGCGTGGAAGGAATCTTGCCTGTCTCGAAGGGACCTCAAGTGGTTCATACCACCTGCTGTCGCTCCTCCCATCACTATGTATAGTGCTGATCGCACATTTGTCGAACGTGAAGTGCAGCTCTTCGAGTCTCCGACGGAGTCCTTGGCACTCTATGGACTGCCACCGTCCCTCTGGGACTCTGAGAGTGCTTACTCGCAATACCAAGAGCAGTATCCCGGGCTGCAAGCCTCAGGTCTGATTGGTGCTTCATCGCCAGATCAGCTACCGTTGTCGACGATGCAGGTACCGGAGGCGAAGAGACTCATTTACGACTCGGCGAAGTTGGCTCGCCTTGATTCTCTACTACAAGAATTGAAGGCGGGCGATCATCGGGTCCTGATCTACTTCCAGATGACGCGCATGATGGATCTGATGGAGGAGTATCTTATCTATCGCCAATACAAATACTTGCGTCTCGACGGCTCCTCTAAGCTGGAGGATCGACGGGACATGGTTATGGAGTGGCAGACTAGGTGCGTTAGTTTTCTCTGTGCCTATATGCCCCTCGGGCTCATCATCGCGAAGGCCAGACATTTTTATCTTCCTGCTAAGTACTCGTGCGGGAGGGTTGGGCATCAATCTTACTGCTGCGGACACGGTCATCTTCTATGATCACGATTGGAATCCCTCGAATGACGCTCAAGCAATGGATCGTGCTCACCGCCTCGGCCAGACGCGCCAAGTGACCGTGTATCGCCTCATCACTAAGGGTACCATCGACGAGCGCATCGTTCAGCTGGCCAGAGTCAAGAAAGATGTGAGTGTTTCCCGTGCCACATAAGGATGCTTTTCTAACACGTCCGCAGGTGCAAGACATTGTTGTTGGCAATAAGAGCTTCACCGACGTCACAAAACCGAGCGAAATTGTCCAACTGTTGCTCAACGAAGACCAACTGGCGGGTCTGGATAGCAGCAGCGATGCGTCCAAGAGCAAAGGCAAAAGGCCGGCCACAGATGCGACGCAAGCCAATGGAAATGTGATTCGTGATCTCTGGAACGAAGAAGGTGACGAGTTTTTCGGGCATTCTACGGCAGCTCAGAATGGAGCCAGCATCGAGGCGATCGATGAAGACGCAGGAACGCCCGTGCCCACCCCGAGTGGCCGCGGGCGCAAACGCGGAGGCGGTGCTGGAACGACTCGAGGTCGGAAGCCTGGTCAAAGAGGTAGAAGGAAGGCCAATGTAACCGGCGGCGACGGTGATTCATAGTCAATGCTCCGCTATTTTGTTTTGATTTTGGGCAGCCCATGGCGATCCATCGTACTTTATGTCACAGCGGTCTGTGTACTTTATAATTCATTCCTCATTATAGCTATTGTACTTTCTTCCTAGATCTGCCTTCGTGTATCAGGACCTATTAGCTTTGAATTATGTACTCTCGCACTGATACCAAGTACTGTACTTTCTGTGTTTATCCGAGATGCGGTGCACAATCACTACAGCTCATCTTGTCACAATCACATCGAAATTAGTCCTTGAATAAAACTTAGTAGGATCGAGATATCGAATAACAAATCTAGCGTTGGCCGACCTACATACGTGGAGTGCGGATTTTGCCCAGTTTGATTCCTGTTTCTGACCCTGTTGAACTTGGGGCATTGGAGTGACAATCAAATCCCCGTGGAAGATGGCGTTAGGTTTCCATCGCAGTTATAGCTATATTCCTATCAGAGATCGTCTCATTGCCATTGCAAACAGAATCCCATATCATTCTGCTGTAATTATCCCGTTGTTGACTGCAGTTTACAGTGATTTACAATAGAACGAACTTAATCACATCACATACGCGTATTTGTTCACAAAGGTATTATTCAACAGGGTGGTTAAAGGAACAGGAAAAGATCCATGAAGCTTAAGACCCATGGAGGCAGCTGCAGGGCGCGGGAGGGAGGAGACGCCCGCTGCATCCAATGAGAGCGCGAGAGACCTCAGATCTGATTTAGATTCGTGAGCAGTCTGCGAAAAATGATTCATGTGGACGTGCTCTGAAAGCTCGATGCCCAGTTGCATAGTCCTCGGAATACACGAATCCCGCTAGACATAGACATTCAGCTTGCGCTACTGGTGCCACTCGGTCTCAGGCTGAACGGTGGAGTTCGCTCGAACTTGTCAAATCAGAGACCTCAGTGGACAGGACAGAAAGACAGCATCGTATACAGATTGTCATTTGATATGGCGAAGAAAAAGAAGACCCAATTGAAACCTGTAGCCAGAGGGTTTGCTGTCACGTCGGTTCCGAAGAAGGTGGTGCAAGTTGTAGAAGAAAACGAGGGCAGCGCGGAAACCCCAAATGAAGAAGGTCGTACTTCTGCCGTGCCTTCCAGCAATCCCGATAACGCAAGCGTCGCGCAGTCAGATGTTGTTTCCAATGAGGAACAAGCCTTACAGAGCTTGATAGACAGATTTCAGGATCGGACGGAGAGGGACGTTGTCAGGACATTGAAGGCGCGTTTGTTGAACAGTCCTCTGACTGCAGCACGATTGACGAATTTTCAGGTCATAGAGCAGGAACGACGTTTTGCGGAATCACTTACCCGTCTGGAGTTGACGTCTCTCTTCATTGAGAACATTCTCTCTACGGCCAGTGAGAGCTCTTCAGGTGAAGGCAGGTCATCATATACCTTCCCATGAAGGCTTAATTCAGCTGTGTCTAGCAAGGAAGGCCATCGAAGAAGCTGGAGAGAAGGCGTTACCGCGCCTTGCCGTAACGTACGGAGTCCTGCGACGCATCGGATTCAGAGAATCTCGAGTGGAAGAATGTCTCAGAGCGATCGGCGGGGTCGATTTAGATGAAGCGTTTGACTGGGTGTGTCGCACTACCTATGACTTTCTACCGTTATAACCTAACATAAAGCAGCTACACATTCACTGTAGTGAAGAGGAACTTGGTGCGCTTAATGGTGTGAAATGCTTGCAATCTCACGCGATGGACTCTTCATTCATCCCCTGCTTCTCAGATGCAGAAGAGTCTGGCGAATCAAAGTCGCCAAAGACATCGAGCCTCCCGCAGACACCGCTAAATCAAGACCAGTATCCTATCCAGCTGGAGACATCCACCCCAAAGCGATTTGATGCCCGTGCCCCTGGTTCCATTCCTGAAGGGATCTCTTCACTTCGTGACTCTTTCAGTGATGCCGTGGGGGCAGATGGAGGAATAAGTAGTGATACAGTGTCGCCTGCCGGCAGCGGATACGTTGCCGCTGCAAAGAGTCAGGAATCCCAATTACCTGTAGATGACTCGGATGATGATCCTAACGCCAAATATGTGCGGCTCAAAATGCAGATTGCAGACCTCACCACGCACAGGCAACCCGGTGAGCTTCGAGATGCATCTTTCCTTCGAGGACTTCAGCAACGCTTAGAAGAGGTCAAACAAGACTACTTGTTCGATGGCGAGGCGGCTGAAGCCCAGTATCGCATTGAGCGTGCAAGGGCCGATGCTTCCATTCTTCAAGCTAGACTCCGTGGCGAAATCACCGCACCCGCAAAGCCTTCTGCGGCACGCCACAAAGTGGAGCCTCTTAGTAGGCAGAAAGCATCCCAATCGACTCGCGCGGCAACCAAAGACCTGTCTGACTCCGATGATGACTCTTCCTGTGGCATGCTTGATTTGTTGGACATGCCTGCTACGGGCACTACGGAAGAGGGTGTTGTAGTCACTATCCGGGACATGGATTTGCCAAAGCAGTGGTCCGGCCGTACACCACAAATATTGCTGGCGGAACGAGTACACAAAGTGGACAAAAATGCCGCAATCAGCTACAGCAACAAATCCGGCGCCAGCCGTGCGCAGAGGGCATCTGTCCAGGTCCGTTGGAGCAACGGCAAGACCGATGTGTGGTCTATGGATGACATCGCGACCCGCGATATGTTCCAGGCAGAGCAGTACATCTCCACCGTCGCCCTACATGCATTGGCATTCCCGTCATCAGAAGGCTTTGCTATAGGTGCGACAATGGGTCAGGCTGGCCCGACGTCTTTCCGACAATTGCCTGGCCCATACCGTGACTTATGGGATGAACTCGAGCAACGGAGGCGTACAGAGGATAATGCGACGAATCGCACTGTATGGGCAAAATTGAGGTCTATACTGGAGCCGAAACTCAACCTTGAACCCAAGGTCAACCATTGCTATTCATTGGTCAGCCCACATGTTGAACTTCATACAGCCTGGTGAGAACAACGTGAAGCCAGTGGTAAACTCAAAGGGCAAGGGTGTACCTCGTAATGCCATATACCGTGGCAATGTAGACCCAGAACAAGTCAAGGCTGACTTTGAGGCACGGCGCTCGCGCCCTGCTTACCAGGAGATGCTGGTACGTATTAGTACTGAATAACGTACCGGAATTCTCTTCACAATTATTCATAGTATCAACGAGGGAAGCTACCAATCGCACAGTATCGCGAGGAGATCAATACCATTCTGCAAAGTTCAAATATACTAGTTTTGAGTGGCGAAACAGGGTGGTACGTAGTCCAATGGCCACTCAAGTGCATGTAGCTTGTGTTCAAATGTTGTCTCACTTCTAGTGGGAAGTCCACCCAGGTCCCTGCGTTCATATTGGAGGACCACCTTGCGAAGGGTAAATACTGCAAGATATTATGTACGGAGCCTCGACGGATCTCCGCGATCTCACTTGCTCAACGAGTATCGCGAGAGCTGGGTGAGTCCGCGGGGACTGTTGGCACTGCAGGCTCCATCGTGGGATATTCGATCAGGCTGGAAAACAAATTAACCAGCCGAACACGCTTAGCCTATGTCACAAACGGTATTGCGCTGCGGATGCTGGAAGGAGGGACGGGTCAAGGAGGTCAGGGAACGGCCTTTGACGAGATCACGGTCAGTGCTTGCACCGACCTATGATCGAATGACTAACATCACGCACAGCATATTTTCATCGACGAGGTCCGTGCACATATGTTTATATCAGCGATATGTCTCACCTCCATGATAATTCAGGTTCATGAGCGCACAATTGAATCCGACTTTCTACTCATCGTCCTCAAGTCTCTGTTGCAAGAACGCCCCGACCTGAGGTGAGTCACTGCCGATTATAGCAGGGTGGCATCCTGAACCTCGTTGCAGAGTAGTTTTGATGTCTGCGACGGTGGAAGCAGAGAAGATATCGAATTACTTTGGAGGTACCCCAACCCTCTCCGTGCCGGGGCGGGCATTCCCTGTCGACGTTCGTTACTTGGAGGATGCTATCGAGTTTACAAAGTGGAGAATCACAGAGAGTTCCCCATATGCCAGGCGTGGTGTGCTAATTCCGAATATACCATTGACTCCTTTCTGATGTTCTGTTTCATTCAGGCAAGGACAAGTTCCACGCGGGCAAAGTGCAGGTTGAGTGGTCCGAGGATACCGCACCGGCCGATGACGACGATGACGAAGGGGCTCAAGAGAATGTGAAGCTGGAGAAACGATATTCTGCCAATACTGCTGCCACTATCAACCTCCTTGATGAGCGCGTTATTCCCTATGAACTCATCATCCGCTTACTAGAGCAAATCTGTTTCAACGACCAAGCATACTCTTCATATTCATCTGCTATCTTGATCTTCATGCCAGGCATAGGTGAAATTCGCAGGCTCAACGACATGCTCATGGAGCATCCTTCGTTCGGTTCAGAAACTCAGTTCACAGTCTATCCACTCCATTCCACCATTTCTAGTGAAAACCAGAATGCTGTCTTCGACATTCCCCCACAGGGCATTCGTAAGATAGTCATCGGTACGCCTAGCTGCGCCTCCATTCGAACAGGTGGACGACTTATCACGCAACCCTGCAGCCACTAATATTGCTGAGACGGGTATCACAATACCTGACATTACGTGTGTCATCGATACGGGTAAACAACGAGAGATGAGGTCAGAGGCATTCTCATTTGATCATCAATTTGTGCTAATAAGTCGAACAGATTCGACGAGAAGCGTCAGATTAGTCGGCTCACCGAGACATTTGTCGCGAAAAGTAACGCAGCGCAACGACGGGGCCGTGCAGGAAGAGTGCAGTCTGGGCTATGTTTCCATTTGTTCACGAAAATTCGCCACGACACGAAGGCAAGCTCGCCATTCTATTGAACCGGAATTAATGCTGAGCTTCCCATAAAGATGGCTGCACATCCTGACCCAGAGATGTTGCGACTTAGCTTGAGTGAACTTGCACTGCGCATCAAGATCATGAAAGTGAAGCTAGGGACATCTATCGAAGACGTACTGTGCAAAGCTTTGGATCCACCTTTACCTGTCAACATCCAGAGGGCTGTGTCGGCTCTCGTAGAGGTACGTTGCATTTTCTTTTTTTTTTGACTCGACCAGCATTTGCTGATCTTGCTGCTCCAGGTCAGGGCCTTAACATCATTGGAAGAAATCACTCCGATGGGACGGCTTCTGAGCAAATTACCTACCGATGTCCACCTCGGAAAGTTCCTGCTCATAGCGACACTCTTCCGCTGCTTGGACCCTGCTCTTACCATTGCCGCTACTTTGAACTCCAAGTCGCCCTTCATGTCTCCTCTAGGTTATGAGCAAGAGGCTGAGCGTGCTAAGCTATCTTACCGTATCGGTGCGTGTCACGAGCGTGGAAAGTTAGGAGGAATTCACTCTCAATTTGTTGGACAGAGAACTCCGATTTTATGACCATCCATAACGCCTTTGCGAGCTGGCGTCAAGCATGCGCGAATGGGATTGGTCGGAAGTACTGCAAGCGCAACTACTTGAGCTATCAGGTAAGATCTATGACACGCGTTTACACCTTCTCATATCACATGCTTTACAGAACCTGCAACAAATAGAAGAGTTGCGTCAGCAATTCCTTGGGTAAGTCTCGCTACTTCTCCCGGAGCTAAATGCGCCTTACGTTAGCTTGTCAGCGACTTGGTTGACTCCTCCTTCATCCAAGTGAGCGACTCTTTCGCGCAAGAGCTCAGCAGGTGTGTTTTGTGCTTCATCACAACGGCGTTCCGACGTTGAAACACGCCATGCAGAGCGCGCTATAGCCGTGGCAGAACACGTTTCGTCTCGGTACCTGCAGCGTTCGACGCGAACACGGGCAATGTGTTCCTTTTACATGCATCCCTGTGTGCTGGGTTGTATCCCAAGATACTCGCCGTTGATCCTTTGAAGGAGGTGATGAAGACTGTCACGAACAACCAATCCGCCTCATTCCATCCCTCCTCCGTGAATTTCGGCAGGAGACCTAGTAGCTTCGGCGTCAACCATCTCTGCTATTTCACTCTCATGTAAGTCGAATGTATACCATATGACTACAACTCATTTTCTGGCAGGCAATCGAAGAGGCTTTATGCATGGGAAACTGCTCCTGTGGATGACGTTGCGTTGGTTCTCCTGTGTGGGGAGCCGGAATTTAAGGTGATGCATGCTGCTCATGAGTTACCGTGGAACAATTTTAAACGAAGATGCATACAGCTGGCCTCCGATGCCGTTTATATTGACCGAAAGATCAAGTTCCGCGTCCCAGCCAAGTCTGGCATCGCGTTGAAACTCTTGCGTAACCAGCTTGATATGATAGTTTCCACTCAGATGCGTCAGAAACCTTTGATGGAATCGCAGACACTGTGGAATAATCTTGCAATGATGGTGTTGGGCAAGATTAGACCGAAGGATTCGGAGGACCACCGAGAGAACATAACACTGGTAGTTCATCGATAGGTAGGTATTGCTATACTAGAACGTACTCAAATTACACCAGCGGGTTGTCGTCCTCTCAACTGTAAAATGTCTCGTCGCAGACTGTACGCACTACAGCTTGACCCTTTTCGCACGTCATCTTCATAGATGGGGTGCAGCGTGATGATCGTGAACCTGAGATCGATTGCACGAGAGAATCGTGGGCGTAGAGCATAACTATCGACGAGATGAAAAGAAAGCGACACAGCAATTCTACTCCTCATCTTCATCATCAGCGGCGCTCCTGCAGATGAGAAATTGAGTAAATGCAAGAATCGCCAGGACAGGAAAATTTCGTACTGGATGTTGTAGAAGCGGAGCTGATAGGTATCCTTCGACGGAGCGACGACACTGTGCTCGGGTCAGCTCATGATATCTATTGGCTTGCGATAATGATACCCACCGAATCCAGTCACGGAGAGAGTTCTTCTTAAGGAACTTCTTCGTGTAGTACTTCAAAGCCCGCTTGGAGAGTTTGACGTTCGAAGTCACAGTGATTTTGACATCACCTACAATTATATGAGCCGACGGACGAATCTACATTGATATAACCTACATACCATCGCGGACGATCTTCACGTTGTCACCGAGCTGGCCTGTCTTGCCATCAATCTTGACACGGTCATGCAAGAACTTCTCGAAGGCCGCTCCGTCAAAGATACCGTCCTTTGCGGGATTAGAGTAGTCAATTATGAACTTGTGCTTGGTGGCAGAAGCTTTTCCGGAGGCAGCCTTAGGCTAGGATACAGGAAAAAGAGCACCTCAGTGTGAGCCTACTGAGAAGATAACTCAGCAAAGCTGCACCAAGGACGAACCATCGTGACGGCGAGATGTAAAGTGGGCGTCGAGTCTTGAGGACGATGTGATTGAGGGCCACAATTCCAAACCTAGTTGTTAGCGTAAGTCACATGCAGAGGTACTGTACAGTTACAGTGCAAATGCTCCCACGATCGGTTATAGCCGATAGTTCCCCAGATTTGGAGACATAGTTCTCACGATTCTATGTGTGATATTGGGCGAAATTGTGGCCAAGTCGCAGGGTGAAGAGCGCTGAAAACTTCAGCCAGGACAGCCATGGTTGCTGCAAAGGTCCTCACTCGCGACCAAGTCGTATCTGCACAGCTTCAGGGCGACTATGTCATCAAGTCGGAGAGCTCTGTGCCCCAGCTCGATACTTCTCAATGGCCCCTTCTCTTGAAGAACTATGACAAGCTACTTGTGCGATCTGCGCACTTTACACCGATTCCGTCTGGATGCAGTCCATTGAAACGAGACATCACGAGTTATGTCAAGTATGTGAATCTCTTGTGGTTGATTATTTACTGCTGAACGATGGTCTTGCAGGTCTGGTGTCATAAACCTTGACAAACCTTCCAACCCTTCATCGCACGAAGTGGTAGCTTGGTTGAGACGAATTCTAAGAGTAGAGAAGACTGGGCATAGCGGAACCCTTGACCCCAAGGTCACTGGCTGCTTAATAGTCTGCATTGATCGCGCGACGAGGCTTGTCAAATCGCAACAAGGTGCAGGAAAGGAGTATGTTGCGGTGCTCCGCCTTCACTCCAGTCTTCCAAATTCCACTGCGCTCCCTCGCGCCATTCAGACTCTCACTGGTGCTCTCTTCCAACGGCCGCCATTGATCTCAGCTGTCAAGCGTCAGCTCCGTATACGCACGATCTACGAATCCAAGCTCCTCGAGTTCGACGAGAAGCGCAACCTCGCCGTATTCTGGGTCTCATGTGAGGCCGGGACATACATTCGAACATTGTGTGTACATCTGGGATTGCTGTTGGGAGTAGGTGGACATATGGAAGAGTTGCGGAGAGTCCGAAGCGGTGCCTTGAGCGAAAACGACAACATGGTCACGATGCATGATGTGCTTGATGCTCAGTGGCTGTATGATAATACACGAGATGGTACGTTGTTTTCGTGAGCCGCTCTCAGATCTGATGCTGACGCATGGATCAGAATCGTACCTGCGGCGCGTCATTAGACCGCTGGAGTCATTGTTGATAGGCTACAAACGCATCGTTGTCAAGGACAGCGCCATCAACGCCGTATGCTACGGTGCAAAATTGATGATCCCTGGACTGTTGCGTTACGAGGCGGATATCTCGCTCAACGAGGAGGTTGTCCTTATGACTACCAAAGGTGACGCGATATCACTCCTGACCACGATTGAAGTTACTTATCAGTCATCAGGCGAAGCGATTGCGTTGGCCATCGCACAAATGTCAACCGTTGAGCTTGCAACATGCGATCACGGCGTCGTCGCGAAGGTGAAGCGTTGCATCATGGAACGTGACACCTATCCTCGCCGTTGGGGTCTTGGACCTAAGGCGATGGAGAAGAAGAAGATGGTTAAGGACGGCAAGCTCGGCAAGTACGGTGAGAAGATTGAAGGCGTCACACCTGCGGAGTGGAGTAGAGACTACGTTGATTACTCGCGGGAGGTAAGTTCCAACTCCTGTTCCTTAATCTCGTTAACTCACGCCGCCGTAGCAACCTGCTGCGGGCCCATCAACAATCACTATCGGCGCTCCAGAGCGTCCAGCTGCTCCTGTACCCGCTCCTGAGTCCAGCCCATCGAAGGAGAAGGAGAGGATAAAGGACAAGGAGAAGAAGCGCAAGCGCAAGTCAGAGGTTCCTGATGCTGTTGGTGACGTATCCACGGTAGTCGAAGACAATGCAGACGAAGATGACGTAGCACGGGCAGAGCGCAAGCGGCTCAAGAAAGAGAAGAAGGCGAAAGAGAAAGAGGTAGCGGAGAAGGGCGAGGATGCAGAAGACGAGGAAGCGCGGAGAGAGAGAAAGCGTCTGAAGAAGGAAAAGAAGGCGCGTGAGTCTATGGGTGGTGAACCGTGATGCACAGTGTGCTGTGAGCTTGGATGTGTAGTATACGCTTGATTTCAATGGAATCTTGTGCTCCAGAAAATTGACTCGTCAGCCGCGGTTATGATAGTCGTGAGTGCTCATTTGCTTATATGTCATGTAGATCTGTCTGCGTAGATCAGTGTCCACAAACGATATTTGACACCGTGGCCTTGCATAAAGTCCGAGGCATAAAGTTCAGCTGCGAATTCGTTCAAAAGAACTCGCTGCGCTTATACGAACTTAGCTGCGCTCGCGCTAATCGTACCGGCGATGTACGGATTTCATGACATGCCTAACGATCACTTGATCAGTCAGCCCAATGCAAATTAACCCGAATCTTCATAGCAAAGCTCCAGTTGGACTCAGAATCCAGGCTGCGAGTGCCTACGCCAGTGGTCAAAGCAAGATTGTCCATCAATATAGCCAATCAGCTGAATTCGTGACCAGTTTCGGCAGGTACAGTGATTCGTTGCAGAGCGCTCGAGCCACCCCCGTACCCCAGCTTGCTGCCTGCGATGTTGTGACAAGAAAGACAACGTCTGTCTCGATTATACACGTGCATTAAAATCTTCTATTGGCAAATCCACATATTGCAGTGTTCTCTGCACTAAGCGAACGGGGAAACTGTCAACGGCTGCTCATCTGAGACTAATTCTAGTAGTATCATATACTTGGCGACGCGCTAGCCTAGTCGCACTTGCTGCCGTTTCATCTCAATTGAAAGGAGTTTTGACCATCCGATAAGCTGCAGAATGTGGATTGGGACATCCCATCATGAGCTTAGCCACGGATATCAAAATCAATTTCTGACGATTTTGCATCCCTGTCCGCTGGCGGTGCGCATGCCCTACAATTGATTCTGATGGCTCAGACTACACAACCCGTGGATCGGGTGAAGGCCCTACGTGAACCATGGTCGTCAAGCGGCTGTACCCGCCATCAGTCGTTACAGCGCCGGAATTCCGGACAGTACTGCTGTCTCAGGGTCCTAAACTGCCCTACCAGTATACCTATGGCGGTGATGCCGCCAGAACCATCACAATGTCAGCATCATGCGTACGTCGCAAGGAGAAACACAAATGAAGCAATCCGGCTTGCGCATCACTGCTCGCAGTGTTTTGATGGCGACGCTGATGGCAATGCTATGAGGGGCAGTGTTCGACGTCCGGTCAAGGTGCTAGAACGTGTCAGCGAACATGTGGCTCAACGAGTAGCATCTATTCTTCAGCTTCCAGATGCTGCAATCGATGGTCTCGAAACACATCAAGTCGCCGAGCAACCGGATGATCCCAACTGCTGCACTAGAGCGCACCTATTAAACGGTGCCTTCGCAGGAGGGTCCTCATCTACGCTCTTCCCTCTTGTAATACTTCTCCTTTCTATATATTACTCTTAGCTTTCGTCGGATTTCAGCCAAAGACTCTACCTTGACGGTATAGCCGATCTGTCACGATGTCTCGCAGAGCTCCCAAACCGCTTCCCAAGTTCGACGTAGGTAAGTGTTGACTAATAGCTTACCGATCTATCAAGTGAGCTGACGCTGACAAAACCTATTTTCTTAGGTGAAGACTATGTTATCCTGCACGGTCTCGGAGAAGGCGCATACGGAACGGTCGCGGCTGCGCTGCACAAACCGTCGGGCAGGGAGGTCGCTATCAAGAAGGTCCTGCCATTCGAACACACGCTCTTTTGTTTACGAACTCTCCGGGAGCTCAAGCTGCTTAAGTTCTTCTCGGAATCATGTGTGAACGAAAATGTTTGTTCATCTTTTACAGTTTCTAAATCGCGGTTCAGCGTTATAACGTACCTCTCGACAGATCATCTCGATATTGGACATTATAAAGCCACCTTCCCTGGACAGCTTCAAGGAGATTTATTGTGAGGTGCAATTTTCTACGACCATTGGTGTAGCAATGCTGACGATTTTTCTTCGGCAGTCATTCAAGAGCTCATGCAGACTGACTTGCACAGAGTCATCCGTACACAGCATCTGACGGATGATCACTGTCAGGCAAGTCCCTTCCGGTGCCTCATCGCATCGACGCATCGTGAATTGATGGGCTCCTCTGTACGATGCAGTACTTCATCTATCAGACGCTGCGTGCCTTGAAGACCATGCACTCCGCGGACATTGTGCATCGCGATCTCAAACCCGCAAACCTTTTGCTAAACGCGAACTGCGACCTGAAAGTTTGCGACTTCGGACTCGCACGGAGCATGCGGTCTACGCATCCCGATGGAAAGGAGGCTGGCCTGATGACGGAGTATGTCGCGACACGATGGTATCGCGCGCCGGAAATCATGCTGTCATTCAAGATGTACACGAAAGTGCGTTTCACATCGCGGATGGGATATCACGCATGTTTCACAAGAGTTGATGGTCGTCTAATCTGTTCAGGCGATCGACATCTGGGCGGTCGGATGCATCCTTGCGGAACTACTCACCGGCCGACCGCTCTTCCCGGGTCGTGACTACGGGCATCAACTCGATCTCATCCTTGACGTGATAGGTCGGTCATGATGCGATGCTAAAGATGAGACACATTGCTTGACCCCACACGCACAATCAACAGGGACTCCGACACTGGAAGAGTTCTACAGCATCACCTCGCGTCGGTCGCGAGATTACATCCGGGCACTGCCCATCAAAAAGCGGAAGTCGTTTAGCGCGCTGTTCCCGAAGGCTTCTCCTGAGGCACTGGATTTCCTCCGGAAGACGCTGGTGAGTACAACTTTGTACCCGAGCGCGGACCTGCTGAACGTTAATCATCGGGGATAGACATTTGACCCTAAGAAGAGGTTAACCGTTGATCAAGCGCTAGAACATCCGTATCTCACAGCATACGTAAGAGCTTTTCTCCTTGCTGCTCATCTAACTGTCACGATGACACTGGTTCAACCACAGCATGACCCAGATGATGAACCAGCTGTGTCCTCGCTAGATGCTGATTACTTCGAGTGCGATTGTAAGTGCATCGCTGTTGGGACCCGTTACGGTGGCTCACTCTTGCAGCAGACCTGGATCTCAGCAAACAGGAGCTGAAAGGTATCTGCCTGACAAGATTCCGTTGTGGTGATCTCTAACCTTCGTCTGTAACAGAACTCCTATATGAGGAGGTTATGTCTTTCACCCCTGCCATCTAGGGCCACCACCAGGTCTATCGAGTGAAAAATGACGAGTGTGACACCGGTGCTTACGCGTGTCAACCGATCTGTGCGGGATCACACCAAGTCTGTGTACACCTGCAGCTCCGAAATAATGATCCATGATTTCCCCTTAATTTATCGTTCTGTGTATGGACTACTCACCTAATTTACATCATGTACAACTAGTCATATCTTTATTCATCAGCGTGGTGCTGGATTATCGTACTGTGGTTGGCGACGCGCATACATGGAGCGTGCCATGGTGCAATGCATCAGAATGGGACGACCTCGCGTTCGCCAAACGCGAAGCCGCAAACTCGCTTGTCTATGCATGTTGAATCGCAGAGAAATCCGTTCATTCTCCATTGCAACACATCTTATGACCAATTGCGGGTAGTGAGGGCAGAAACATGCAGTCCGTGGATGCAGAGGGGAACAACTAATGTGATAAAGAGTGGGGTTAAGATGATATCGTACACCAAGCAGGGTGCACATCCGACGAGATGTGGAAGACAGCACGTTAACTAGTGATATAGGCGAGAGCTTTTCGTGGATGTGTGATGCAACGAGCGCGTGAGTTGTAGGAACCTGCGTGAAAGGGGGGAAAGACATTGGCTAGCAACAGAAGCGCTAGTGGCGAGGCTGGAATGTCAAAAGCCAGGCGCAGCTCCCGTCCAGAAGCCAGTAGCGACACCCTCGACGCCGAAATCCCCGAAGCGGGTGTCGCAGTCCAGCTCTGTACCATACATGGTTCGTCTCATCGGCAAAGCCGGTGCGTCCGGCGACATCGGAAATGTAGCCATCCCGAGCCCTTGACCGATAATGTTACTCGAGATGGTGGGCGCGTCTTGGCTTCGTTCCGGCACGCGATCGGTTTGCATGGGCGATGAGAGCATATGCGCATGTGCAGTCTCTTCAGCAGAGCTCCCAGCGTGCGGCGTTCGAGGCGGAGGTAGACTGCCGCTCCGTCGTGAACGACGGGGAGCACCATATGGATGAAAGAGGTCGTTCCTCTCCCGACGTCCACCCGCTCGCTCGATATACCCTCCACTCGGCATCGTACTGGCTCCCGGAGTTGGCGACGTTGGCGGCTCCGGGTATGCGAAGGAAGGCATTCCAACACCATACGGACCTGTCGGCGTTGCAGGGACCGCACGGAATACAGTGTTTGTGAAGCCGAAATGAAATGCGTCACTCTGTTGGACGTTCTCATTCGCGTTGGCTGTGGTAGTGGTTGGACCACGACCGCTGCTCGCGATAGGAGTACTGAATGCAGCCGGTGGTAGGTCTAAGAATTCGGCATGCGAAGCAGGGTTATCCATGTATGTTTCTGGAGGTTCTTCAGGTCCGCTGAATACGGTGAACGTCGGCGCGCCATGAGCTCTCCTCGGTGTTGAACTCTCTCCTCTGCTCTCGAGCGCTATATTTCGTCTAGGTGGCGTTACTGGGACTTCTAGTAGCGGAGGATCTGCTCTTTGAGTAGATACCTTCACGCGCTTTCTGGCAGGACGATATCTTTTGGGCGACTTGACCAGCTGATGCCCCTTATCCTGCTTTTTCTTGTCATTGATCACTTCCTCGGAGCCAACGTCGCTGCCTCCAGATGTAGAACTGCTCGCTGAATCCCTGAAGTGTTTCCCCAGCAAGGTTTCTGCGAGTGGCAATTCAGCACCAGAATCTGCCTCGGCTATGACTGATTCAGATGCAGGAGATGCAGGCGATGCATGATCCATCGCTGTGATAGGACTGCTTTCGTGATGGAAAAAAATTAGTTTCAGCATTGATCAGTATATGGCACGATCCCGACATACACGGCGCGAGCCTTCCCCGCACGTTTCACGGATTCTGGCAGAAGGACTCCGATCGTGTCTCGGAGCATTTGCATTTGAGTCTCGAGATTGATGTGCTTGTTGCTCATAGCTGCCATCTGCGACCGCAAGTCCTGCACCTCGAGTGTCATTTGCTCTAATTTGGCAGTGAGTGCAGGTACGTCGGCCGACTCCGTGGATACCCGTTGCAACTCGGTCTGTAGCGTTTGCAGCTGCTCTTGAAATGGTTGCATCTATTGTGAGCAGTCAGAATTCGAATCGTGCATTAAAGTCAATCCCCGCACAATTTGTTCTGGCAGCCCGTCTATTCGAACCTCTGTCACCAAAGGAGGCATCTGTGGTGTTGTTTCCGTGACAATTCCATTGGGGAGCTCATGACTGCTGCCTGATGGACCAGCTACAGGAGCTATTTCGATTGAGAATTGTGAATATGTAAACGTCCCTTTGCTGCAGGCAATCTGCTCACCTGCTAATTCTACTTAATGGATGACATGGTGAGCAGAAGATAATAAAGGGCTCAAGATGTGGCTTACGTTCTTCCTCAAAGGGACCCACATCAGTGGCCTTGACGCCTTTGATACTCCTTCTTCGCGCTGCAGGTGGCAAACTGACGGATTGCGCGACACCTCTAGCCTCCGCACCAGCTGTTAATTTCACGCGGCCCGTGCCCACTTTGTATTCTTGTTGTCTCCTCCTTCTCGTATGTGGTGTGATAGGTACTGTGACGCGAGCTTGAATAGCTGGACGCTGCCCGGACCCCCTTCCTCCGCTATCCTCTTCGACGTCCCGGGCAGTCACTGAGCCTCCAGAGGCTGTTCTCGAGCTAGTGCCCGCCGTTGAACGGGTCGTCGAGGGAAGAGAAGGGATCCGAGATGGCTTCGAGACTGGTGGCGGATGGGTGCGGAGCTGCAGCTTGTCAACAAGCGATTCCACCAACGCTTCCGTCTTGAGGTTCGCTCTGATATTGTTGTCCTGAATAACGATTTCTAGCGGTCGGTGACCGAACGCAGTCAAGGAAGGCAATGGCGACGAACTTTACAGAGTTTCTGGAGCTGGATGCGATTCATGCTCTCCAGAGTCTGCCTGTCCAACGGTCGAGACATGGTGCTGGGGATTCAGCCTCCTTGAATCGACGACGGGCAAGACAACACGGCGAGCGCGAGCGAGGAATATGCGGGGCGGGATCGAAGCCACGTTCGGGTAAGCGGCCAACGAGCAACCAAACAACGCGAACGCGAACGCTGGCTCACGTGACCAAGTAGGTGGCAGTAGCCCTGATCAACGCGTTTGAGGCCGCGAGCGCTGTCGTCGATGTTCCTCCCGGCTGCAGACGCCATGACTTGCATGCATGCATTGTTTTCATCAACAGCTCTTCGCTTCGTTGCTTGTGTGATTCTCCCGTATTTCCCTAGGCCGCCTCTAAAATGGCTGGACTCGCGGGCTTGAATGTCCTCGGACCGTTGTCTCCGCCATCCAGCTCGCTGTTCGGCGTCTCACGGTGAATTTGGAAACGCTGGGTAGCACTGTGTTGTGTGAGATGACACGAGCTTGATCACCTGGCGGAGGAGAAGGTGCCGGCTCCTTCTGAGCTCTTCCGTTTCTCCGAGTTGCTGCATTCAAATTAAGTCTCGAGTCGAAGTGTGGTTTCATCGCTATCTCTTGTACACCCATATGGCGAAGGCATACTCTTTGCAGGAGGTCGCTCAACATAACAGTGCGAGGTACGCTGCATTTGCTCCGTGAGCCCTGACGCACTCTTGACGTCGGACAAATAAGTTCTTGCTGGATCATTATCGATAACAAGGTCTATGACGTGACAGACTTCCTCCCTGTATGTTCGCTACGAACTTTCAAATTAGCTAGACTCACCATGGCTGATCGAATGCAGGAGCACCCAGGAGGAGAAAAGATCATTCTCAAGTACGCCGGCCGCGACGCTACGGCAGTATACGAGCCCATCCATCCAGAGGACGCGTTGAATAAATTCCTTCCACTCGAGAAGCATTTAGGGTCACTGGATAGCTCAGGAGCTCAGGAATTGAAAGAGGAACAGGACAGTCGCCGCAAGACGCAAGATGAGATTCGCGTGGAGAGAGCCCGTGCGGGGAAGCCTCCAATCAACCAGATCCTCAGCTTGCAGGATATGGAGGTGAGAATCCATGCAGTTCAGTTTGTTCCGAACAAGATGGATAGAACTGTGTTTCCATAGAATGCTGCTGAACAGGTGCTGCCTTACAAATCCTGGGCTTTCTACAGGTCTGCTTCAGACGATGAGATTAGTGGGTAGAAGGTTGTAGACTATCTCATCGCATAATCGATGCTTACGTTCTTGGCTAGCCTACAATGAAAATCGCCGCGCATTCTCTCGTTTCTTCTTCCATCCACGTGTGCTGAGGCCGATTTCCCGAGTTGATACATGTACGACGATTCTTGGATTCAACTCTTCACTCCCGATCTTCGTCAGTGCTGCGTCACTAGCTAAGCTAGGACATCCTCTCGGTACGCCTTCCTCTAATGTCGGGTCATCCATCTCACAATTGTCACCTCGACCTGCACCGCAGGTGAACTCAACATTACCCGCGGAGCAGGTCGTACGGGCATCATTCAAATGGTGTCTCATTACTCCTCAGTCTCCCGCGAGGAGCTTGTTGCCGCGCGGCTTCCCTCACAGCCGCTCTTCTTCCAGCTTTACCCGGACAGAGACAGATCGATCACAGCGAGTGTGATCCGTGAAGTTGATAAGATGGGCTTCAATGCAATTTGCTTGACGGTCGACGCGCCGCTAAACGGGAATCGTGAGAGAGATCTCAAAGCGCCGTTCGAGCTCGAAGAGCAAGAGCGCGTCGTTCAGGAGATACAAGGTGGAAGCAAGCTATCTGGCGAGATGCAAGAGAGGACTGAAGATGAGGATAACAAACTCGTGGAGGGCGAGCTGGAGCTGCTGGGGACGTCGAGCGGATTGCGGACGACGGCTGACCTTGACATGTCTTGGGTGGAGGTCAATCACCCTCTTCGAAGTTCTTCAAAGGGTTGCTTATGGTCCTTCGCAGACTATACCTCTGATACGGAAGAACACGAATTTGCCGATTGTATTGAAAGGTAACATTTGTCTGCGATCCGCTATTAGTAGAACGTTAATCCGTGTTACGCAGGTATCCAATGTGTTGCGGTAAGGGGAACATTGGAACGTGTACTTTTCGAGGAGTATCTGACGACTCCGCCAGGATGCGATCATGGCTGCCGAGGCCGGAGTGGAGGGAATCCTTCTTTCTAACCATGGTGGTGAGTGGATTGCTCTTTCATGCCTGTCCGGAGACATTCAATGGGCTCGGTGTAGGTCGGCAGATGGAGTAGTGGGTATTTGATCAGCTCTAGTGAGCTCGACACTCAATATGTCCTTGCAGCTCCCTACCTCCACTCGAGGTGCTTTACAAGATACGTAGAGAACGGCCAGCCGTCTTCGATAAACTAGAGGGTAGCGAGCGTTCGTCGCACATACTTGTGCTACCTCACTAATATTCTCTGCGCAGTGTACATTGATGGAGGCATACATCGCGGCACGGGTGAGTTTATTTCCCAGAGACATGTTTTCCATTGTGAAAGGATGACGTACTCTGCTATCAGACGTCCTCAAGGCCTTGTGTCTCGGCGCAAGAGCAGCGGGACTGGGACGGGCTTTCCACTTTGCACAAAGTGTAGGCCCTTCACCCCAGAGGTTCTACTATGAGTGAGGCTGACGTCAACCAAACCTAGGCGTATGCAGAAGCCGGTGTTATACAGACGGTGCGCATACTTCAACGTGAGATCACACTAGGGATGCGGCTGCTGGGAGCAACGAATGTGAAGCAGCTAGTGCCAGAAATGGTGAGCAGCAGGAGGTTAGTTGTCGTGTTGGTTTTGTACAACTTACTCGCTCGCTGTGCTAGGTTGAACGTGTCGACTGGCAGCCGTTGCTGGCCAAACTATAAGATTGTTTGTGTATTCTGGTGCTCGATAGCTTGCAGGATAGAGTGTTCTAGTTCTAGCGTTTACATACGAGTGTCGGATGAACTTTACGGAGTTCGGATAGTCATTCCGGATGTCGTCTACCGAGCAAAACCATCATGCGATCGAAGTCGGTCATCTGAGCAGGCTCGGCTCGTTACGCGGGTTCGGAGGACCGGCCACTCTGAGAGCTCTCATTATACATAAACACCAACTGGACCGCAACAGCCATGAGCTTTTGTCTTCTGTCAGACTCAAATTTCCCAGCTCTTTATTGCGCGTACCATACCGTAAGGTACAATGCCTTGGTCATTAAAGGAGGTCGCAAAACATAACACTCCTAGGTAACGTCGCATACATTACGATACCCCGCATCGCGCGCACGCTGACATCGCGCTAGCTCGTGCTGGGTGATCATCAAGAACAAGGTCTACGACGTGACTGACTTCCTGCCTGTGAGTTGACTTACGGAGTCCGAGTCATCCACTTCATTGAAATCCCCATCGTGCATGTAGGAACACCCAGGAGGTGCTAAGATCATCCTCAAACACGCCGGACGCGATGCGACGAGCGCGTACGAGCCGATACATCCTCCGGATGCATTGGACAAGAACCTGCCTCCCGAGAAGCACCTCGGCGACATAGATGTGGCCGGCGTGCAGGCACTGCAGAAAGAACGCGCGTCCAGGCAGAAGACAAGGGATGAGATCCGCGTGGAGGAAGCGGTGGCCAGGAAGCCTCGCATCAACAGGATTCTCAGCTTGTGGGACATGGAGGTCAGTTGCTCCTTCAGCAGGAGTTGGGTGCGTGTCGACTCAGAGATGGTTCCAGGACGTTGCCATGAATGTGATGGCGTACAAGACGAAAGCATATTACGCGTCGGCAGCTGAGGACGAGACTAGTACGTAGATAACTCCGTTTCAGTGGGCTTTCGTCTAATTGCTGTTCGTGCAGCACTCAAAGAGAATGCTCGTGCCTTCTCTCGCTTCTTCTTCCATCCCCGGGTCCTTAGACCCATTTCCAAGGCCGATCCATCAACAACTATCCTTGGCTTCCGCTCTTCTCTCCCCATCTTCGTCAGCGGCGCCGCCCTCGCCAAGCTTGGGCACCCACTAGGTGCGTTTCCGTATCCTGCTCCGAGCTCACAGCGCTCGCTCAGATTCTACAGGCGAGATCAACATCGTCCGCGGTGCAGGGCGCACCTCCATCATTTACATGGTCTCCTCCAACGCTTCCCTCTCGCCGTCCCAAATCGCCGCCGCCCGCACCTCGCCCTCGCAGCCGATCTTCTACCAACTCTACAAGCCGCGCGACCCTGCCGCGGCAGAGGCGCTTGTGCGCGAGATCGAGGGCCTCGGGTACAAGGCGATCTTCCTCACTGTCGACGCGCCCGTTGCTGGCTACCGCGAGCGCGACATCCGAGCGCCGTTCGAGCTAGAGGACCTCCAGCGCGAGGCGGACGGGGAGAGCGAGCACGCACACCAGACGCCTGGGTCTAGACAGCCCGAGGATGCGGAGGAGGAGTTGGAGGGGCAGGGGCAGGTGAACGTCCTCGGGACGGCAGGTGCGCTGTTGGCGAACACGGATGCGGATATGACGTGGGCGGAGGTTAGTCGGTGCGTTGGATTCGTTGAGGGTCGTGTCAGCCTCATGCTAGCCACAGACAATTCCGTGGCTACGGAAAGTCACGAAGCTGCCTATAGTCCTGAAAGGTACCCAACCAGGGCATTTCTTCGCACATAAATTCTGACGGTACCTTTCAGGGATCCAATGTGTCGCTGTAAGCATTTGCAGAAGAAACGTGATAGGATCCTGTGGATAACCTTCTTGCGTTTGCGCAGGATGCCGTCCTTGCTGCCGAGGCTGGCGTTGACGGCATACTCCTGTCTAACCACGGAGGTGAGTGCGTGGGCGTCGACGATGACCGAAGGCCGCTGATACCATGACATCAGGTCGCCAACTTGAATAGTAAGCCCGGGGACATCGGACCATGAATACGTTAGTTGCTCACACACGTCCACCAGCTCATTACCACCTTTGGAAGTTTTATACAGAATCCGCAAGCAGCGTCCGGATGTCTTTGATAAGCTAGAAGGTGACGTTACAGTAGGCTCAAGTCGATACTTTCTGCTGACGCCCGTCCTTTCAGTCTATATCGACGGAGGAGTCCACCGGGGCACCGGTAAGCCATCACTCGTACTCGACCGGAGTATCGCTCATGCATTCGATTTGCCACAGATGTCTTGAAAGCCCTCTGCTTGGGTGCAAAGGCCGTCGGCCTCGGGCGTGCGTTCATGTATGCGCAAAGTGTACGACACCGATTCTTTCTCCGGCCGTCGCGAAAGGAGCTAACGCCGCGCTGACCAGGCATACGGCGAAGCCGGAATCATACACACGGTACGCATCCTGCATCGCGAGATCGTTCTCGGAATGCGGTTGCTAGGCGTCACCCGTCTTGATGAACTCAAGCCGGAGATGGTGGGTGCTTCGTTTTTTTGCACCGTTAAAATACGTTGACGACGTGCTCTATCTGCTGTGCAATCGTAGGTGGAGCGAATGGACTGGCAGCCCGCGCTGGCGAGGCTGTAGTCATCGTTTGTTCGTCAGTAGAGCCGCTTGCCGGTGTGGCGGATTATCTAGGATAGATGTATGGCATTTCGCAGCGTTGTTTCGTAATGGTGTCACGACTCGTTCCACGACTGTCAATTAGCCGATCCAGAAGTCTGATCTTTCATCGCTTCTTGATATGTGGAGTCTGGTCGACAGCTTGATCCTGCTGGTCGGACCACGATTTGACGGTGCTGACTGAACGCTCTGTTCCGTGGATGTACGGTACAGATGTCTTAAATGCAATGCATGATGGGCGTCCAACGTACCATAGGGTTTACTTGAGACTCACGTCTCGCGAAGTCCAGGCGTCAACATTACATGTTACGCTGACTGGACCGTAACCTCAGAACTTGAGAACGCTGGAAGCTCACTGACGACTCACGGGTAAAGGAGCAACCTCGTCCAAGACCTGCTTCGTAGCTTGCACGATAACCTCCCACTCCGTTTTATGCAGCCGCTCTTCGAAAGCCTCCAGGGATTCCCCGGGCTTTATCTCAACCTCTCTCACCATCACTGGAGGTCCACAGTCCACCTCCTTCACGACCCTGTGAACCATGACGCCAGAATGCGCGATCTCGCCTTTTTGGAATGCCTCATATGCCCGTTCGATCGCATTCGCACCGTCGAATGCCCCTGGCAGCGCGGGATGGAGATTTATCACCGGGATGGGCTTCTCCACTTTCTCCTCACCCTTTAGAAGCCGCTCACCGTTGACGACCTCCAAGAAGCCGTCGCCCATTATGTGCATCCAGCCCGCGAGAACGACCAGATCGGGCTTTTCCCTGATCACGATCCGGGCAACCTCGACATCGTAGTCATCGCGCGTCTTTCCGGGGTTTGCTTTGACGAATGGCTGCAGTGAAAGATACGCGGTGCGAATAGGAGGATTCGCTTGCGCAGCGCGAGTCAGGCCGTAGGCTGCCTTGCGATTCGACAGAACGAGACTAATGCGCGTGTTGGGGAGTGCGGGCGCACACTGAGCATCTATGAGGGCCTGCAAATTTGTACCTGAGCAGAGTCAACGTTGTCTGGTGGCTGGGAGATGCATGCGCGTACCTGAGCCCGAAATGAGCACGACAATGTGTCTCAGCCCTGCATCCGACATGAATAACCAGTACTTCCAAGTTGCCGCAGATAATTTGTAGCACCTGCCTAGTGATCGGTGTATTGATCGATCACTACTGTTGTGGGCGCGTTAAGACAGACGGCGACTCCTTCATCCAGAACCACGATGTTGCTGCTTGCTCAATTGGCCGCTCGACCGACGACGATATTCCCAGCTAATTGTCGATAAAAATGCTATGGCTCTGTCTCTGTGGTAACACGATGAACAAAGTCTTGAACTGCAGATGACGGCCTGCACGTCGCCGCGCGTGTGAGCAATCGGCATGGCTACAAACTATCCAGCACTGCTGTGCGAGTCGTCCACCAGACGTAAATGCGATTGGCTAGAGGTCCCTCCAGCCGATAGCATTCAGGATTGCCAACATCAAAGATGGATCCAGGTTACAGGGTTGCTCATTGGTCATTTCGCTACGGAGTATCCTGCGTCCCGGGTCGCGTTCCTCGTTGTCAAGGCCGAGGCGTCAGCGGCAAGGCAGGGTCACCTCACCTCGTTCTTCATGTCCGCCTCTCGTGCGGATCCTTCAGTCCTTGCCTAAGTGCATGGTTGGACGCAAGTCCTCTTTCTTTCGGTTCCGATCTCACTGTATACCGGGCTTAGCTGCTTTCGTTTCACTGGGATTGCATCTCAATCTATCTGGCTCTCGTAGTGCCCTCCTCAGCCGGACTGACGCAGCCTGCGAAACACAAGCCAGCTGGTCTACCTTTTTTCTTCTGCATACATAGTCCATCATCAAAGGTTGCTTAGATTGTGCAACAATCCTTTTGTTCACACTCCTTACTTCGCGTTGCGAACTCACCTCGGCTCGTTGATTGTTGCACACATGGCTGGGGTAGCAGCCGCGTTCATGCGTCTGAGCAGTGACAACATTGTGAGTGATCAGCCTTAGTCATCCACCATGCTTATGATCTGATTGCCCGTACAGGTGCAGTATCTCCTTGCTGATGTGCCAATCTTTTGTGTGGGGATCATGTCCCTCGGTATATTTACATTCTTTCTATTCATGAAGCGAGCCGACGCGTAAGTCCCCGGTCTTACATCGATGAATCGATCATAACCTGTGCAACCACAGTCTCATCCTATGCCTACATCTGTCAATCATTGTCGCGTTCATATCTGCCATCCTGGATCTGGTCCAGCTGCTCGTGCGGGGCTCCGAGGCTGTGGACGATGCCCTTGATCTGACCTCCGTGACCGGGTTAATCACCGTGCGCGAAGTGGGCTATGCATTGTCGTTCGGTCTGCGGTTCCTCTTCTTTTGGGGCTTTGTTGCGCAGCCTCCACCTGGCGAGGCTCGTTCGATGGGTAATGTTAGACATAACGGCAGTTGGAACCGCTGGGGTGCCATAGGCATCGTGCTGGAGATATCCACATTGGCCTTGGTCTTGGTCGACCCGGTCCTCCAAGTCATCTACCGTGTCGTGACATCCCTCCACAAGATCGGTCCGTTATACGAGGTGGAGTCAGCCATCCAGGCTGTTTTGTCCGCTGTATTCATCCTGAAACTGTTGTTGAATTCCTGGGTGAGGTGGACTGTGAACGGAGATGTACCACCAACTCTTAAAACGATAGGGAACTATTCGGCCATGATCCTCGCACTCCTTATCAGTGCTCTGATTGGTATCGGTAATCTTGCCATGTGTGAGTGCGTCCTTCACGTCCAGGCTGTTAACCAACTTAATCGTCGACAGTCGAGTTTACAGAGACGGTACTCGGACGGTTCCTCCAGGCTGTCGAGCTGTACATAGTCATGGTGTACGTGCTCACGAGCGCTTTCTACCACCTACGCCGGCAATCCTGGCACCGTGGCGCGCGCTCACCTCACGGCTCGAGAGATGTCAAGACCCGGAGCCCTTCACCCCAGATTACGGCTCCCGTAATAACATCCCCTGACCTGCTGCAAGTCGTAGGCCGCGATGTCCAGCTTGGGAGCCGGCGTCCATCGTTCATGCTGCGTACGTCTGCTGCCTCCCGTGTTTCTGAATGGCTCAACATTCGTCGAATCTCGGATCGCTTAAGCGGGCATGTAACGCCTCCTGAAGAGATGGAGAAGGCCTCCTTGTGGAAACAAGACGAGGCGGAACGTGGCATTCCTCCCGAAGCACGCGATGAACCTGGAAAGGTTCCCGATTCGGCCGTCGACGTCTATACCCCCACCGTCAGTGTTGCGCAACCCGCCCACGGCGCGCCTTGGCGTGATCCTCTAGAAACCACCATACTACCAATACTCGCCGTAGCCGAAAAATCACCTACAAGTGCTGGGTCGCGCCAGTATCCCGGCCATCCGCCACTGACGTCCAAGGTTTCCAATAGCTCGCTCATGCGAGCGGCTGCAGAGCGGCATCAGCAACAGCAGCAGCAGTCTGCTCAGTCTCCTGCTGCTTCTGAGAAGGTGGAGGAGGGGGTCTTATTGAAGCAACGGCGGGCGCCGGAACTGCCGAGATTGACGATTCCAGAGCCCGTGCATTCTCGCCACCCAACAATCGACACTCAACGTCCCGCGTCAGAAGCCTCTCGGTATAGCTCGGTATATGCTCCCCCTCTGACGGGCATAACTGAAGTCATCTCGGGCTTTGAATTACCAGCGAAGACTACCCAGCCGCCCGCCGCTGGCCATGTTGACTCTGGCTCCGCCCGATCATCATGTATCTCGGAGCTCATCCGCCAGCAGGCAGAATTGGACAAGTCGATCGCTGCGCTGCGGTTGTTCTCACCGACTGACGAGACTCCCAACACGCGACGATTAGCTGTTGTTGGTCAAGGACAGGATGGGTCAGAAGCTAGGATTACGCGTTCGACGCAGAGCGACCTGTCGTTGAGCAACTTCCCGGAGCCGCCTTGGGGGCGCGCCAGCGGGACGTCGGAGATTGCTGTGCTGACTCCAGAGGTGCCTGCTGGAACGACTAAGATGGGGGAAGCTGAAGCAGCCGCTGTGGCCTCTCTGCCTGAGCGACGCATCTCCGGCGCCATGCTCATGGTGCCGGATGCGAATCCTCTTCGCGACAAGGAGAGGTCTTCAAGACTCGACATGGAGGCTGCCATCCTGTCCAGCAGGAACCGGGTTGACTCTGGAGGGACTCAATACGAGATCACGTCCTTCATTGGTAGTAAGTGGTCAATTTCCATTACATCGGGGAGTGCTCACAATCTGCTTTAACGCAGGATTGACGCACCCAGATCAGTATGAGCAGGGCTCGTTCGCGTCATCGATTCTCAACCGCTCGCATGATGGACCGCTTGTTCCCCCTCAATTCCCTGGCTTCCGTGGCAGGACAGACAGCCTCGAGTCGGCGCGTAGTATTCACTCTTTGGTCCAAGCTGTGACGAGCGATATCGTAACTGGACCACCATCGGATAGGATTCCAATTAATGGGTCCCCGTCGCCACCTGTAGCGGCGCGGGGCTACGTTGCCCGCGACCAACGATTCAGCAAGCGTGTCGGGTTGCCGCCGAGGCCTCGTATAACAGCGCAGGACACGGTAGTGCCTACTTCGGAGGATCCCGGATTCTCGTGATAGAATGTAACATTTGTTATCCTCGCCGGTCAAGTTCGTTCATTCGTTTCACTTTCGGTATTTCAGTATATATTGAACGGGATGGACGCCTGCAGACGCATTGTCTTTGATTCCTTGTGTGTTGCGCTGAAGTTGTGATAGCCGACAACGCTCGGCTTTGCTGTACCGCTGGACCTCGCTGGCCACCGTACGTGTACTATTACACTTTCGTTTGTTTCCTACCATAAGTTTGGCTGCAAAAATCGGATGATTCAAATTGGCTCCTGATCTCGTGACCTTTCTTACCCGGCACGTGCTCTCTAACGCGCGACGCGTCTGACCGCGATCTTCTCGGCGCCAAATTCCTTCGATCGTACTCGTTCCATCACTCCCACCGGCAATCTTCCCCCAAATGCGCTTCTCCTTCACGGATCTCCATCTTCTTGCTTCTCATATACAAATTTGATTGCTGCCGCGACATTTTGGTAGGAGGGATAGGCGGTAGCATCTCGCGCTACCGCTGCCAGCGGTCCTGCAGTTCGAGGCTTCCGCTCTCCACGTGAGCGTCTCGGTAGCTCTGACACGTCGCCGTTGGATATTCTGTAGCCGGTGTGCTACAGGCTTTTCCCAGCGGTGTCATGAGCGACCTGCAAAGCGGCATTGTACGGCGATGTGCAGCGCACAGTTACTGCGAGGTGAGCCCTTGACAGAAAGTGATGATTAGTATCATGATTAATCTATGATCCACATTCAGGTGCGATGTGAATGTGTGAATCTATCCTGTGCTCAGGGTGTTCATATGTCAGCTGCTGGAGTGCCATGTTATGGGATTCTGTGCGATGTTTGAGTACATACTCGGCGTGAACGATGAGCAATACACAGCTTTGTGTTGTAATTTCAAAGACTGCATCGATTCTGCGTGCGAGTGACTTCAACGACAAGACTCTTGCAAGCACAACTCCATGGGAATGCGTGCAAGAGGAAGATGTCCGTTCAAGCCGACTACAGAGACAGTCTTCAAGCAGCGGCATGCGTGTGATCAAGTCAAACACTCCGACAATGTGTTATTTTGTGCCAGACTCCAAGATCTTCCACGAAGACACCTCAGCTGCACGAATCTTCCGCCCCAAGACAGCAAGCACGCTTCACTCAAGATCGTACATTGCGCCTGCGTGGGTGATGTGAAACTCTCAAGATGCCGTGTATCGTTCCCCAAGAGGGAATTCATACTTCACAAAACCGTCCGACAAGATGTTATTGAACGCAAAGTGGAAGATTCGCCAGGACCGATATACTCAGTGAATGCAACTGGATTATGGCTGTCGGAACAGAATACGCAAAAGATGCTACGAACACGGTCTCTATGCCAGAAGCAAATGCAGTACGACCGCACAAGCGTTTGAACAGCAAATTTACGGACGCCGAGATCTGACGAGAATGAGCACAAACCTCAGTCCAACAAGCACGCCAGACTCAATCGCAAATAGGAACGCAAGTATATCAGCATTTCGTCGTATTATAAGCGAACAGCAAATTTGTAGCAAGACGCACGAAACAGGTTTTACGCAAACATCTACCGAGGGACGATTACGCCTAAAGACACCACGATGCGCCAAGGTCTGCTTGAAGCGACCCTTCCTTCTGCATGAATTCGAACCATGTGCATTTTGGCCTCATGGTCGCAACGGTCCAGCAATGCAGCCAGCCCACAGCTTGAACGCGTGCCTTCTGATATGTTCAATTGACTACAGCAAAGACGATTGCCGTGAAAACACGTCGGTCAGCTGGAAACTGCACGAACGAATTAGCGGAGTCATATGGTCGCACTGGCGATGGAATAGTTGTGCAAGCGGGGGAGTGTTGAGCGGGCGTCAAGGCGCTGTATACTGTCAAGACCGACGGCGTCAAGCGCATCCAAATCCGAGAGCAAGACGTTGTCATCCTGGCTGTCTCCACCACCAAGGATACTGACCTTCTATGTTCCTTAAGTGACTTCTTGCGCTTCGCCTCAACCTCCAAGTCGCTTCAGTTGATTGCTCGTACGGCCTGTAGAGGAGCGGAGCCAGCCACAAGGCGTCCCGGTTTTCGCTATTATCACAGCCTGCGTTTGTGATTTGAATGCTTGGTGGCCGTAGCAATCAGCAGATGAAGTGATCGGCAAAGTTGATCAGCAAAACAAGAACATTCAAGAGTCAATGGAAGCCTGTTCAAAACGTCGGATGCCTAGAGATGCTCAAGGAACTGGATCCGAGTATTGCCTAAATGTGCTGCATCCCCAATTGGTGGCTATTGCTTCGTTCAGTGGAGGATGACAAGGAAGCGTCGCAGACTAGGATTCGACTCGTCGTAGAGGAGCAAGCTGCGAAGCAGGCTGCGAAGAAGCGGCGTATCTCTTCCCGTTTTTGGCGGGAGTACCGCCCGTATAAAATCGGACACAGACACCGTCGCGGCGACGCGACCTCTCATTTTTGCTTCCGCGATCCTCTGAATTTGCTTCCGTGACAGTCCATAGTTGCGATCTCTGGCTTGGTGCTTGGTTTCTCTTTCTCTGGCTGCAGAATGTGGCACTGGGTAGGTCGAAAAAGTTGACGTCGACCAAGATCATGGAAACCACCGGCGATATCAATGCGGGCGACATTGACATCTCCAAGCGCTCCTGCTGTGAGTCCAACACAACGCACTCGACGGTCCGATAGGATGGCATGGAGTTGATCTGCTTTCCATGAAGCATATGTATCTGCAGAGGGTATACAGTTGCTTCTGCGTGGCATCGCTGTGGACGACATCTCTATGTGTGCGCGACTCCGCGAGCGGCATTGGCTTTATCACGCTTCTTGACAGCAGGTCACAAGGGCGCATCCGAGCTTTAAAGACTGTAAGCAATTTCTCCTGCTCCAAGGCTGATTTTTCTGCTTGGTAGACCGTACCTCGCTCGTCGACGACCCCGCCAATGCGTGGGCCATCACGGCTCCGTGACAGTGACAGGGCGGGCACTCTGTCACGAGTAACAAAGCGTCACGTCACCAAGTCACAGACGGAAGCGCCCATCAGGCAAGTGGCCGTTGATTCTGGTCAGGGAGTCGGAATGCCTGATGAATCCGTATGGAATATGCTGTTCTGCGGGGAAATGCATCAGAAGTGATGAACGAACCAGCTCGTCAACGTGAACGAACCCCCTGCCAAATGTTATCGTCTAACCTGACGTTCAACCAGCAAAGTGGAGGACTTGCCAGGTTGCGGTGTTCCTCACAACTACTTTAACACGCTATGCAGAGTGCCAGAACGCTCCCCCTGATCCCCCACATGAAGGACAATGCATCAAGCGCGCACTGTCGTCTTCAGCTTTACGTTCGAACGTCCACGTCTGACGCAGCGAGCCTGCACTTTGTCCACCCGCCGAGAACCGTGCATCTTATACGTCTGGAGAGACGGAAAGATGCATGACCGCCACGACGCACCTCTCGTAGTCGAGACGGCCTTGGGCTACAGTAGTCGCAGAAGATCCGCTCTTTTCAAAGAGCACGGAGTACATTCCGATGGATTCCACCAACGGCATCACGGTTCATGTGCTAGCCATCAGGGATTCATGCGATTGAACATTGGTGCTTCGCGACTTCTGCAGTTGGCCACGGTCTCTGAAACATCGTCTCCTCTCATATCGCCCCCCTTTGCAGCAAGGTTTTCCGCCATATGCAAGAGATCTCCTAGTTGAAGGCACTCACAGGAGATCCATGATCCTGCTGAACAAACTTCGATGGATTTCCAGCCGCTATATCCTCCAGCAGAATTCGACGAGTACGGCGACGACGATCATGCCCCAGAAATCAAAATCTCAACGCAAACGTCACCTAGGCCATTCTCAGAATACGGCAGCATAAGCTCAGTGATGTTGGAAGCCATTTTGAGCAAGGAACCAGCCAGCCGAGATCGTCGTGGGAGTAGCCGTGGCGCGACAAGCGAGAAGGCACAAAGCCGCGTCCCCGTGTGCCACCACTCGACCCAATTGTCGCAGGTGACCATTATCAACTGTGCTTTTTATTCCTGCTTTTTCCCCTGCTCGCATTGATGTACATCCAAAAACTCTCCATCCCTATCTGAGCACCTTCTTGATCCCCCCAAATACCAGCTCCCAACTGCCAGTCGACATACGCTCGCCGCCATCCGCCTTCGTACGAACTCGCCAGTGTGGCACACGAATCACTAAATCACTAGTTGGTTGAATCGACTACTCTGAAGGCTTCCTATCTTGAATGCCCGCATCGCGCCGCTTCCTCGCACCTCCCTTCCAACCACAAGTTTCCCCTTGCCTCCCTCGCTGCTCGATAATGCATGTCAGTCCTCGTCGTAATCCCAGTTAGACGCAATAGCCCAAATGGCTGCTGGATAGCTCTCGATTTATCGGGAAAAACACACTATGCAGCCACCATATTCTCTCTCCATCTTCCAGCTCACCTACTGCCACTCTATCGCGTTTTTCAACCGCATCTCGCGCAATGTTCCAGACTGGGCGGTTCGCATCAAGCCACGAGAGTCACGGTGGCGAGGAACCAGTGCGATATTAGCTGAGAAGCTGAGAGTGTTCAAGCTGTACGAGGACAGATGTGTTATGAGCTTTCCGCTGATTGTCAGCGATGGTAACCTTCTTCTTGCTTACGAGTTCTGCGTGCTATTGACGTGGACTGTACCAGAGTCTGCAGATGTGTTTTATACGTTCAAACACATCTGCCAATGGTTCGTTGACTTTCAGTGGCAGCCCACTGTACCGAAAGGACATGGGCACTCCTCATTCTTCGGCAGGCACTAGTGGCTAGGCCCACACTGTGCCGGCTTTTCGTGACATCAGGAAACGCTTCTTGTGCGAGCATATGCTCACTCCGCACGTCAAGGCATGTTGCCGCCATTCGTTTATGCTCAATTCATTTTGACTGGTTTCTGCATCGATGTAGACGAGTGCATTACCTCAAGATTTGGTCAAGACCAGTCGAAAGCTAATCCGCATATTGTGGTTGGATCAAAGTAAGTAAACTTGAAGTTTGAACGGCCGATAGAGTGTCGAATGATGTGATGTGCTGCTTTTAGACCCTCCTTCCCGAAGATGGATCTCAAGACTACCCTGGCATTTTTTGCCAGAGCTATTGTGACCGGATCGCGGTAAGTAGAATTCGTATGAGTAATTCAGCAGCCGATTGATGTGCATTGTGATCTCATATGACGCGCCTGATATCGAAGGATTGGAGGATATGATGGGACAGGATGGGACGCGATTGGGAATGTAGAAAGAACGGGTGAAATCAAAACAGTATAAACAAATCGTGTGCCGCGAGACTGATCTCAACGGTCTTGAACCTTGCAAACATGGATTGAGAATATGTCCCCAGTCGCATTCGCGAATAAGGGATTACATGCTCGACATATCAGACTGACCATCAATTCTTACCGTGACATACAGCCACAGAACTTTGGAAGATGGCTTGCTGTGATCCTGACCGGTCCCATGCACATACCTGGGCTCGCGAGTTGTTTCTGACAAATTGAGGGAGAAGTGAAGACGTGAGTTCTCTGTATTTACTGTTGATACTCGTTCTTTTGTAAACATCATCATGAATCAACGCGCAACCATGGCCCACTGCTCTCAATACATCGCTCGCGCCGTTACAATTTCTGGACGAGTTCACAGTAGATAGCTGGCAGTGCATGTACGTGCTTTAAATCCAGTACTCAGTTGAACATGCCGGCGGTAAAGGCCACGCTGTGTCCACCGTGCCCCCGCGCCTCCGTGACGTCACGCGAACTATATAACGGCGTGCGCTGCGTGCGCATACGGCGTGTCTTCCTCGCCACTGCTCACGATGTCCGCGTTCCCCGACTACTACAAACTGCTAGGTGTCTCGCAGACAGCATCAACAGATGAGATAAGACGAGCGTACAAGCTCGAATCTCTGAGGTATGTTTATCATAACAGACCTACAGCGCCCCTCTCTCAACCGTATAGTTCCGCAGGACACACCCAGATAGACTGACACAGGCAACTCCGGCAGAGAAGAAAGCAGCCACAGAGAAGTTCCAGGTAAGGGGCTCAACGATAATAGCGGTCGCTATGAAACTCAGCCCCTTCGCTCCAGGCTGTGGCAGATGCGTACTATATCCTCTCTGATTCAACCAGGCGCAAGGAGTACGATATGTTATACAAGACGCGGGGTCCACAAGAGAGGACGACCGATCCGCATGCTTCCGCAAGTTGGTTCTCCGCATTCGCAAGTGTGTTCGGCGGTGGCACTCCTGCATCTGGGGCGGGAGCCACAGAGCAGGAACCCGATGCGAATAATATCTTCGCGGATGTCTTTGACGAGGTGCGCGCGATGAGCTCATCAAGGATTATTCTTCTAACAACCTCTGTAGCTCCTGCGTCCAGAAGTACAGCGGCGTGCTCCTTGGTTCGCATGGCTGGGCGGAATTTGTGGCGCAGGCGTTGGCTTCATAGTTGCGAATGTCCCTGGGCTGATGGTCGGTGCGTACGCTGGCAACCGCTTGGGTGCCATCAGAGACGCGAAAGGCAAGAGCGTCGCTTCCGTTTTCGCCCAGTTAGGCAGCAATCAGAAAGCAGAGGTGCGGACCAATTTATGGAGATAGATGATTGTGTTGATGCATCGTTCTTCCCAGATTTTACGCGCTCTAGCTACGAAGGTGCTCGGCGCCGCTGCAAATTCCTTCTGAGCCAGCTTGCTTGGACATAGGACAGCTTGAGATTGATACCATTCGCTTTTGATACCGTCTGATTAGCGGGTCTATAAATTATTTACTTCTCAACGGGAAGGTTGTGCATATATACACGGATCGCTAGTCTTTCTGGATCGAGGCTGAAAGAAAGCTGAAGCTTGAGCTTAAGTCCGGGCGGGGTTCGAGAACGACGGGGTATGCCATATATGGTGCGAGTCCTCCGCGTTGAGAAGCCACACACGATGATTCGGGTGCAGTGCTGTCGTTAACCTCAGGCCAACTTGCGGAGAGTTATCCCGCGCGTTTCTCGCAATCTGACCTTCTTCGTAGACAACTTGCTCTGGATCAGTAGAACTGCGCAGTATGCGATCTGCATCCCATCAAGCTGCTCAGCGCCAAGGTAAGCTTCTACCAGTCTGTATTGTGCAATGCAATCGACGGTTACACGTGTCACGGCCGCAGCAAGCAGTGGGAGGGCGAGCTGCCTGCCTCCCGGCGCCCCGACACGCCCGCGATTTCTCGGTACGATGCGTATTTACGTGTTTCTGCTGGTTGAATGACCGTCGCGTCCGGGATCGTGCCACGTAGAACGCATTTTGAATCCGTATCTCGAGCAAAGTGCGTAGTTGTCGGCGAATAGCTCATTGCGCGTCGCTGAGCTCTTGTGCTCTACCGCGTCGTTAGAACGCTCCGTTGCGCTGGCATCTGGTAAAGCGCCCTCCGAGACGGCGAGCACGCGCCTGGCATCTGCTTGTAAGCCGACCGTGTCTATAAATATGGACGCACCCACATTCTATCAATGACAGCACAGCCTCTTCATAGTGAAATGGCCGAGGGAACAAGTGCGCCTGTGATTAATAACAAACCGATCAGCCGCAGGCAGCCCACCAGCGCTTCGCCGACCATCCCATGGGACGCATGGGACACATGGAAACGCGTGAGGACGTCATCTCCGGAGCCTCAACCCCATGGGTGGACTTTAAGGGAAAGGCAGTCCACTGAAGGACGCGCGATGCCCACCTTGGGGTTGTTGACGCCCGTGCCTTCCCATCGTTCGGAGGCCGATGGTACAACCGAGAATAATGAGGACAGTTCCTACGCTACCGCCGCCGAGAGTTTGGGAGAGGGAAAAGGCAAGGCGAGAGCTCGGGAGGGTGATAGTCCGAATATAGCTGCGGCCCCGTGTGACACAGGCGGAGGGAGAGCCCATGAGTCACACCCGTCTACCCACGCCGATCTGGTAGGCCCGCCATTGGGCGGGGCTGATCCTGCATCCTTTGATCCAGAGGTATCGGTGGAGTCATTGATGGAGGAGGAGACAGAATGGGAGGAAGAACAGTCAGGATCCGAGGCCAGTTTCTACCTCCTCGACGTTCCAGATGTGGCAAGCCTGAACGGACTAGCAACCGAGACGTTCTCATTCGCCAACAGCAGTTTCAAAGGATCTACAAGCCTATATCTCCCACCTGGGGTCCGTCAGCTCGTCGAGGGTCAGTCCAAAGCTCCGCATCTTCATAAATACCAGGAATAGAGTTTGACAGAAATAACCCACAGGGATGAGAGGGACGTTGAAGCTTGAACGGAAGGCGCGCCGCAGGGCTGAAAAACGCCTCGCCGAAGAAGTGGAGCGACGCATCACGGCCGAGCGCAACGCTACTCAGCTCGCGCATCAGAACCGGTTCCTCGAGAGTGAAACGCGCATCTGGGCGAGTGCTACCGCCGACACTTTCGCGTCACAGATTGTGGATCGACTCACAATTTTACACGAGTTGGACCCGGGTATCGCATCTCAGGCGGATCAGGGTCCGCCTGCCGATGAAGCTGGGATCTCGGAGCGTTCTCTGAGCGCCCTGCTCGCAGGCCCGGGAACCCACGCAGACATGGTGCTAGACTCCATAGAAGAAATGCTCGCGTGAGTTTGAGGACGCATGGGTTTAAGGTCCTGAAACGTGCGAGTGGTCAGTAAGCATTGTGTGGCGTTTTAGTGAGAATAGTATGAGATGCTTACCATTTCTGTGCTCCTTGTGCGTTACTAGCCGCCCAATGAACTCCCGTACAATTGCAAACGTTCGAAAGTACTTCCGTTGGGGAGAGCGGGATCTATGAATGGAATGAATCAAGCAGATTGGCATTTCAGTGGGAAGGAACGCAGCGACTTGAATAGTCATGTATTTTTAAGATGTGATCCGTGCTTCAATGGGACAATCGTCACGACTGAGTCTGGAAGATATACAACTGTTTTGATTGTCATTTCGAGTCCAGTAGTCTGTGTTAGACGATCCTTGCCAGAAGCTACCTACAGAGTGCAACAATTCAACGAGAAGGGCAAAAAAGAAAATGGAGGCGCACGGACGGCCAATACGCGAGACAACCCGAAGTCTATCGTGATACACACATTACTTTACACATTAAATAGATGAGGATAAACAAGGCAGTCTCGGGGTATGATACAGTTAATTTGACCAAAGAAAAGAGGAATAACGCATGTCCTTGGATATAGCACATTTGATTTTGTGGATATGATAATGCAAGACGGTTATCCTTCATAGCCTTCGGGGCCATGTTCGTGGATGTGATGATGGGATGCGATGACGATGAGATCGGAAAACTGGACATTTGCATGCATGTTTTGTTACGAGGTTCGTGGCGCTTTACCTCAATGCCAGAGCTCGCCTGCTTGACATTGATCAAGGGCTGGGTCCGCGACTGACTCATCTTGACGGAGAAGTGCAGCGTAGTCGTTCAGGCCTCCTGCACCATTTGCCATAGCGAGAGTGAGCGCGGCAAGTGCCTTCTCTGAGCGAGAAGCGGAGGACGGAACGTGGAGCGCCTTGGATCGCAATTGAGCTCCGTTGTTTCTAAATATGAAGGGCGCAGAGGAGTTGAACGGCGACTCGCCGGGAGAGGATAATGTGTGAGACAGTGGAAGCGAGATGAGGGAAGAGTTGGTCGAATTCGTGTAGGTGTGGGTAAGCGCCGGAGTAGATGATGTGCCAGAATGCGGTAAGATGTCCTCCGAGTCCACAGGCGACAATTCCTCGTCATCGGACGAGTACGTCGAGAAACCCGCGGACGCATTGGTGGGAGAGGAGCAGCGTTCGCTACTCTCTCCGCTTGTGAACGGCGACGAGTGGACCTCAATCTCGGGCAAGTCAATGTCCATCATGCCCAGGGACATGGCACGCTTCTTGTGAGAAAGGTTCTGGATATGGCATGGCGCCGATCCTAATGAGACGTCACCTGAGACGATCTCGACCTCGTCCTCATCGTCACCGTGTGGGAACGTATTTGCATCCATATCTGTCTGCCATGCACTTTGCACCGATCGCCGGCGGCGGTAGCGTTCCCTATCACCGCGAGTGCGAGGCGGACTTGCCGACGAACGTGAGCGGGAGTTTTCCCAGTCGCGCATGCGCTGAACCAGGCCCTCGCCGCTTTCCGCCACGCTGCGCTGCAGCTCACCAAACGCGTCTGAACGCAGCCTGCTGAGGTCTTCCTCGGGAACCATATCCTCTTCACGGAGGCACGTAGCCTCTGATCTCGAGAATGTAATGTGCGACGTGCGGCTTGACTTGCAGTCGTTGCGCTGGGGGAACAAGCCGAAGGCGGCCGACGTGCAGGGAAAACCCTTCAGAGCGGGCGGGAAGGCCTTGGTCCGTTCCTCCAGCAACGCGGAACCAAACGGAGGGGCATATCGCTCGCCCACACTTATTCGTGACTGGATATGTTTCGCAGTCAGACGGGCTGGCAGACACAAGCTGAGTGAGGCGAACTCACGGCTGTGTCCCTACGGGCTCTCTTGCCTCTTCTCCATTGGTCAACATCCCATTTCTCCGGCGGCTCACCGAAACCGGGGAGGTCTCTGTACGACGGGCTCTGCGGATAGCTCGGACGCGGTCGCTTGGTAGCAAGCCGCCACTTTGTATCATCTGCCGAATGGAGGGCACGAACAGGAGACGAAGCGGAGTGCGACCTGCGGCGGGGGAAGTTCTGAGTGCCGGACGACATGTACGACAGTGTGTGGGTCGAGCGTGCAGGATGTGGCACGAAGCAGGGTGGAATGTCGGGTCGTAGGCTATGAGTGGGGAAAAGCGGAGGGGTGTGGATTGGCAGAGCCGGGGGGGCTGTAGTGGTAGCGGGGGCGTTGATCTATGTAACATATAGGTCTCCACCGGCAAGAGCCGTGTGGCGTCCCGGACTCCCACCATTCCCCATCCCGCCTTCTCTCCCGTACCTCATCCTCCGCAATTGATTCGGACTACGGTCCCGGTGATAGAACATCCATGGCCGGCGGTCTTAGCTGCGACCCTTTTTGCCGCTCAAATCCAGACCAACCGGCGTGTGTTGACTGGTTCGCAGTCAGCTGTTCCCCGTCATTTCTGCAGGATTTCGCATGAGAGAGACGCTTCGCGGCGTCCCGAAGAGAGCTAGTTCTTTCTCCGTCAATCCAGGCCCAGCGAACGTATGTTTCTATACATTGTTTGACGCGTTTATTCTGTTCGGACACTTGACGGGATTCTGCATAGTCCGGGTGCGCCTTCTCGATAGCGGGACGATAATCTTATCGATACACTACTTTGCCGCACCCTCTTCGATCTACCCCAACCCATAGGCATTACAGCCATTCGTCGTTCTTGTCACCCGGCTATTGCTCAAATGCGACGGTAATTAAGCTCACACGTGCAATCCCGGGCTGTCCGATGTTGAAGCAATTCAGCTTGATTTACTGTATTCCCCGTTGCTGGTCTAGACGCGATCTTCAAGGGGCGAGCGTCTGCTGCTCGAGATCGCTCGATATGTGCAAACAGACTCACGAGTTTAGCTTGCCGCTCAGCACAAGCTTAGCTTTGCTGAGCGGAGCAAATGGAATACAATTGCTGTCACTGTACTGCCAGTATCCACAATAGGTCTGTGCCACATGACTGTCCTTTTCGACATAACTTGTACTCATGACAGTACCCAAGATATCAGCCGCGTCTCCATTTCAACTGTCAAAGCAGTTGCCGGCTGAACACCAGAATGGCCCGTTTTTAGCCTGCCCCAAGTCCACTGTGTCTCTATACACCGAATTGCTCCAACAGAGTTCTCATCGGAGACATTCAACGATCATGGTGCCGGCTGAATTGCTTAGCGCGAACGGGTCCTCCACATATTCTGACATGCAAAGGCTGTCGATGTACGTTGAACGTTGAACGCCGGTAGGTTTCCAGACGAGCGTCAGAGGCCGCATCCCTCTGAATTGCCGTCTTATTTTTAACGTATTTCAACGGTCAAGTTCAATGCACTGTGCTTTACATACCTGTGTTTTCTATGTTTGCTGCCAAATCGGCGGCCTTTTGTGATAGTTTGATTTCAACGTTGAAATATTTGCGGCATCAGTCGGACATGCGCTATACATAGTATCTCTGGGGCGGCGATGGATGGTGGCCACTGGCTCCCAAATCTACCCCGATCACTATAGTTCCGTTAAGAAATGCGACGTGTTCTTATGCCGTGCTGGCGGTGTCACAGTATAATTCCAGTGAACAAGCATCGGAGCAGTCTTGAACGACAAGCGTACTGGCATCTGTAAGGGAGCGGCAGCACCACAGCGCCAAAGGAGGCGCAGTATGTCATCTTGACCTTCAGTGCATGTTGAAACGAAGTTACTTGTACGATGATAACTTGTACGATGACTAGTATGTACTCTCCGTGCCTTATCAAGGTGATGCTGAAGACCGTGATTTGCCATGATACAACGGGTAACCTGCCCACGTAACGACTACAAGGTCAGACTATGAATGTTCTTCCCAGTCCACTTCCAGCTGATGTGAGTACGTCATACAACCCTTCCGCCCTTCAAAGTCCATAATCATTCCCGCTGAAGCCCCCGTTTCCGCCGGTCAGCTGTCTCACCAAGAACATTCCTCGCCCCTCCCCCTCGCTCTTCGTACTGCGCACTCCAATCACAGACCTCGGCCGAGGAAACGTGCGTCCAGGCCGAGGTCCGTCATGTTGCTTCGTCGGACTCGACTGCCTGCGTGCCGTCGTGGCACCGCCGGTCAGCTGCCGCGGGAGAGTGACGTCTGGGGTACCGCCGACTCCAGTAAATTGCCGCGCAATAGTCGTGGCGCCCGTGTGTTGCGGTGCGATTCCGCGCCCTCCGGTAAACGAAGGGATGAGCGGCGCTCGCACAACGGGCTGAGGATTCCGCATAGCTGGGGGAAGGAGGAGCTAGTGAGGTGATGAGGTCAGACAACAGCCCGGAGGCATGATGCAGCGAGCTGCTCACTAAACATTCCCGACACCACACACGACCGTTTGAGTCGGTCTTTGCGGCACTATCGAGTTGTTTACCGCACCCTGGCTTTCCTCCTTCTTTTCTTCGTCCCTTTGCCTCCTTACCTCCGCATAGCAGACACGACTGATGCCATCTGGTGCCCTGCGGCCCAGGTACGACACCTCTTTCCATGGGCGATACGTTCCTGCTACATCCCGGGCATGACATTGATCCACCAAAGCGCGGAAATGTGGTCGTGGTCGGATGGGCAGTGCCGAGCGGCCGTTCGTAGCGGCTGGAAGATAGCGGGACCGTATAGGTGGTGGTGTGATCCGGTTTGGACGGCGTCGCGGGTATAGAAGAACCAAGGTTCAGCTGGGGAGCAGTGCTGGGCACCTGGTGGACTACCATTCGCTCTGGAGGTGCACACTGACAAGTAGAGAGGTCAACAGAGTGGACGCATACCATCGTTATTGAGACTCACCTCGATATGACACGGCCCCCCCTCTGCTCTCACGAACACCGCCCGCCCACCATCACGCTCCTCAAACAGGCCGTCACATATGTTACACCTGAAGCAGGTAACGTGGTAGGTCTTAGGCGGAACCCCACTGCTAGCGGGCTCCTCTGGCACGGTAACGAACTTCCCTCCATGTTTCGTGCTGAATAACTGAAGGTTGCACTTGGCGCAACGAGCATCCGGAGACAAAGGTATCGGGGAGGGAAGGTCGCGAGCATTCGGCAGAGACTTGGATGATTGATGTGTCGGATTTCTGGCAAAGGTGTCAGAAGACCGGCGGATCCGCCCACTGTTTCCGGTAGGGTGGCTGATAACCTCTTGTTTGCTTGATCCACGCAAGGCTGGGGGACTGACGGAGGGAGGGGTAGATGGTGCGCTTGGCTGACTGTTTGAATTCGTGTCTGAGACATCAGCTGCCAAGTCTGGAGTAGATAGGACGAAGTCTGCGTAGCTCCCTTTGGAAGAAGAGTCCGCCAGACCCGTCCTGAGACCAAGGCCGATACCACTAGAAAGATCGGAAGTAGCTGCACTTGTAATACCAGGAAGCCTCGACATTGGACCAGTCGACTCCGGAGAACCTAGCTGGCTCGCGACCTCCGCACCCAGCCCCGTATCATTGTTGCTCGCCCTGATAGAAGCCAACGACTCATAAAGTGATTCTAATGCAGCGTCTCCAGTACGGTCACGGCGCACAGTATACGCCGAGTCTCCAGTTCTGTCTCGACGGATGTGACTCCGTACTGAGGGGGTCAAGGAAGAACCGGTCAACGTTCGGGAAATCCTCGCGGAACTCGTCTGCTCGCGAGGAGAAATATCTCCTGTGTGGACAGCAGTAATGGGACCGCTGCCACGTACACGAGAGGCGGGACGTCTTCTGGACGTAGTTGTCGTGGACGAGGTAGAGGCCGACGAGCGTGAAGGCGAGGTCTGCCTTAAGAACCTGTTCTTCATCTCTTCGATGGCTTCTTCGGTCGGTTTGATAGTCGAGCTGCTGTATCTCGGACTCTTGGTGAGTCTGGCTGAAGAGCTTGATGTTGTCATGTCTGGATCCAACGCCTTGTACCCATCAAGATCGCGACGTGCTGGACTTCCAGGCACATAACTACCGGTATTGGTGTCGCTATGCCTGTGACTTCCACGCGAACTCAGAGTGATGTCACGCTCCCTTTCCCGCGAATCTGGCGTGGAGGAATCGGATGAGACCCAAATACGGGTCGAGGAGCTGCCTTCACCGGTCATTGCAGGGCGTATGGCGGTTAATGAATCCATTTGCATGCGAGCCGCGAGGCGATCGACACCCAAAGTCGAATCGGCGCTATTGGTACTGCGATGAGTATATCGCGCAGAGGTTGGGATGCGACTGCTAGAGGAACCCAAGGAACCCTTTGGGGCATGGGAGGCGGAGGTGCTGTCGCGAGCGCGGAATATACCTAAACGTTGCTCAAGTTCCTCCAGAGCGGGGCTACCTTCTTTGTCCTTGTCGGTGCGCTTAACCCCACCTAGATTACTACGCGGCTCCTCCGTCTTCCTAGGGCTATCGGTGCCCGACCGCTCCAAACACGTCCCGAAACAATCCGTGCAGCAAGGTTTTCCCAGAAGGTCAACCATTGGGTTGTCGCCAATATATTTGAAACATCCTTCGCAACGAAAACAATTCTTGTGCCACACCCGACCAGTATTCTCGATGAATCCTCCTTCACTCTTCAGGATGAGCACTGTTCTGCCGCACGATGCGCATCCTCCTTTGGAACCTCCATTATCGACAAAGCATAATCGGCAAAGGAACCGAGTGTTAGTTCCTGAGGTCAAGTCTGCACCTGAGGGAGACAGTGAGGAAGGGTCCGGGTATATTGTGGCGTCGGGGGTAAATTGCGTAGAGCACATGGCGCAGTGGTACGTTGCTAGAGTTTCCTTCGGTTGAAGGACGGAGCCGTATACTTTGGCAAGCTCAGAGCCGTTATTCGGGTTAGGCAGGATGCCGGCGGCACCATTTGGAGAAGCGGAAGGTGCGTCGTGGTCTGACAGGCGTGACGTGGTAACGGACGCAATGTGTGCAGATACTCGCGACCCGAGTGTCACTGATGTCGTCTGCGATGAGGATGCGGGTCGTGGAAAGCGTCTCGAGGGAGTAGTCGAAGGAAGGGCTGCTAATGTGGGGTCCGTAGGCTTGTCGTCATTAGGCACGGCCGGCCGCGGAGGGGACTTCTCGTTGGTAACATATGTGCGAGACCACTTGTCTTGCGTCTGGGACTCTCCCTGATTCCACTTTACGACTGGTGCTGTGATTTCCCTGTAAGCAACTTGTAATGACGCCACGACGAACTGTATTCACCGACAGGTGTCCCTCCGCACTTGCAGCGAACACCAGAGACAATATCACCACACCTTCTGCAGAATCCCATCACACCGAGCTAGAGAGAATCGTGAATGACGGCAAACACTGGGCGAGTCGTTGAGAAAGACGCAAAGCTGCAACGGCGGGGACAAGCACGCCCGAATTGGCTGTTCGACTGGGCTCGCGCTCACGTGTGTGACGCGCTGCTTCATGTTAGATCGCGGCTGGCGATTGCCGTCAGCACTGCTTCAAACAAAAGCTTCGGCATGACACCGACCACCTGAGTGCAGAATTCATGTTGGATTCAAGTTTTCGGATGCGCTTCCTGAAAAATCAATTACTACCAATTGCAACGTTGTTTGGTTCACGGCCGGAACAGGTACGTGAGCGGCGGATTCTCAGGCTCCCACACCCAATCACCAGTACTTCGTTGTTCATTAGGTTCACTGCTTTCAATTCAAGCCCTGGTGCACTATGTTAGCATGAGGAATACTTGTATATTTCATTTGTTTTCCGTTATTCTTCCTCGTGGTGTTGCCTTGAAATGCCTTCTAGCAGTTGTGCCAGCGGTCTTTGGCCATATAAGTGATTTATTCACTCCACAGTCGGTGCGCAAGTTGAATGCTGATAGTGTCCTAGTAGCCCCTTCAGTACCGCCCCAGTGCTAGAGCCCCCTTTGGATAGGAATGGAGACTTTTGCACCGTCAAAGTGTTTGGTCCTGTGATGCCGGCGCTCTGTTGTGCTCAAGCTAGTATGCGCGCTGAGTTCGGGATACCACCGAGTTCTACGGGCTAATGACACATCTGATCATTCATGTACAAAGATTCTAAAGACGACGGCGTTGTTGTCGCGGGCACTTGTCTTGGCAGACGGATCGCCGGTCATCGTGTGGTAATTGACTGCAATGTATTGACGATGTGCTTGTCGAAGGTGCTCCTGGATAGATGAATCACGCAGCGTCGGAGGGCACGTCTTCACGGCGATGCTCCAAGACAAGTGTTGTGTGAGGTACGGTGTGAATTCCAACTATGAGAAGTCGTATATCTGCAGTTGGGAGGTCGTGTTGTTGATGGTCATTGAGTAGGACCGCCCTCATCTATCAGACATCAGGATAAAATGGGTGACGAGGATGGGGTAACTGCGCACATGCTCCAAGAGGGCGCTTGCGAAAGGCATGGCTCTAGCATGCAAATATGCGCGATAGTTATCGCCTTGACAGTCTGCGACTTCTGCGAGGTCTTGTAATGCGGCGCAAAGATTAATTGACCACGGCGAAGAAAGCATATACTGGACTGCCACAACTCCGACCGTTTGTGATCAGTTAATTAAACAACCAAAGATCATAAATACCAGGCCCATCTCCTGAATCCCGCAACAAATGCATCAGAGCTTGACAGATGGATGGGCAGATCAGTATGGCAAGTGGCTCCTCGATATTGAAAAATTGATGGGTAAGGATAAGCAGCAGGGCATCGCGAAGATAGTTCCAACTTTCTGCAATGGCGAGTGGGCTACAGCGGCTGCGTCGTATAGTCGCAGAGATATAGCTGGAAAGAGCACCTGCATTCGAAGAGATACTCAAAGTTGGTTCGTACAACGATACTAACGAACTCACAGGCGGTAGTTAAATCTGCTGCACGGCTATTGATTGCGATATTCCAGACAATCTCATCATCCCAGGATTGTTTGCGTCCTTCCTCATCAAGGAGCGCAAAAGTTGCTAGAGCACAGATCAAAGCATCTCTTAGGTTTATAGCCGCCTCAGATTCCGGAAGTACAGAGGCGAGCCAGTTCACGAGACCTCGGAGGAAAGACGTCCATACTGGCACGCTGATTCCCGTTTGAATCCCATGGTGCCATGTGAGAGTGTTAAACTGAAGCAATTGCCTGATACCAGATAGGTCTTGATGACATAAGTCCGCGCGGCCGGCTTCATGATCAATATATCTAAGCCCAGAAATGTGTACGCGATCTGATCAAACTTGACTAACACGTACCTGCTGAGATGAGAAATTCCTTATGGCGTTGAACCAGATTTCCTGACATTAACGAGAGGGTATTGAGACTCACTGCTCTCCAACGCTATCGCAACGTTGACTTTTGCATCCTTACACAGATCTTTCATCACAGATCGTAGCACCTCAGCTTGAACAGATGATAATGCTTCAAGGATCTGGTCCTTAGCTGTCCTTTCATCAGTAGGAGATCATGTGGTTGTGGTCGCAGTGTCGCACCATTATATGCATTATCTTGTTGTAGCAATATGAAGATCCTGCATAACGCGTTACAAAGCTGGATCGCTACAGCGTCCGCAACATTGACAGATGCTCGAAACAGTTGTGCGGCTGCCCAGCAACATCTGTAAATGACGTCAAGACAATGAGGGGGAAAATGCGCAGGCGGCGCCATCAGCAACGCAGATACGGCACAATTGAGAATTCTCTGCGTGCTAAGTTATAAGTGAGAGTATCAGTGGGAAAGATAAAGACATTACGGTTATAGCAATAGTTGCCGCTGTCGGATTGAGCGAAAGTGCCGCTGTCAACTCTTCCTCCCAGGATGCGGCTGATGCAAACTGAGGGTCACACTCAGCGTCGTTCGAGACACCACCGATATGAAACAGCCAGGTGCTGCTCTACGTGACATGAGCATTGGCGATAACAGTCATACGCGAACGGACTTACCATGGAGCCTATGATCTCTGCGTATGCTATGCGTGGATCTGCCCATACGCACCAGGACCACGGGATAGTCTTACCCCACGTCAACAGAATTACTTGGGCAGTGTCCAGCTTGAGATAAGGAGACAAGAGGTGTTCTGGAGATGAAGGAAATTCAACCGGACAGATCACCGAAGCGATCAGACGCAGCAGCGCTGCATGAGTATGTGGGAGGAATTGGGCATCGACCTCAGTATCCTCAGCGCAAGACACAACCTGTAGTCAGCCAATCAGTTGAGACGTTCGGTTGCAGGATTTTGCGAGAAACTCACAGAAAATAGACAAAGGAACATGGCACAACATTCTCTGGCATGAATGTCCAAATCTGCCGGCTCCTGATGTTGATATTGCTTGGTCTTCATTGCTTTGGTGTTGATCGTGTGGTCGATATATGCACGAAGAGACTTCATGAGCCCAGCTCTTTGTGACCTGGAGGAAATAGAAAAATACAGCGGCGTTCATGCTCACAAGCGAGCATATACTCACGTTTCCTGCAGGAGGGTACTTCCTACCAACTGAGGGCCCATCACGTACACTCCAAACGTCAAGCGCAGAGCAAGGCGTGCCGCAGCAGGGGATGCGTACTCTGCACTGATCATATTTGGAACTGCGTCCCATTCGCCTGGATAACCTGGCTGCCAGGACAGTATGCGGCGGACATAATTGAAGCAACTCACTGGGGAGCTGAGTGGCAGCACGCAAGGCATCTCCTTCTCTTTGTCTCTTAAGGCTAGCAAGGTTATGCTCTTCTCGACGTTCGACGCCAGAAGCATGGCCCGCTAGGAACGTAATAGCTTCGCCCAGCTTGGCGAGAATCACATCCACCCAGCAGACGACCACGGGCGATGCGCCATGTTCATGAGCATCGCGTGCGGCAATGCGGTGAAAGATCTGTCGATACTGAAACAATAGCGCGATGAAGGATAACTCCACTGTACAAAGATTGTACCCGCCAATGTCAGACGGAGGGGGGGACGCGCATATAGTCACATACGCAGAGTGGCGAAAGCAGATTCTTCCTCCCCTTCCGGCGAATTGGTGCCAACGTCATCTATGGATCTCAGTATCCTCGTTGAGATACGTTGGATCACCGGGTGCAAAGAGTCGTCCTGAGATCATGATCAGCAATACGTTTGGGAGTCAATGGGATTTATCAAATACATCTCCCGCAGCACTTGCGTCCAGCGACCAAAGCTCATTGATAGCCAACAGCACATCATGAGCCGAAGACTGATTACCTGATGGACCGTCTTGATTGTCATCAAACACTTCGGCCTGCGTGGTGGATATATGCGCGAAGTCTGTGGCGTCCCACTCGAAGACGGACGCCTGGGACTCCGATTCCGTGTCACTGTGGTTTTCATGGGCCATGGATAGGTTTCAGAGGCGATGATATCGCAACGATGAAAAGGAAGTGGTATAGGATGGCGAGAGTGGAACGCGACAGTCAGCGGCGCGTCTCGGACGCGTCGCCCACGTGAGCGTGCTTTCAAGTGTGGGACAATGTAGTGTAAGCCTACGCCTAGATCATTCACTCATCCGAATACTGCGAGCACTATTTCAGTAAAAGTCTGCATATAGCTGGAAACAAGAGATTCCGGGATTCAGCAGCACGACATCCATTCGTGATCTCCTAGCTCACATGAATATAGACGCTACACAGCAACCTCATGAGCACATTTATGCAGGGATACATAGCCGGCCAACCTAAGAAAACTACAACCCAGGAATTTCTTTCAGTACGCTCGTGACGTCCGTCGTACACTGCAGCTCCTCATTGCTATGTGAGAAAACAGCCTCGAAGGCAATGTTGGACTCTTCAGCCTAAGCAATAGCGTGAGCAAAAGGTCGTCCGAAAGCTGCAAAGCAGGCGTACCTCTCCATCGCAATACTCATAATCCTCCCACTTTTCGTCCTCTTCCGCGTGAATCATTGTCAGCATCTCCCTCCTCACAGCACTTAAGCCTCCCTGAAACTGCACGCTTCTATCATCTCCCGACTTCCGGACAGCCACCTGGACCTCCTTCGCGTCCGCCGTGGGCTTCTTCACTTTCTTCAGCGCCGGCGCAGGGACAGGTTCGTCAGGGTCCGGAGGCGGGCCCTCATCCGACTCCTCGTCCGACTCCCCGCCTGGTCGGTGTCGTCGACTCTTCCGCGACAGCACGTCCATGTACGTCAGCGTGGGCCGGAATTGGTGCACCTCGTTAATTGGGTGCAGGTGCAGTTGGCCTGGCGATTAATGTCAGGGTTTCTGAGGTGACTCTGACAGGGCACGCTCACCATCTCGGACGATTCCCAGCACGTAGGTCCCCATCTCCGGTATCTGCTCGCTCCGCATGCGCACCTCGCTCAGGCGGGGCTCCTCCCCCTCCCGCTGCTTCATCTTCGGCAGCTCCTGGTTCTTCTCTCTGTCATCCTCGACCCGCGCATGGCCAAGTTCCTTCGACCGCTCGCCGTTCCACACCTCTGGACGCGTGTCCACAGGCACATGCACCTCGAGTCTGCGTACTCCGCGCTTGATGCGTGCCTTGATACGTTTTCCACTGGCTGAGGCAGATGGCGGTACTTGCAGCGGGCGCGTCAATAGCGGATATTGGTGAATGTGGACGTTTGGCAACAGCGCGTTCGAGTAGCGGATAGGAAGCACGCTGACCAGCCGATCTTCAGTGTCCATAGCTGGCGTCGGTTCTGAGCGAGCGCAATCAAGGGAGTACCGGCAATCAAGTTCAAGATGCTGGCTAGAGATCTGAGCGTGGGAATTAATGGTAAAGCGAGATCTTTCCAGTTGCGCGCGCCGCAGACCGGGAAATGGGATCAAAAAGGGACAAGAGGGCACTACTAATAGGTATACGATTCTAGTATAAGACTGCTATGATATGGTATCAGCTCGGACACACATACATACAGCGATGGGGTGCATTGTGCTATGGTACAGCATCAGAAGCGTTACAACGAATTCAATACAACGCGTGCAAAAAATAAAGTCTCCGGTCACCTATCCTACTGAATGATGCGCAGTCTTTTCGCTATCATTGCTAGTTCGCGTACGGGTCCGCAGGTCGAGGGATAGTCGGATCTCGTCGTGAGGTGTCTGCGAGCCTGCCGGAGTGGTCGAGGACTGCGTCGCCTGCATGCGCGACTCCGATGACGAGTCGCTTTTGACAGGAGAGGACGGCAGAACCACCGCCGAGTCCCACATAAATGGCCGCGGTGAAAAATTCAGTGGTGAAGGATTGTCAAAAGATGGTAGTGAGGACCATGCTGAGGTCTTCCGAGTTGGTTGCAGTGTCATCTGCGGAACAATTGTGTATGGAGAGACGGGCAGCTCGTACGATAGCTCAGAGCTCGTCATGATACTCGCCGGCAAGTCATCCAAAGGATCTATCCCTTCTCGATGTCGCGAATGAAGATGAGAAATGGGCTTTTCCCGCGAGGGCCTTGAGCGTCGCGCACGCTTTTCGAATATTTCCGCGCAATCCGTTTCGGTGCGCAGCATCCGCTCCCATGCGGCCGGATGCTGCAGGATCGCTTCTACCTCGTGCCGGCGGACGACTCTTCTGAAGCTATGCATAGTGAATGCAGAGACGATGAACCCTTCGAGGGAAGCGGGCGTGAGGTGGACAGGTAAAGAAAGTGTGAAGAGTGACTCACAATCCAGTACGATCCACCCTTCTGGGCCGAGTAACATCCTCCTGCTCACTCCCACTAACATGATGACCGCCACCGCCAAGAATATTGCGGTAAAGAAAGTAGTATATAGCAGCTACATAAGAATTGTTAGCCTGAAAGTGAGCCTATGGTAGGGCTATTCTCACCTCATTCCTCAACATCTGGCGAAACATTGCGACTCCAGAGAAGCCTCTGATCCACCGGCGGATCGTCCATGCAGTTGTTGGAGGTGGCTCTAGCATAGAGTCAGGAATATCATATCTCCGCGATCGTCCAAAGCCTAAGTACCACCCTCGACGAAACGAGCTTCGAGCGGGATGAGGAATTGGAAATTCTCCAGGCAAGGAGGACTTGCGTTGATATGCAATACTTGGTGGATAGTCATCGCTACCACATAATCGACGTAGAGCAGAATATATGATCTGCGCGATACCACCGAAAGTGGATTTGCCGTTACCGGAGGGCATGTGCGCCTCCGGCACGTAGTCCCACCATCCCCGCCGCGAGTTGATCCCATCCCCGCTTCTCTTTTCGTCGTTCGTATCCGGTCTACAAAAGGCCTCCTCCGACACGTTCACAGACAGACGTGCCTCCGCCTGCGTTCTGTGAGATTTCCAGATGGCCCAAAGAACTGCAAAGATGGGGCCACAGGTTGAGCAGACTCAGACACGGCAATATAGCGGATCACTGACAGCAACAGCAGATCATGGCAGTCTCAGCAAAGACAACCATTACCATCGCGGACAACCAGCGAGAATAGTGTGGACCCGAACAGTCGCCTGATGTACGCATCAGATTGAATGGCCGAACTATGTCAGCATTTGCGAAGACACATACCGTACACTGAACGGTATCCTTCATAATGCATGATCTCCAAAACCAACAAGGCAATCATGACGACGACAACGGCGCTCAGAAAGGCCAGGATGAGTCGACAGTTGCTCAAACATCTATATGCCTTGATTCCGAGGATACCTGTAATCTGGATAGAATGAATGAAGACTCAAGCATACTATACGCAATACGTACCATGATGTCACAGGATACTTTCATAAATATCTTTTTCGCAGCGCCAATGCTAACGTCGATCCAAGTCAGAGAGCAGCATTAGACAGTGCAAGAACAACTCACACGGTGCAATCAAGAGACTGATCGAAATCTCCTATCGTTGCTGCCATTGCACCCATCAGCCCCAAAAACTGGCTTGCGAGAAGCAAATAGAACAGTGTCTTGTCCTTCACCCGACTCCTTCGGAGGAAGGAAAGCGCTGTGAGAGTGTTCCGAAGAAAATAGGCGCAGAGAGCCCCGGCGACAAGCATCCAAGCCTTATGAACCTTGAGACCGGCGATATATGTCTCGGTAACGAGCGAGCCATCGTTCAAAGGGACATAGGAGGGCGTGAAGGAAGCCATGGGAGCATCGCAGTACCGTGAGTAGGGCGAAACCACCAAGTCCGCATGCAAATTGATATAGACTGCGTTCGCGGAGGGCTCAGGGAGAGCAGACACGGAAACGACGCGTGCGGAGGGTGTGCTCGCGGCGGCGATATAGGCCAGCTCTATTGCCGAGGATGCAGACGGCATAGAGGACAGAGAAGGGGAATGAGGGCTCCAGGAAAGGGCTGTTGAGGCACGTGGTGCAGATAAGAGTGCGGTGAGCATGGCAAGGCGGAAGAAGCTGGAGGAGGAGGGGAACATGGGGAGAAAGAGGGAAACGACGAGCTCAGGAGGGGGACGGCATCTGGAGGCGGGGAGAAAAGGTGAGGCAAGTCGTCGGATGAATTTGATCAGACGTCGGCGAGGAGGGAGGGTGAGTGACGGCGTGCCGGGAGCACTCAATTGTCGCAACACGTCCAAAGCCATAAGCCCATATATGTCCCCGTCGCACGCGAGCCCCCATGCTATTCCCAACCAGGCCTTATGAATCTTTCCCTAGCCGATGTCCTGCACAATCAGTTGCCTGACATCTGCTCCGACCGCACGGACCATGTCCCGCGATGCGAATGCGTGCATCCGTGCGTCTGTCAGCACTCGCAGAGACTCGCAGCAACTGGCAGTGGCGCCAGGCCTTTGAAGACAACTCAGGCAGGCTCCCTTCCCGATCGAGCGGGTGATCGGGCCCGGCATCTTCCGGCATCTTCTCAGGCCTCATCAATCAAGCGTTACCGTCTCTTCCTGCCCATACACGCATCGCCCAAATGTCGGCGAGCACGTCCAGACAGGCACCCGTAATCATCATCACCGGCACTCCTGGCACTGGGAAGACCACCCACGCGCAGCTCCTCGTCCAGGAGTCGCCCATCCCACTGCAGCACATAAATGTCGGGGAATGGGTCAAGGAGAAGGGTCTGTACGAGGAGTATGACGAGGAGTGGCAGAGCTACACTGTCGATGAGGACAAGGTATGCTCATTGTGCTTATCGAGAGGTTCCGAGCCAATCGGGACAAACTTGACATCCACTACCCACAGCTAGTCGACGAGCTAGAACCACTCGCGTCGGCTGGGGGTATCATCCTCGACTGGCACACGAGCGAAGTATTCCCGGAGCGTTGGGCAGACCTCGTTGTTGTGTTACGCTGCGATCACACCCGATTATGGGATCGCCTAGAGAAACGGTCAGTTTCCACGATTCTCGCGAAGCGATTACCTATGAATTGAAGCTTCACTTGTCCAGGAACTATCCTCTCAAAAAGATTCAGGAGAACAACGAGGCAGAGATCATGGAGGTGGTCCTGGATGAGGCACGATCATCGTACCCTCCAGAGATTGTAGTCGAGCTCAGGAGCGAAAACACCGAGGACCTAGAAGCCAATGTCGCCCGCATTGTCCAATGGATCGAAGCATGGAGAAAAAACCAGGAGCCCTCTGAGCAATGATAACTCGATGCAAGTGGTATATCGTGGTATAGTGGTATCATACAGTCATATCCAATCCGGGTCAGAAATAATTCCAAGATATCAGTGATCCCATGATGGATCACCCCGCGAACGCCGTTCAAGGATCATGCCCTTGTAGTGTTCTCGTGTTCTCGCTGCGCTCCCGCTTTGGCGCCTCCCCCCCTTTCAGCGACCTGGTCTTCTCCAGGTAGACGCAGTTGCGCAGTGGGCGTGAGTATGAGCAGACAAAAAAAAGTCGAAGATTATACCGACGCGGCGTAATACGTGCTGCTGGAAGCACCTACAATACGACAATTTTGCCCTCATAAGCGTGAATACGTCAAAACGTCATCCTACCTTGTCTTGAACACGGGCTGCTTCTGCAAGCACGGATCTTTCGCATCATGCCCTTGCAGTTACAGCGAAAAAGATTTCAGGCCAGGACCAGTGAAATATCGGCGCATATAGCCAGGCCGGCACACCGTCCTGGACGCATGTGCAGCGATTAGCGACGAACCAAGTGAGAAGCGACGCGTACATACATATTCATCCTCGCCCTCGAGCTTGATCTCGAACCGCTGCCTCTTTGGCTCGTAGTGGTTGTGTCGAGCTGGACGCGTCCGGATCCACTTCATGCGTCTTCTTTGTCTTCGCGGCCGGAGCGCCCTCGAGCTTCGGGTCTACTCCTCTTAACGCGTCTTCTTCGCGTATGATTCGCTCTCTTCCTCCATGTCAGGATTGTTGATGCCGCCCTTGTCGTTGCGAGTATGGCGCTTTCGATCTCGGAGTCGTCGGTGACGGCTGCGGAACGCTTTCCGCGTCGAAGAGGTCGGCCTTGAGCTTGATGCCATGACAAAGTAACGAATGATGTGGTAGCCGTTCAGGATGGGAGATTGAGCCGGAGCAGGCACGTTCTTCTATTGAACAGGAGGGAGGGGTCTTGTTATCGTCTGTCGTCCGTCCATCAAAAAAGGGGATTTAATAGGTCTGCCTAGGGGAGACAAGGTCTTGTTGCTACAGGTGACAGTGCAAACGAAAGGACGCGTAATTCCTAAGCCGGCTCTTTCTTTGCCGCATTTCGCTTGTCCGTACCGGCAGCTCCGTTTCGCCGTTCGCTACACATTGTCTTCACATTATTTCTGTTCTGTATAAGCTTTCCTCTGGTGTTAAATCGCAATACCAACCCATGCGCCCAGACTTTAGGGATGTGCATGCTCGCAGGTCTTGCCAAACACTGGGAAGCATCAATATGCTTTCGATACGGCCATCTCATAAGCACCGTGCGTTCCCCCGCTGTACTTGTAAATTGATGTAACCGCATGTTGATCAGCGGCTGGTGGGGGATGTGTGCATGAGGACCATTCGAATGGATGGTATGGCTGAGCTTTGGTTGCGTGCATAGCCACCCTTTCTGCAGTAAACACCAGATATTGAGCTAAAATATATATGTCTGTATTTTTCGAAGCATTTCGATGGAACCGACGCGTTCACGATGCCGCAACGTTCTCCCCCAATATGGGTGAGCAGAGTCCCGTGACCGCGTCGAAATGTGTGATGTCACGCGTCTCTGTAACGCTGCATCCCGGGCGCTTACATAGGCGGTGTGAAATGGTACTCATGCCACCGCCACAGTTGGCAGACCTAGCAGGCTGCACTATATCCGATGGTGGGAAGAATGTCAGAAGGGCACGATTCGGATGATGTCAGTGGTGAGTTCCTCCGCCGAAATCGAACTGCCGAATAGCTATTTACAGTGCAGCCGCCCAGACATGCAGATGTCTCAGTCTGACATAGACCAGATCAACGAGGATATGGATATCGACGAGGAGGACGCTCAGGATGAAGCCGAACAAGCCGACACTACGGTCGATGCTCCCGAAGAGGATGAGGGTGTGGATGACAAGGACGTCGAGGTCGAAGAAGACGACTTGCCGGATGTGAGCATGTTTCCTACGCTTGTCACTTGACTCGTGTATCTTGGATTCCAGGATATCTGACAACATGATAGGAAGCGTCTGACATTGACGCTTTGGCCTCTTCTCCGCCGCCAGAAAAGCATAACATGGACGCAAAGTCGCAGCCTCGGCTGAAGATCAAGCTCAAGCTACCGGCGTCTGGCAGCGTACAGACGGCTCTTTCGACATCGGAAGAGACTGGCGGTACATCTTCACGCCGGGAGGCATCTCGAGGTCGGGAGCATCCTTCTTGCCGTGAGCCATAGTTAACTCAGCCGGGCGTGATCGCAGATTCCGATATCGAGTCGGAAGAGGAAGATGAGGTTGAGTCGGAGGATGAGGAGGAAGAGGAGGACGAGGAAGACGACGATCAGTCCACTCGTTCCGCGTCTGTCGCAACCTCAGGCACAGCGAGCAGAACGCTTACTGCACGTCAAGCGGTGCTCGCAAATGTAGTCGATTCGTCCCATGTTTCCCTCGGTATGTCATCTATCATTGTCATGCTGCCGAATTTATCTAGCGCGACCCTGAACTAACTTATGTTTCCCTTCTATCCTACTTCGGCTCTACTGAACTAGGCGAACGACATCATCCTCGTAGAAGGAAGCAGTTGACGGAAATGGAAATTGCTCTCAAGCGTGAGGAGACCGCACGTAAGCGAAAGAATTTGTCAGAGAAGAAACTCGAAGATGAGAAGGTAAATGAGCCCATACCGCCGATTGATTGGAATCTTGCTTATAACAAATATGCACTGGAATGCAGATGGAAACAATCAATCGGCTTTTGAAGAAGCAATCTCGCGGAAAGGGGAGACGCAATGCCCTATCAACTGCAGAAGACAAGCCGACACCGCTTGCCTCTACTGCTAACCTCGCAGATGTGGACGCCGAAGATGGGGACGTGGCTGCTTCTGAACCCGTCGCACCCACAATGTACAGGTGGATATCCACCTCCCGCGCAAGCGGCGCAGACGCGAAGAGCAGCTCGGATAAGAAGATGTTGCTTTCCTTCTCTATACCAGCGGTACTCCTACCATCAGAAGAAGCAAGAACCGCAAAGATGGACGTCGACGAGGAACCCCGAGCTGCGCAAATGCCTGAATGCGACGTGCAGGGGTGCACGGAGCGGCGAAAATACCGCCTAGTCAAGGACTGGAGTAGAGGTGCATGTGGCATGAGTCATCTCAAGCTACTCGAGGCGCAGCTCAGTTGAAGTATCTCGCTCTCACTCAGACGTACTCTATCTTCATCGATCTTCCGTCCTCGGTGAGAATGGAGAGCTATTTGCTGTATCCTGTACTGATGTCGGGAGTCCATAAATTTGGTCTACTTAGTATACGATATGTATTGAGCTACTCTAATGAAATCCAGCAGGCACCAATGCCTGTGGTGACGACGAGAAGATTGCTCGTGGAGTCACGAAAGACACGGGTCACAACGTCCGAAAAAATGTCCGACATAATGATCACACCGGGGCGTATTTGGTGCTTTCGCTGAAAGCAGAGTTCGTAATGAAGGAAAGAAGGTAATGTGAGCAATGTCTGCGACAAAAGGTATGGCTCAAGCATGAAGAAAGATCAACAATGCAGTGAATAATCCAACTGCCGATGTGAGCGAGATGGGAAGCAGTGCTGAGCGGCCAGCAGCCGCGGTTACGGGAAGATAATCACCGCTGTTTGGGATGCTGGACGTCATCGCCGACGTTGTTGTAGATATTATTGTCTTTCTGTGAATGGGGTGATCAACTCTACTGCGGCGGGCTCTAGACTGCAACGAATATGCTCACGTCGCGGTGAATTCGACGGTTGTCCCGGGAGCGGTGCTAGTGCTGACGATAGTCTCCAGAGACGTCACGACAATAGTGGTGAACTCTGGCTTCGTCGTCGTCTCAGTGACGGTCACAATCACATCAGAGCCGTTGATGGTAGTCGTCATAGTATAGCTGATGTGCACAGTGCTGGCACCGGTGAACGTCGATGACGAGTTCATAGGAGTCTGAGTGAGCGTTGAACCCGGAGACTGCGTGGGATTAAATGAGGTGGACGAATTCCAGTCGGAAGCGGTATCCGTGCTCATGCTATCCGTGCCCGTGTTATTGTACGAGATCGGGTGTGCGTCTCGTTTGACTCTTCCCTGAGCATGTAATCCTTCGAGTCGTACAGGCAATCCCAGCTTCATATCATTTTCAGATTGACCGCAAGGGATTGGTAGATTTGAGTTCTCGATGGTCACAACAGCAGGTGTAATGATGAACCCGAGATAACCATCAAATCCAGTTGCCTTAAATGATGTGAGCTATGCATGATAGAGATCAGATATGAGACTGTATTCAATCTGGGGAATTACCAAGTTACCTGATATTCTCCAAGACCAAGACACGGTGAAACCGGCCATGTGAAGTGTAGGGTACTACTTTGTATACCAACGGTCTGTTGTACAAAGCGGAGACCCGATTCGGTGGAAAGATGTAGGTTTATCATCGAGTCAGGCGACTCGAGTTCAATTGAAACGTCGGTGACAGCATTAATCTCGGGTGTTGATAGTACTTCAGAGTTGATTATCTGTCCTGCCATGAGCTGGATCGTGGAATAATCAATGCATAAATGCGTACGTGCACAGAGATTCGTGCCAGGTCCGCTCGTCTCCATGTGCTGGTGGTCTATCCGTTATATTATGATAAAGAACGGAAGGGACACTCTTACGTGTATTGTGTGCTTGAATCGTATTCGACGAAGCCTTCTGCTCTGGCATCGATGAGGTCCAGCTCGTCGCGCGTTTCATCAACAGCAAATAATTTGCTGCAGCTTGCAGATGTAAGGCAAATGGAAAGCAAAAGAAGAAGTGCGAGCCCAATTTTTGACCGAACAGAATTGGTATTCGCGAGAATCTGCCGGAGAGGGAAGGAACGAGCCAACAATCCTGGGGAAGCCATAACACCACGTTCAGAGCGTCGCCAGTTCAAGATATTCTACAGTCCAGGGTATAACGCTTGCCTGCGCCGCACTGTGCGCAACTGGAGAAGGTGGGAACATACTTGGTGACCATCTTCTCAAAAGTCGGATTCCTGTTGCTACGTGAATTGCCTTTCTGGTCAAAACGCGCCCCGATCGAGATGCGGATCTAGATCCATCATTCGGTCATGGCCGGCTCAGTGGGCAGCTCAGTCTCGGTGGCCTTTGGGCGGACGCTCGAGCTTTCAACATGACTAGAACCACAGAAACAGCGAACGCAGAGGCATCGTCCAGCAGGTTGTCCCTCTACGAAGGCAGTACGCAGTATCGATACTGGCGTTACTCTCCAGAGCAACTTGCGAACGCTCGCGCAACTATGAACGCCGCAGCAGTCTCCGCGATCCGGAATGCATTTGAGGCAAATTCGGCACGTCAGCGTCATATTGTGTATTTCAATCTGCATGCTGAAACGTTTTGTCGCAGCCAGGCTCGTCTTCGGAAGTCTCCTTCCTCGAGGCAGATGAAGAGAACTTGCTCGTCAAGCTGTACGTTGGGAAGATCCCACAACTTTGTGCTCACTTCCGCTTTCCTGAGGAAGTAGAAGCGACCGCCATGACATATCTGAAGAGATTCTACTTGAAGAACACCGTCATGGACTGGCATCCGAAAAATGTCATGTATGTTTCCGCGAGCCATAATCACCACATCCAGTGTCACTGAATATCCACCACGAAAGAACAGGCTGACTGCACTTTTTCTTGCTACAAAGACAACGAACCACCCTATATCTCTAGAGTCATACACAGCACATATACCCAAGACCGCGCCTGCAGACGTACTTGACCTTGAGTTTCTTGTTGCACAGTCATTGGGCTTCGATTTTGCCGTATGGCACCCTCATCGAGCATTGTGGGGACTTTGGTTAGATGTTCAGGTGCGCCTGAGTAAACAACATGTTTCATGCTGACGTGCTGACCGGCAGCAGACACTTCCGGATGTCTCCATACAGGAGCTGAGAGATGCTTACGAGAAAGCCTTAGATCACGTTCGCGCATCTCGACTGACGGACGCCGAGTTCATCTACACGCCGTCTCAAATCGCTCTTGCGTGTCTGTCTCTCGCCTCACCTTCGCTCGCATCTTCCTGGGCGCGCTCAAAGTTTCCAAATGTACAGTCACCCCCGGTTCTCGCGGTCCTCGACCCTATCAAGGTGATAATCCTTTCATGCGGCTCATCGCCGGACGTGGAGGCCGTGCGAGAGGTGGATCGACGGCTGAAGCTCTGCAAAAACCCGGAGAAAGTCGTGGGTAGCAAAGCGTATCTGAGGAAACAAGAAGAGGCGGAGCGCAAAGCGGAAGAGAAGAGGAAACGAAAAGCAGATGAGGCGAGGAAGGCGATGGAAGATGAAGACCCGTTTGGCAGTGAATTGGCGGGAAAGGCTGGGGCTGCGAGGCTGGACGAGGATGACGAGGATGATTGATGCTTGATGTGATTTGATCAGTCCGTCGGACTCGGACATGTACCCGGTCCTTCGAAGATGCCACCCGCTACTGTCAACGCTAGTTACTGTGTCAGGTGCATCGCCAGCGGGTCCATATACGTAGTGAACGCTACTCGTAACATGGAGCGTTTCCGCGCTTGATGACGGGAGATAGGGCGTTGAGAACACTGCCGGACGTGAACGGCGTGATGAGCGGGTGTGAGATACGGCAGGCGTTGGGCGCGTAGCCTCTAGCTACCATATCGCCAGGCCTTTCGGCCACTCCCTCGGGTTCTATTCAACCGTCCTCCTTCCGTCACCCTATATACCCCGTCCATCGCTCCCGACCCGCTGCTCACACTCTCTGCCTTGGTGTGCAAGTGGCGGCGTTCGTCGCTGGCGACCCTCCCAGGCTTCGAACGCGCGTTCAGTCCACCATGTCTATGCTACCAGCCGGGCTCTCGAGTATGGACAGCCTCGACGTAAATCTTGCGTCCTCAAGCTCTCCTCCGCCTCTAGCATTCGACCAATGGAGTGACACACACGAGACAATGGAAACAGATGATGAAAGGGACATACAGGAGGTGGCCACTCAGGAGGAGGACTTGGACGGAGCTAACAAGGTCACTGGCGCAGACAAGACAATCGAGATCAATACCCCCTCGCCCACCACCGTCGCCCCTGGCGCGCAGCAGCACATATCAGACGAAGATGCTACTAGTGTACACAGCATGCCTGCTGTGCCAGTTGTTGAGCCATCCAGTCCGGCTCCGATGACGTCCCAGAGTGCATCGTCCCATTTTACCCCAAGCAGGTCGTCGAACGCGGGTCATGCTCCCCGTTCACTCGCTGCTCCAGGGCGAAACGGACGACCTCGTGCGATGCCGGATGTGAGTGTTGTCCGTTACCCATCTATTTATTGCTGACAGTCCGCAGGCTCGAGCGTCAAACCGTCTCTCTGGTTTCTTCTCGTCACTCATTCACCGCCGAGATACCATAACTTCTCATGTTACTGATTCGGGCGCACAGGGTTCGCCACATGCACAATCTTCCTCACGGGGCTCATCTCCCATTCCCTCCCGTACCTCTACTCCACCGCCACGGCTGCCTTCGCCCTCACTCATGGAGCTAGGCCTTACGCTGTCCTCAGTGACTGACAAAATCAATGTCTCACACGCGAATGGACCGCCATTAAGTGGAGCTTTTTTGAAGCCACACTACTTGCTTCTCTGCCATGCGCAAGGCTTGGACGTCCTGCCGCTCGTACATTTCGCTGTGCTCCAGCCATATGCGTTGATCAGGCGGGTATCCTTCAAGAGCATCGTGATCATGGAACATCGTGGCGTTCTGGTCGCGATTGCTGGAAGGAGGAACGGTGTGCGAGTATACGCATTGGAGGACATCAGACGCGCTGTCGAATGGAGGATTGAGGTGGAGATTAGAAAGGAGCAGGAGCATGTTCGGAGGAGCGAGGCAAAACGACCCTTGTTATCTACATCAGCCGCAGGCCCGCGGTCTGAGAGAAGAGCCTCATTAGACAAACACAGAGAGAGGACGCCTCTTGCTCCAGTGTCCACTTCGACGAGGGGCAAGCGAAGATCTTCCTTCTCCATTGCACCGCCTGCCTCTCCTTCTGGCCCTGTTCGCACAAATACCGCAAGAAGGCCCAAGACGGCAGACGCGCAGGCACAGTCATCACCTACAACCCCAACACCGGCAGGTCCTCCCCCCGCTTATTCGACCAACTCTCCTCCTCGTGGCCTAGAGCATTCTGCGATTGTTTCTGCCCAGACGCGCTCCAGATCAACATCCTTGAGCGACGTTCTATCAGGAACCCTGAGCAGACGCCAGACTGGCGGCTTATTTGTTGAGCGACGCGGCGAACAGCGTGATGCAAAAGCTGAATGGGCTTCAAGTGATGACGATGAGGCGATCAATGTTGTCGCCGCACCGAGCGGTAGCCTGGCATTGGACGAGCGAACGAGCTCGGTAACTGCCATTTCTGGTGCTGGCCCCGCCGGAGACGTCACGCCTCCACGAATAGAGGTCACTCGCACGCAGACCATTTCTTCAATGCAACGCAGGAACCGTCCCGCCAATCTTGATTTGTCAAGAACGAACTCTATAACAAACGTAACACCAGAAATTCCACCGTCTCCTGCACCCACCTTGCTTACGTTGCGCCAGGCTCTCTCGATATCTCCCCATAGCAGCGGAATGCTGCCCACACTCGGTTCTCTCAATGGAATTGCGACGGCGAATGACGGAGATGCTGAAGGTGACGCAGACGAAGAGGATGACGGCGATCCTGATCCATCTTCTCCAACAACCCCTACACGCGAGCGTATATCTCTCGTGGAAGCTCTCATGGAGAGCCGTCTACCTCATCTTCCGCCGGCAGGTACGCGTCACGAACAGGAAGCGATCCTCATAGGAGCCCAAAGCACAGCTCCAGACGACTTTCAGCCAAGTAGTCCGCGGACGTCCGATTCAGGTACGATGTATTCCAGGCGAAGTACTGGGGATCAGTCAAGCACTAGACGGCGCAGAAGATGGTCCGTTCTCGACGGGATCTTCTTTCATTCTCCTACAAACTCCCAGTCGTCATTCCCAACTGTGCAGGAAGGCGTCAGTCTCGGATCGGTCGCGTCAGCGACAGCAGCCGACAGTGTCTCTGAAATGCAACAGCAAAGCGCAAACCTGGTTTCGTCTCCGGGCATGACTCCCTCTCAGTCCAATCGCATAGCTCCTTCGGACTCACGTGCAACTATTCGTCCTGCAACGTCCCCTAGACCTTTAACACCGTCGGGTGCGCCTGTCGCCAGTTCGCAAACTTCCCTGGATCGCCCTGCAACTGCGGAACTGCCTCCTCTACCTTCTACTGCACGATTCCTGCCTCGGATCATTACCAGCGCTTTCCAGTCTCGTCGATCGGATGACTTGCCTTCTCTTCGAACGGGAGATCTTGATGCGAAGAGGGCAGGCCCTCTGGCGCCCCCAACTCCTGTTCCCCCGCCCAAACTGGAATATGCGAAGTTACCGGGGACTAAAGGGGCTGTACTGGTCAAAGCCGTCGAAACTGCAAAGAAAAGGTGTGTGTCGTATCGTATTAAAAGTGTTCGACATTATTGTAATTTGGTCCCTTTCATTAGCTTCCTTGCTATCCTGTGCGGTGAGAACGGAGAGAAGGTTGAGCTGTTTGCTGGTACATATCGTACCGCCCTTCAATTGTCGCGTACCTTCATCCTGCCCGATTCGCCCAAATCACTGGAGCTGCAGCTGCAAGGTGATGATCTGGTTGAAGTCTTTCTTGTTTTCACTCAGAACGTCTTCGGACTGGAACCGGCTACCGTGCGGGTCCGTGAGGTTCGGATCGGGCGAGCGGAGCGTAGAGCAGCTCGACGGCGAGCTCGCGGACTGCGAACTGACCAGTCTGGTGAAGTGGACGCGGAGGGTAATGGTGCAGGAGAGGAAGACACTGCGGTCAACGTAACCATTGTCTCACCGCCCAATGCTGCAACTGTGGAAGATGGCACCGCAAGTCCAGGACCTGGCTCGTCGACGGCGCTACCTCAGACACCAGATGCGTCGCAATCACAGATAGACTGCTCGAGTGTCACCGCTTCGACTGATGAGCTTGTCACGCTAGCTGCTGCACATACCAGTCCATATACCACCTTCCAGCAGCTTTTGTTTGCACCCAACTTCCCTTTGGCGACTATCTCCGATGACTACATCATCCCTCCTACCTACAATTCCTTCTTGCAATATCGGGCTATGCATGAACCAGAAGTGAACGGAGATCCCAACGTTGACCTTTCACAAGTGCAGTTCTCACCTCCTGGCCTTCCCGTACCTACACCGGCTCCACCCTCCCGTTGGTTCTACAAGGATCCTAAGGGGATCGTTCACGGTAAGTAGGGCAGCTAATGGACGCAGGCGATGATAACTCACTTAGACGCGCATAGGACCGTGGAAAGCAACCTTGATGCAGGCATGGTACAGAGATGGCCTCCTACCTCCCGATTTACCTGTGAGAAGAGAAGAAGATAATGAGTATATCATGTTGAAGGATCTGCGATTGCAATGTGTGGACCCTACTCATCCGTTTAGAAGCGCCCCCCCACTTCCCATGATTCCGCAGCCACTCCCCGTCACCGATGCTTCTAAGCCCCTGTTGCCTCCTATTTCTTTATTAACACAACCGAGACACTTTGGTCCGCCAGCTCTGTTCTATTCTTCACGCGGTGGTCATAGTACGACCATCGTCGATGCTCGGGGACGGTCTGTATTAAAGGGCCGTTTCCTATGGAGTGCGGACGATCAGGATGAAAATCCGGTGAGACTTGGTGACGTTAAACGGTTAGAGGCATTCGACGTGGAGGATCGTGCCGTACTGGTCGCTATGCGACAAGGTGGTCTCGAGGCAGTTGACTTTGGCGACGCACTTCTTCGTCCTGCGGATCATTCCCGCGCGGTGTGTCCACACTTCCAGCCACCTCCTTCGGCTATCAACAGACGCGGGCCGTTCTTATGGAAGATCGGTTCGCCCCTCAATTCTCATCCTTCGATCTCCTCCATATCATCTGCGACTGCGATCCCACCGTCGTCAAAATTCGCGCAAGCTTCGCATCGGAAGAAGGTGAACACGGGCCCTGTCAAGTCCCCCCGCTCGGAATTTACCCTATCAGGCGACCCTGACTCGGATCGCATGCAAGACGAGGTGCTATTCCTGGGCAGGAAAGATGACGAACTGTACATTTGTGAGAGGAGGCCCCATTCATTCCGGATACTCAAATTATCACCAAGTCCTCCGCAATGCTCAGCATGAGTGACCCGTTTCATCTGCTCTATTTCTAGGTCACCGGATCACTCTTTGGTGATTGTGCCATATCCTCATTTTCATCCATCATGTCGCATTCATATTTTTCTTGATATCATCTTGACCCGTATCCTGGACATTGGAGCAGCAGTGTCGTTATTCTCGTATTATTCACGCAAAATGATGCCACTACGATGCAAGGGAGAATGTAATGAACATTGCAGACATGACTTAATTCCCGCTACGACAGTAGTGGGTCTTGTCGATTTGAAGCTCACAAGGCTCTCTGCGAAAATTAGCGATCGGCGGCACAGAGAGCAACGAACCTATGGGGAACCATCCGGCGGATCCGGCGGATCCGGCGGATTAGCCGGATGGTCCGGGTAGGCTACCGTGATGTTCATGAAGCATGAAGCATGAAGCGTAAAGAGTTGGTCGGTGATACGTTCTTGTGCGATAAGTATATGCGTTATGATTCCCTGTTTATATGCAATCAGCGTGCATCCGGGAATCATGCAAGGTCACCTCGCTGCCGTGTCAAGAGGTATTCAAACCCGGTTGGTCCTTTATCATACCACAGTTCAGTCGAATTGTGGGGTTCCATCTCGCTTTGACATTGCTAGAAGAATAGAATAATTTTCTGTGAAGCTGCCATGCTTCCTAAATCCAACCCCCCCCTCCTGCCCCCTCGGGACGAAACCCCATCCGAGTGCCGTACCGTGCTGGGGCTGATCAGAGAATTCTCCGGCACCAATCAGGAAACAGGAATGAATCTCCTGTTAAGGTTCCAGTCACATGATCAACACCCATCTGTCAATGAAACACGGCCACAAACAGGCTGCTTCATGATTCCGATATTCAATAGCCCTCACAATGTATCCTGTATCATTCAGAGATTATAATTGAGTCTATCTATGGCGACAACATGACTAAGAACTGTACAGATTATTGCGGCACACAATCTTGAGATTTCTTTTTGGACTTTGTAGTGCTGCCGCATAGCTCAAGGACACACAGTGCACTGTTATGTCCATCAATGCTGCTGGCCATCCTCTGTCTCATCTGCCACAATGTCCCAAATGCAGTGCACAATATCTGACAGCTCCAGTCCTCTGTTCTGGGCACACAGATCCTGACAATAAAGGTTACTGGTTTCGGAAGGTGTGTTATGTGATAACTTGTTGTTCCTCATTGCCCTGAAATATGAGGCATGAATCAGTGCCTTGACAACAAGCCTCCATCACATGTGGCATGCGATTATTTTGAGTGGGTGAGGACAATGCCGAAGGGCAAGCAAGCACGCCCCTCTGTCCCGTGCCCTGGACATTGTTGCAAAGCAGCCCGCCCAAATTCCATGACAAATACAAACCTTGATTGCACATTTGGATTATGCCAGGCATGCTGCCAAGACACACGAGCACAATTTTCAAGCCTGCGCAGTTGTGCGGTGTCGAAGCATAACTGCTCAAATAACTCTTCTACACGATCTGGAGCACCTACAGCTACATATCTGCTGCTGCTTCAGAGTGGTCTCATGGCGGAGGCCTCAGAGCCTCAACCACTACTTGCCGCTCCAGCATCCATCCAGATACCTACGGTGAAATCCTACAAGCTCTCTATATCGCCTATATACCAGCAGAAGCTCTGGGAGCTTGAAAGAGATGATTTAGAAAGGTTTCGCCAAGCAGAGATGAAGACTCACCTTGCACGTGAGGGGGACAGAACGGTCATGGTCTATTGGTGGCAACAGGTGCGTGATGAACTCTCTTATTATAGATGCAACCGATTGAAATGTATGGGCATAGAATGATGAGCCAGCGGACCTGTTCTTTGTCGTGGCTCCAGACTACCCATACTTTCATCCCAAGCAGGCAAAAGACCTGTATAAGTGCTTTGCGCTTGGAACAGCTGACTTTCAATATTATGATTGGAAGATCAAGAAATGGGTCTACAGTTTGCCGGACTCACCGTGCATCAATATCAAGACTGCAACTGAATTGCATTATCGCTGCGATGGAGTGACTACTGGCCCGGGCATGCCTGTGATTAGCCTCAAGCGTACCACCTCGGAGGCTGTTTTAAGGCTCCAACTATTTATACTATTTACACTCCTGAGGTGTAAATATATAGTATATAGTAAACAGTTATCTATATGTCATATAAACAGTTTATATAAAGTTTATATAGTTTTTTTTGGTCCCATCTTTTGATGGAGTTTTACTCAACTGTGAGCAGCCTCTGTGATTGTTGAGGCCTTTAAGAACCTGTTTGCATCAGCAAGCACATGACAGTGAGCAGAAAACAAGCATTCAATGTCAACACTTGCACTAGAAATGACCAGAAAATCTTATGTCATACAAGAAATGACAAGAAACTCATGTTCATGAGCCTATATGTTGATAAACTGTTAGTGGTGACTGCTGTTAAACACTATGACTTTCAATTGGCTCACTGTTGTGCTGTCAAATCTAGCAATTGTGCACTCAATAGTCCTATATCATCATAAAACTATTTATACTATATATATACATCTATTTACTATGTACAGGCCCAACTGTAAATAAACAGATATAGTAAACAGTTAAAACTATGTAACATAGTAAATAGATAGAAATGTTGGAGCCTTAGGCTGTTTTAGAAGAGAGCATAGAGCGTCTTCACTCAATGAGCTCATTTGAAAGTGTTGAGGATATAAGTGGGCCTTCTAGGTATGTTCGCTTGTAGTATCACAGATAATGAAGTATTTGACTCACAGGTTGCCAGTTTGCCAGCCACTCCTCGCAAACCTCCTCGGACATCTCAAACTGTTATCGACATTGATGCATGGCTAAGCACGCCAAGCCATTCTGCACCTATCATGTCACCAAGCCAGGCTAGTGTGACATCTCCTCCAAGGACTCCAATGAGAAACTTCGAGTCGCAGGTGTCCTCACCTTCTTTTAGCCAAATCGGCTCACCATCAAAGACTCCTACGCTGAAAGGTCATCATGGTTGGCCATTGAAGTATGCGATTGACATGGCAGATGGCTTCGCCATCATAAAGACATTAGAGGGGGATGGACAGAGCCGTGACAATGCATTCTCATTTGTCTTCACCAGTGCTAACTATTGCAGCTCTACCTTCAATGACAACGAGCGAGCTTGGCGAGTGGCAGAGGAAGTTGGTGGTGAAACAGAACTTCAACAGTGGATCACATATGGACGGACTCCCCAGAGCGAGTGGCAAGCTTTCATGAAGCAGTGGTGGCAAGGTCGTAAATAGGGCATATATAGTGCTCTTGAAAAATGTCTCATCAATGCATCTGTATCACAGCCGGCGAGGTGAATATATTAGGCCAACGTACAGTCGAGGGCCTTGAGTGTGCTAATGGCTGCGATGGTGAGGTACCAATTTGCAGCACCCTTGCAAAACAATAGGTCATATTTAAGAATTCAGCACCGTTAAGTAATGATCTTGGTCAACAAAAAACGACATCCAGAGCCGATAGCAAAAGGGAGGAGCCTATGAAAAAGACAGGAGACTGGATGGCGTACCTGAAACGCAGTACATCGGCTTCTGCCGAGTGAACTTTAAACTTTGCTAGTTCACCGGCACTGACGGTCGTTCATCTTCACGACAATTGTGCCAGGATGGCTGTTCCACTCAAGGCAAAAGATCTGTAAGTTTATCTGCTTGCCACCAGATAAAACTTGCTAATATTGTTTTCTGCACAGAATTGGCTTGACTGGGTCTGAATCCAAAGTAAGAGCCTCTATGTCTCTAAGCGATCGTGGCAGAAAAATATTGACTACTTGCTTGGGATGAAAGATGATCTTGTGCATATGGTGGGACCTGCACAAACTAACAGCTCCCCGCTTCAATTTTCAAGGCACTGGCGAGGAGGCTGTTTGGCAGCGTATCGAGGTTGACAGCGTGATGATTAACTGGTCTGCAGTTCAAAAGTCAGCTCTGAACGTTGCGAAAACAGCTGCATCACTTTCAAACAAGAAGTTGAACCGCAAGCAGACAGACGAAGAGAGGGATTGGGGGATAGAGATATTCGCACCACTATTGAAGAGGGTCGCATCGCAGTTCCTGAAGAATATGTGAGTTCCACCTTGCTCCGACATCACATAAATATGTGATCACCCACTGTAGCTGTTAAAAAGAGCAGAAACTGAGTCAGCAGGTGTCAGCAGCCAAGTCCAGTGAGAAGACGATGAGCGTAAGAAAAATAATGATAAGAAGAATGACAGCAAAGACGAGAATAAGCACGGAGGTGAGGAGAAGAACGAGGATGACTATGATGATGACGATGATGATGACAAGAATGAGGAAGAAGGGGACAAGGAGGATGACAATGAGAAAGGCAGTGATGACGAGAATGAGGAAGAAGATATATTCGATGCACCACCTTTAACTCAGCTTCGTGTGCTTCATGCATCCAAGTGTGGTCCCTCTGTTGCACTGCGCCCAGTGCCTTACGTTGCCATTGGGGACATGGATGAGGACGTAGATGCAGCTGACGGAATCGCTGATATTGTGGTGAAGTATCAAGATTGCCGAGTTGCAGTGGGCGAGCAAGTTGCAAATGGGCCAGGGCACTGACGTCTTGTCTATTTAAAAGACATGCCTGTTATGGAGGACTGCTCTGCGATGCATGGACAAGCACAGATCAGATACTTTGTGAGGGGTCATGCACTCATCAGCAGGCTACGAGAGACGACACTCTTGCGAGGCTGTACGTGCTTGCTTAAGGATCTTCGAAATTATTTTCATGCGTGTTTGCTATCATTACAGGTCGTCTGAACTTTTCTGACATGATGAAATTGGACGCGAAGGACAAGTCACGAGGGATATCCTGGCTGGAAAGCATCGCCGTCACAAATGCAAATGGTGAATTTGAGCTCTCTGACAGTGAGCTGGAGATACCTCTGGTCATTCTTCATGAATCAATCAGAGAAGCACAATTATGTTGTGAGGACCTAGCGGTGGAATGGGTATGTGGTCCTCCTCACACGCATTATCTGAGCCGCTAATGATCTTGCAGTTCACAGAGCTTGTTGCACCTGATGGAAAGACTAGCACGAAGTGCAAGCTTATCCAGAACGATGTTCCTGCCAACCTCCATGCAGGCTCAGCAAAAGGCAAAAAACGCATGAATAAGGATCCTACTCACCCAAAATCAGACAAGGTGACGAGGGCTGAGATGCTTCACTTCCTCGCTGAGGTTGATGGTGGCCACTTTGAAAATCACCCCGCTGTTCTCTCAATCTGTCATGCCCCAAATCGCAAGGCCTCCATTGTTTTGAACGTCCTACTCAGTCAGCTCGACATCATCTGGGAGATCAGTAAGATGAAATACCCAACCGACAATGGCACTCAAGTAACACCCATGAATCATGCAATCAGTGACTTCATGTGGTGTCAAGCTGAATGGGTCGGTCAATGCTTGCAGGTGGCAGCTCTGATTAAGGATCATGCAGATGAACCTAAAATCAAGAAACTTCAT